ATACGACTTCGCATTTCAATGAAACAGAAAAAATTGCCTAAAACAAAGAAAGCGAAAAGAAAATGATATACCATATATTATATGTTATATGACTCTCTGACATGGTGCTAGCCTGTCAACACTGAGGTTGTGAGTTCGAATCCCGCACGTGACAGGTGCGCTCGACTCCAATCTAAATTGACTAGGATTGTCAGTTTTCCGACCGAGGGTCGGTGGTACTCTCCGGGCACTCCGGCTTCCTCCACCAATAAAAACCGATCAAGCAATCAATCTGACATGGTGCGCCTCACCACCTTTTTAATTTTGTTTTGTATAAACCTTTAGTTTGTTTTCAATTTTCGAGATCTAAACAAATATGAGAGTAACGGTGGTATGCATTCGGGAACTCTGCTCACAGTTTTTCAAGTCCGACACTTCCAACCATGATATTGTACAGCACTCCTTGATCCTGAAATTCTTTAGAAGGGGTTTAAAAATATGATTTATGTACTAAAATGATCGCCCATCCTATCCCCGGAATGTCCCTGCTTTTTAAGATGATATTTAGAAACTAATATACTGTAATCTGCTTTCAATTCATCGGTCCGGTCAGTTCTGTTTTCTGAAGAATTTTAATTAGATTAGGCATTATAGTTAGAAGTTTTAATTTATACTTAATTTCTCTCAAACTATTAAGCTGATTATAACAAAACTTGGCAGTAATGCTTGTTAGTCCCCTACCGACGAAGCCGAAGGAGACTTTAGGTTTGCACTCTGTCTGTCTGTCTGTCTGTCCATCCGTCAGTCCGACAAATCAGTTTTCCACACTTTTTTCTTCGTCCTTGAAGATATTGATTTGATATTTGGTGTATTGTTTTATCATGACAAGTTACAGATCAACTTCGAATTTTGTACCGGTCTGGTGATTTTGTGCAGAGTTATGGTCCTTGGACTTAGAAAATTCACTCAAATAATCAGTTTTCCGCACTTTTTTTCGTCATGCTTGAAGATTTTGAATTTATAATTGGTATATAGTTTTATCATGACAAGTTACAGATCAAGTTCGAATTTTGTTCCGGTCTGGTGATTTTGTGCAGAGTCATGGTCCTTGGACTTAGAAAATTCACTCAAATAATCAAGTTTTCCACACTTTTTTTCATCATGCTTGAAGATATTGACTTGATATTTGTTATATAGTTAACACCATGACAAGTAATAGATCAAGTTAGCATTTTGTTCCAGTACAATGAATTTTTAACCGGTAGGGGACTATGTATTGCCATGCAATACTCTCAGAATGTTAATTTAGTGATCGAAGTGAGTGAAATATAACGACTAAATTATTCGGATTATGAAGCACCTATGCATTTTATATGGGACAAAATGTGATGTCTTACTTAATTGTATATGAATGGTGTTAAAAATATATTTCGATTTGACTGTTGTAATGTTCTTCTTGACATTTTGTCTCCGTTGAAGTATGTGAACTACTTATTTCTATGTGCAAAAAATATTGATCCCCCCACATTGGATTTATAAAAAAATTGAACCCCCCTTTTCCACATACAGAAAAAAACTTGATCTCCCCTGTATTTTGACCAGCCCCCCCCCCCTCCCAGATTAAAAATGATAAGTCCCTAAATAAACATGGAACCAGTATATTCCAATTTTTTTCTTCTCGGAAACACAAGAATTGAATATACAGAAATAACAATAAACTTTTCACAAAGATGGGCTTTTCACAATCGTTAGAATAAGACGTATAATATTGATATTCATGTTTTGGTCTTTTTTTGGTTAAAGTAATTGATATGCATCGTTAAAAGTTGCCAAGGAATACAATACCACCCTTTTAATCATCAAATATCTATTACGTAAAAAGAACAAAACCAAAATCAATAAAAATTTGATTTATCTGATACTTATTATGGATAATATATAACACGTGCTATAACGACTGAGATTTTTTGTTTTTTTGATTGGCAAACAGTCTTATCTTTTAATGTAAAACCATAAAGTCCCATATTTGTAGTCTCTAAAAAACAAGATGTGTAGTCTCTAACAAACAAGACTTAAGGTAAGAACCAGGGCTGATATGCATAAAACCACTGTACTAATTTATCGTAGGACATGTAGAAAAATCCGTCCGTTCGAAACAAATCAACTTATTTTATGAAGTAGTTTTATGCATATCAGCCCACTTATCTATTATCACTTTTATGTTTAGTCACTGAAATTTGTTTTAAAAATAGTATTTGGTGTTGATTTTGCAATGAAAATTTAAATGAATGTTAGTGCATAGATTCTTTTTTACGGTTTGCTTAATCATGATATGTGCCATCAGCCTTATTCGGGGAGGGGGGGAGGGGGGGGGGGCAAATGTGCATTTAAAAAAAGCATTAATAGCGGATTGACATGAACCATAAAATTTATGTTACCCACCCAACACACGGCTTAACAATATATCATTCGAAAGCTTATCATTTGTACTTTCTGTTTTGGCCGGTCGTAAAAAAATCGTACGGTGCAATTTCTGAGAAATCAGCAGTCAAGAGACAAACAGGACACTTTACAGATGTCAACATTATTTCAGATTCTGTCTTTTCCCTATAAAATAAGAATTTTTTTAGAAGAGAGATTAACAGTCATTTATCAAGCGCACTTTGAAATATCTTTTTAGAAATTCCAGTAAAAATGATAAAACTGCTTGGCTGCTTAAACGGCATCATGCCTTGTTCATTGTTTGAGTGTATAAATGCATCGATGGCTGATAAAGATGTTAAAACTATTATATACTAGACATTGACAAGATCATTCAAATTGCGCCTGTCCCAAGTAAAAAAGACTTGTGTAAGTAATTTTCAAATAACTGATAATTGACATGTTGCAGTAACATTGACTGTCTTTTTATAACTTACCTTTCTCTGTGGTAAAAATCGTTAAATTCTCTGTTGGTAAACTCTAAAGTTAATATGAGAATAAGGTCCCAACCCCCTGAAATAAAGTTGACCTTAGATGATCTAAGATGTATTTTTTTTGTTCCTTTTGTGATAAAGCTCCTCACCTATTCAAACATTTATACATCCTTTTTAGGTAAACAAGATAAAACACTTCGAACGCACCAAAATGAAAAAAAAGAGTTATTTTCATTAATTTGGTTTAAAATTTGTAGCAAGTTACAATACTAATTCTAGTTATAATTATACTTCCATAGAAGGTCTACTCTGACAAAACAAAGCACTTTAAATGCTGCTGATTACTTAAATTACACGTAGCAAATACATTTGCACAACTTAATTTTTGATGAAAGATATATATATATATTTGGACGACTACGAGCCCAACTTTTCTTGGCTATGGCTATGGTTTTGCATTAAAATACTTTGGTAGATGTGCTTCGACAAAATATTCTCATCAAAGTTATTCAGAAAACCAGAGTGCTGTTTTAGTAAAATGTATTCGGTGACTTCCGGGAGATCATCTGTCCTGCATTGACTTAAAATTTGCATATTGAAAGTTGACGCAAGCTATATATATATATATATAATATTAAGACAGCTGTGAAAATTGAAAATCTTGATTCAATTAATCATGATTTCGAATTGGTTGGTTGTCAACGTACCAAAATTTACTTATTTTCGTGGATTTGTTTTCTTTGTATGCATAAAGTCCTCTGTAGTTGACTGCAGCAATTTCTTTCGTGCGATTTTATCACTTTATTTTCATATTTATTTAAAGAAAATTACTGAGAGTTTATTATTTTCGCTTTATTGTCCTACTTATAAAAGTCGAGTAGATAAATTGCATAACAAAACTAGTTGGTTTAAAATATTATCTTTCCAAAAAAATCAGATTAAAAAGAAACCCCATAAACTTTATCCAAAGCATGAGTAAAATTGCTATTTTCTCATTACTGCAATAAGTTATAGCAGAGACATATATATGTGTATAAATGTCTCTGGTTATAGTTATTGAACAAGCAAATCGGTACATGTCATTTAATCTGCACGGCTCGGGTGACCCTACTTGGCCCGAACGACGTAGGAGTTCGGGTTAACCTGTCATTCCGACCGTGCGGATTACTAGTATATGAAATATACCGATTTGATTGGCCAATAACTGTTTTAACACATGACACCATCAATTTACATGAATGTTTTGTAAATATGCGAACGATTTATTCAATCCACAGCTCCGATGACAGTTCTCTTGTAGGGTAAAGAAAGGGGAAAATAGTAAAAGGTTGGTAACTTTCTTCTAAATTGTTATATTATTTGGATAATTGCGTTTTAATGGCAGATCGTTGATTGTTTCTGTTAAATTTATTGACGTTAATTATAAACCCACATCTCATACCGTTTTTGTTTTGTTTGATGTACTTTTGAATCGGTTTATGATAAAGTTAAATTATGTTACACGATGACCTGAAGCCGGTCGGACCGAAAGCAATACGACTTTTTAACTAATCATAGTAGAGTCAAGGCTAAATACAATCGGGGAAAAATACAATGTACAAGAAGGCTGGGACTGTTATATACTTACTATATTATAATAGTCCCAGAAGAAGGTATAAGTAAATGTTTATATACTTACTATATTATAATAGTCCCAGAAGAAGGCAAGTAAATATTTACTGGTTTAATGCATACACAAAAAAAACACATGTTTACATTGCAATGAAAAAAAGTTTGAGCAACAGACATACTGCCTAATGCAGCCTATATATCCAAATTAATATGGGACCGAAAAAAATGGTAGCAGTCAATATGGTTCGGAATGTGAACGCATCTATCCGTATTTGCACTGATACTTTTTTTTTGTTATCTGTATTGCACAGTAAAGTGTATGAATAAATAATCTTGAACTTTCTTTTCCCTTTTCCCCAAATATATTATACATGCATTAAAAGGTTGTCCTGCATTATCTTAAGTATTCCTAAATTGAAATATTGATAAGCTCACAATAGATATTTGAACTTTTTGTAATTTCAATCAGACAATTGTGAAAAGGGTGTGAGTAAAATCAACACTTTAGTGATTATACCTGATGGTTGGGAGACGAAAACGACAAATATTTGGTGGTAACATGAGTGGAAACTCGGTATATTTAGGGTTTGACTTTAGCACACAGCAGGTGAGAGGGTTTCTTTAGTCAACATTTATTTAAATTGAAAATTATATATGTTAACTAGCACCAGCTGTGCACTTGGACTTGTATAGCCTATAGCCTGTATAGGAAAAATTTGTCAGTTTTCGTGCCTATGACTATGTTCATTGGTTCTCTCCCGACACAGAATCCCAAAAGTGATTAGTTCTCTACGGGTACTTCAGCTTCTTCCAAAAATAAAAAAAACTGACTGCCATGATAAAGCTTAGTGTGCTGAAAGTGGTGTTAAACATGAAGTTCATGAACAATCAATCTTGGACTTGTGTACAACATTAACCAGGTCGTTTTGCCCCAATTTCCATCTTGTCTTGGTTTGTAAAATAGATAAATCATGTTTTTTCTTTATTATAATGTAGAATTACCAAATGTATTTTTTTTTCGAAGTACAATGAAGTAGGAAACATCAGATTTTTTTTTAAATATGTCTTTTAATATGATGCAGTCCGGTAAATCAGCCCTCATAAGGCTTTGATTGTACGTATTTCTGCTTAATTATATACAAATTGTATCAAATTTAATATTAATCAATTCACGGACAAATCAATTTTGAGAAGTTTATCTCATTTCCCCAAAAATATCTGAAATAAATTTTAAAATCAGCAAAACAAGTGGGTCATCTGTGTTTTTATCATAAATGTGTTTGTCCTGTAAATCCACCCATGCACAGTAAATATGTATGGAGGGCCAGTTTATCACATATTTATGAAAGGAAAAGGTGATCTATTAATAGACCACTTATAAAGGGATTCCAGGCAATTGAAAAAACAAAAATTTCAAGTCAGAAACGAGTTTTGTAAACAATAATATGATTATTGTTAGCTTTAGAAACTGTATTATATTATGTATCATCAAGGGTCAGGAAACAGTCAAATTTGCCAGTCATGACCTAAACTGAAAGCTATTTGTCCTAAAAGGCAGATTGGAATTTACATGATTTAGGACAAATTTTATTTTTTTTCAGAAATAATATCGGTCAATTCATTCAAATCGAGTTTCTTAATCGCCATTTTGCACTTGTTTTTGTTTTGTAATCCCTTTCCTGTAATTAAACTGCCACTCCAGTAATAGTATAATAATCCTGAGGGCTGTTAATGCCTCCGGGAAATATTGGCTAATGATTGCTTATCACTTTTACGTGTGTTTTTAATTCACACCTAGCTGACAGTGATCACAAGCTCAGAACTAATATTATAAAGAAATTAAAATTCCATGACAACTTTCTTAATTATTTAATTACTTTAGCAAAGACAGTTGTCAATTCTGATTTAAATACTAAAACTTAATTTAATTTACGTAGAAAAAAGTAATCTTTCACGAGTTAAGCATGTGCTTTGTTTACTATGTAATACGCATGCATGAAATTGTCTTCACCAGATTAGACACTTAATCGTAAAATGCAAAATGATTTCATGCTAAATTAAACGAGTGCAACTAGTATCTGTTATATTCAAATACTTTTAAAGGTAATAAAATTAAAAACCCGGTTATTTCCTGTCAATTTGATAAACAGAACGAATGCCGGAAATGAATCCGGAATTACTCGTACTTTAGTATGGTCGCAAATCTTTCGGTTTTAATTTCGTCTTCAAAATGAAAAAAAGCGTAAGCGATGTCTGAAAAATTTACCATTTTGAGTCATTAAAATCATTTCAATTTTAAACTGTTGCCTTCCATAAATTGTTCTTGAACGTTTTTAGAAAAACGGTAAGAAAATTCATGTAGTAAATGCGAAGAAACAGTCAATGCAAGTTTATTGATGCTATGAATCTATACCCGAATGTAGTGTGATTTCGACAATTTGAAAAAAGGGCCCCAACTTTTAAGTCCTCTCAAAATGACTGAAATTGTGTGAAAAAATTTCCAGATCCCTGTATATCACTAGATATTTTCGTAATAAAGGATTTTTCTTTAAAATTTGACATGCAGTGATGATAAGTACAGTTCCTATGAATGAAATAGCAACCGAAATATTCACGGAAGTGACAATTACGGAAGTAAATGGGAGTGGGCGGGTTTACCTGACACTACTGTATATAAACAATGATTAACTTTTAATATTTAAGAATTAGTCTTCCTTAACTTTCATGATAAATATTTTGGGTCATTGTTTGCATATGTATATATCCCATTTTATTTTTACAACAATATCAATATGCACAATAAGGGTATATCATTATAAATAAGAAGATGTGGTATGAGTGCCAATGAGACAACTCTCCATCCAAGTCACAATGTATAAAAAGTTAACAATTATAGGTCAAAGTAAGGCCTTCAAAACGGATCCTTGGCTCACACCGAACAGAAAGCTATAAAGGGCCCCAAAATGACTAGTGTAAAGCAATTCAAACAGGAAAACCAACGGTCTACTCTATATAAAAAAAAAACGAGAAATGAGAAACACCTATGAACCACACCAAAAAACGACAACCACTGAACAACAGGCTTCTGTCTTTGGACAGGTGCATAAAAATGCAGCAGGTTTAAACGTTTTAACAGGCACCAAACTTCGCCCAAACCTGAGACAGTAGTGTAACATTACAACATAAAAAGACACACTATGAAATATCAATTGAAATGGCTTAACTTGATCAAAAAGACGTTTAAACAAAAACAAGTAAACATACACTGAACGAATAAGTTTGATCTATAACACAATACAAATACAATATTAAAACGTAGGTGTGCCTATATAACATAGACGTTACAGGTAGTAATAAAAAAGACAACTCTTACCTGGGACAAAATGGCATTAAATAAAACAATGTACACGGGTAAATTTAAATATAAAGTTTTGTTGTTAGGAGTACAGAAGTAAACTTTTTTTTACAAAATTAATAAATTAATTGTGCAGAGTACGAGTACAGAAGTGAAAATTTATCGTCATACTAAATACTTATCAAAGGTGGTACATATTGAAAATAGTGAGACGAGATATAACACAAAATAAGTAAACATTGAATTACAGAAATGCATTACAAATTGTGTCAACAGGTCAAATTAACACAAAAGTACGATTTGAGAGTACTCGCAGTTACTGAAAGCTAGTTAAAAGCCAAAAACAATTAACAATAAAAAATCATGCATCAGAGACTAAAATCAATTAAAACACATCCCAGGGATTTAGTGTTTTAATGCCATGGACAGTCAAAGAAGATATGACTTGTGCAATGCCAAAATAAAAGTATCGACAGGCAGTAGGATGCTCTTTTGGTGCAGCTGTTTATTATATATTATTCATGACCAAATACACATAAAAACATAGCAGCAGTCTTCTCCAAAGTTTCCTAATTCACATGATTTATAGGCTCTAACCCATGCCAACAGTCCCTAATTTACATGATTTATAGGCTCTAACCCATGCCAACAGTCCCTAATTTACATGATTTATAGGCTCTAATCCATGCCAACAGTCCCTAATTTACATGATTTATAGACTCTAACCCATGCCAACAGTCCCTAATTTACATGATTTATAGGCTCTAACCCATGCCAACAGTCCCTAATTTACATGATTTATAGACTCTAGGGTGAAGGTTTGGTACCATTAAAACGTTTAAACCCGCTGCATTTGTTTGCACCTGTCCTAAGTCAGGAATCTGATGTTCAGTAGTTGTCGTTTGTTGATGTGGTTCATAAGTGTTTCTCGTTTTTTATATAGATCAGACCGTTGGTTTTCCCGTTTGAATGGTTTTACACTAGTAATTTTTTGGGGCCCTTTATAGCTTACTGTTCGGTGTGAGCCAAGGCTCCGTGTTGAAGACCGTACTGTGACCTATAATGGTTTACTTTTATAAATTTTGACTTGGATGGAGAGTTGTCTCATTGGCACTCATACCACATCTTCTTATATCTATCTAACCCATGCCAACAATCCCTAATTTACATGATTTATAGGCTCTAACCCATGCCAACAGTCCCTAATTTACATGATTTATAGGCTCTAACCCATGCCAACAGTCCCTAATTTACATGATTTATAGGCTCTAACCCATGCCAACAGTCCCTAATTTACATGATTTATAGACTCTAACCCATGCCAACAGTCCCTAATTTACGATTTATAGGCTCTAACCCTATTAAATTTTTGGGCCGAAAATTAAAATAAATAATCTTATTTTTGCTGTGATAAAAAAAAAGTTAGATAGACAATTGACCTGATGACCAATAGGTTCATTTTGGGGAAATCAGCCAAAAATTTGTGCAGCAAAAAGGGTCTATCACTGACACATATTTTTATGAAAATTTTTTATTTAAATGTTCATTGTTACCTGTGCATGTTGTAACATTTTAATTCATGTGACTAATGTTTCAAATGCTGTATGATGATATTTGTTTGTCACCAAATAGATAACAGTATCAAATCTTAATTGGTGACATTGGCCAGGTGAATTAACTTCACATAATTTTAAGTAGCAGATTCAAGGGGTGCATCTGATACACTCCCCCCTAATTAAGCACAATTGAAAAAATTGTATGTTGGACTAACATGACTTACCTAAATTTATATACATAGTATATAATGTATATGGCAATTATTTATATATCTCTTCATCATTTACCACCTGTTATAATTTCATTTATTTCATATTTTTGATTTTTAAAAGAAATAATGTCCATTTCAATCTTGCTTCATATCATCTCTGTACCAGGAATAACATTAACAGTACTAACTTTTCTGCACATTTCAACAATAGATGTCTCTTCAGTGATGCTCGAGGCCAAACTATTTGAAGATCCAAAGCTTATTAAAAAGATGTAGAGCTATAAACCAAAAAGGACAAAAAAAGTAAAGCCAAAGACGGACAAGGAATCAGAGCTTTGCATGAGGGAGATATATTCCTTAATTTAAAATAATTTCCAAAATTTTGTAACAGCAAATTTTGATAACACAAAATCCGTATTTTCATGCCAGTGCTGGCTACTGGCCTGGTGATACCCTCAGGGACTAACAGTCCACCAGTAGAGGCATCGACCCAGTGGTAGTATTTACATTAACGGTACCATTTTTCTGCACCAGATGCGCATTTCCACAATAAATGTCTATTCAGTGATGCTTGAAGCCAAACTGTTTGGAAATCCAAAGCTTATTAAAAAAATGTAGAGCTATAAACCAAAAAGGACAAAAAAGTAAAGCCAAAGCCACAGTACATTATTTTATGATTTAAAAATGAGAGAGAAAATCACCCTCCTTCCTGCAACTTTTTAAAGATAGTTGAGGATCTAAATGAAGAAATATTTTCATATTGTATTATCATACAAACTTTATGTTTATGACGATATTAGATGAACACAATGAGCATGCCAGATTTATCTATGACAATAGATGTTGATATTTACTTTATTTATTTACAGATAAAATGTGTAGCTATTGATGAAGAATTGAATTTTATTTGTGAGAAAGCAGTTAGATTTGACACAGACTTACCAGAATTCAAGTAAGATTATGTTTATACACCCAATTTGGACAGATCATAACTATAAACTGTTTTCTCTAATTCTTCGTTAATTTATCCCTTTCTGCACCCATTGTATAAAAAAAATTTAATCAACGTGTGGTTCGTTTGATCTCAGTTCTTCATTGGTTAAAATCCGATTATGACGTCGAATTTTCTTGCTTTCCTCTGAATTTCCTATTGTGACGGCATGAAAAAAGGCGACCATGCCTGATGACGTCACATAGAAAGAACACATCTTCTTGCAGATCATTCGAAAAGAAGGAATAAATTTGCCTGCGTATTGTTTGAAAATCATTAGAGAAACAGATTCCACCACCAGATCTCGTGTAATACGATATTTATCCACTCTCGACAGTTAAATTTTAAATATTTAAAACGCTCGGCGAGCCTCGCGTTTTAAATTTGAAAATTTAACTGTCTCGAGTGGATAAATATCGTATCACACTCGGTGCAGTGGTAGAATCTATATAAATACATGCACATACATGTATTATATACTTCAAATACAATTCATTACATTATAAATATGTATTAGCCATCAAACAACTATAAATTCAGTAAAAAAGCAAAATACACAACATCTTGATTATTTCACCCATGCTTGCTAGAAATACAATAGAGAACAAATCTGGAACACTTGAAACATTTAAGGGTATTTTAATCATAGAAAAAATTCAGAACATGAAATACGGTAAGGCTAATTGTCAGAGAATTTTTTCAGAACACAAGGAGGAGTCCATGTACATGATGACAGAGTTACAGTTACTGTGCCTACAGCATTATGGATCAAGGTAAGATGTTGTATGGTAGAATCACAGTTACCTTACCTTTAGAATTAGTTATGTGTGGTCCTGTTGGAGAAACAGCTACCATAGCAGAAAATGTTACTTAAGACTTGCAACATGTTAGGTCAATGTTAAGTTTTCATGATTTTGGTCTGTTTCTTGGATACTTTAAGAAATAGGTCAACTATATTTGGTGTATGGAATGGTTATAAGGTGTACATATCTGTCTGGCATGGTTTATCTGACCTCATTTTTATGGTTCATTGGTCAATGTTAAGTTTTCATGGTTTGGTCTGTTTCTTGGATACTATAAGCAATAGGTCAAATATATTTGGTGTATCAAAGGTTTGTAATGTGTACATGTCTTTCTGGCAGGGTTTATCTGAAATTTACCTCATTGTCATGGATCTTTGATAATGTTCAGTTTATGCGATATTTGAGGAAAAACCTTGATCTTTAAGACTTTCAACATATAATCAATCATGGTCAGTAAAGCAGGCTCCGTGTTGAAGGCCGTACTTTGACCTATGATGGTTTACTTTTACAAATTGTGACTTGGATGGAGAGTTGTCTCATTGGCACTCATACCACATCTTCTTATATCTATAGACATTTCAGTGTGTGCACTCTTGTATTTTACGTTTAACTTATGTTTTTATGTTTAATGTTACACTGTATTTCTGTGTTTTAGGCACTGGATATCCTGTTATTCCGTTTGCAGAATGGATTGTTTGATTTCTCCAATGTCATGGGTATATCCGGTTGTGGACAGGTATGGATTTATTACATTCACAATTTTGAAGACATCAAAAGTGTAATAACATAAACATTTTCAAATTCACAATATTTGAAAATAACTTGAAATGTTATTTAATGTGTGTTTGTATTTTTTGGTTCTTGTACCCAGAGTAAGAAATTTTTTTTAACTTTCAAAACAGTTTTTTGTTAAACGCAGTTACCCTTATGATTTTTCTATGGTATTTTCAGATGTGTATGTGAAAACTTATTTTTCTAATAGTTTACTGAATCTGATACATTTTACAAAATTTAAATTGTGAATGTTTTTCATGAAATTTGCAATATATTTTTTTTGCAAACCTGTTCTCCTTCATGAAGTCATGTTAATTAAGATTCAGGGGAATAAAATTTATAAATTGACTAATAATTGTCTAATTTTGGAACAATAAAAAGACTGAATTTTTGCCAATCCTATCTAGACCTGTTTTTAGCAGCCATCAGATGTATAAAGGAGTAGGTCCGGTAAGGGCCGATTTTGGCCTCAAATTTCAGGTTCATCTGAAGAAAGATTTTGGACACTTTTTAAACATTCAAGTGTCTTCTTCAGTCGATTCAATTAGTTAAAGTGAAAGATTTGAACTGATTTAGTCATTAAAGACGCTCACATTCAAGCTTAAATATGAAAAATCTATCAAATTTGCCATAACATGTCACTTTTCAGATGGTTTTTGTCAAAAATGAAAATGGCCGCATCCGTATTCATTCTCAACCTTTATATATGTTATGTATTATCATCAAATACAACTTACATTTAAATATTAAGAATGAACACAAATGCGGCCACTTCCGTTTAAGACGGAAACCGTCTAAAATTTAACTCAAATGCTAAAATTGTGAAGGTTTCAGTAATTTAGCATGACTTAATGATGTTAGTACCCGATAAATGTGCATTGTATTGTAAAAAACAGCCTATATTTATGTAACAGAAGCATTCTACTTTCCAATAAATAGCTAAAAGTTTACATTTTAACAATTTTGTAAAACTGCTATATTTTGGGGCCAAAAAGGGGTCATACTGGACCTACTCCTTTAAAACTGATATGTTAAATTCTGGTAGATTAGCGACTGTGGAAGATTTGGTTATTGTTGCATGTCAGAATACATATCAGGCAAACATTTGATTATGTTTCCTCATTGTTGATAGTTTATAGGCAGCTCTAAACACTTATACGTTAAGTCATGTTTCCTTGATGTTTTATGTATAAGATCCTTGATGGCAGTTTTGTGGAACTGTATTTTTTTTCTTTGCAGCAACATGGTAGTGTGTACTGGAGAAAAGGATCAAAGTTAAAACTAAGTAAACTGAAACCAATGGCTAGTCTACATGATCAGCTCAAAGTAAATAATGGTAGTTTCAAATTGTAAAATACAGATGACTGCAATAAGTCAAATTATCTTAAGAAAAGCATTAGAACTATCAGAGGATTACGTCAAGTGAATTTGACTTTAATAGCACACGGTTGCTGTAGCTCTTTTTACAAAAAAAAAAAAACGTTCCATAGAAAAATACTTGTCATGACCTCTAAAGTTAAACTTGCAATAATTTTAGTTGTTAAAAACTCGTTACATATAAAGGACAAGGTACGATAAGTATAAGAGAACAGCCCCCAATTTTCGTTCAAATTAAAAGTGACATGCCATAAATTAGAATACTAGTTTAAAACCTATATTTTTGTAAACATCAATAGATTTATCAAATTCCGCTTATATTTTTCATGCTTTGTTGCTGTAAACACCTCAAGATTCGCGAAAAAGGCAGAAAAATGGCAGTTTCCAAACCTTTTTCTGCATTTTAAAATATGAGCGTACCTACGGCCCATGATAATATTTATACCTGACATTCCTTGAATATCAATGTTGATGCAGTTCAAATATCTTAGTGGGCCGTAGGTACGCTCATAGTTAAAAATTAAAAAAGGGGAAAAAAATCGTCGTAGTTTCATTGAATCATCGAAATATTAAACTAACTGCGGACCAGAGATGATATCCGGTATTTACTGGATCCGACAACAGACTTTTCTTCGTGATATAATGGTTAATTTCTTTATGACGTAAATTTTACATCTTCGAGAAAGGAAGACAGGATATTCCTATATTTATTATTGTATGAATTTATTTAAAAAAAAAAAGTTACAATTGAGCAGACCGTCGAGTTTTGACACAAAATCAGAATGAACTGTTACAAACTTCAGAGACATTTTGGGAATCATGAAACCAAAGTTGTTTAATAACTGGTTTATACTCCAACAGTACCTTTTTGACTAAATTTCAATATTTAGAACACTGTTACACAGACGTTAATCATGTCGAAGCATAAATATGTCTTTTGTGGCGTAAAAACTTCAAAGATTTGTTAGGCATGTAATCTCCGTGGAATGGTGTATTCTAAACAGAAACAAATTTTGAATATAAATTCTTTACGCAACAGATCGATATTGGTGTCAACATTAAATTTTAAGTACAACTTTACCATTCAGAAACATATGTTTTGTTTTATAAATGACGAAATATTGAATATCAAAGGAAAAAAAACGCATCAAAGTCAAAGATATCATGCTTGTAATTTTGTAAGCCATACGCGTGTTCCGTGTACAAAAGACTCATCAGTGACGGTCGAAAAAAAAAGGTCAAAAGACCATAAAAGGCTCAAAATTCTGATTGTTTTTCAAACAATTCGAAGTTTTGTAAACAGTTAATTTATAAATTTGACCATATCAATGATAATTTATGTTAACACAGAAGTGCTGACTACTGTACATCGTGTTACTGCATGGGTTATTTGTGTCACTATTTTTAATGTGCTAGCTCATAAGGTTTCAGTCCGCAGGAAGACATATCACCCTAACTGGACACTATATATTCTGATTCCGACCCAATTAGTCTTTGCTCGTACCCCTTAATGCCACGCGATAAGGAAAATCCGCAAATACCAATTTTAAAGTATGTGGTTTGACCTGGTCGGGGTCAGAACCCACGATATCCGGTACTCCAGGTGAAGACGCTTCAACGAGACAACTGAGACGGTGTTTGTCTCATTAGTTTTAAGCTGGTTGGGAAAATGACTAACAAAGCGAAACTGTGTACCAAAATGTGCATGGTGTTTTAAAAGATGAATATCTATTATTCAAAAATTAACTTACAATAAACAAATGAGATTATAAATCAAACTTGGAAAAAATTACTATAGCTGTGTGTTTATGCGCATTTGATTAGTGGACTTATTAAGAATAAAATACTTCTTTTTGTAATTGGGATGTTAAAGCGATAACCGAGGCACATTTTGGATGAAGCGCGGAAGTTACAAAAGAGGCATTCAAAGCGTTATTACATTTTAATGCTACAACCATGAAATAATGACTTTTATCAAATTTTTCGAAATAACCAAATGTCATTCTATTACAACTCTTAAAATTGTGCAATTTGATAAAACAGTCAGTTTTGACAAGATTTTGTACAGTTTTAATTCATTTATTCTATTTATTTAATTGTACAATGACTTAAATGAAGGGTGCTTATAGTAAGAATCCTTCTTATTAATATAAATCCTCGTTTAAACATACGCATCCACCCAAAGAATTGTCTTTTGCAATCATATAATCTTATTAGTATCTTGCATGTCCAAGCATTATTGTTCATTTCAATAAACAAATTACAAAAACACAAAAACAAAACGAAAAAATACATAATGCAAAATAAACACATACTATGAATTTTACATGATATTTCACGAATCAATCGACAACGAATGGAAAGAGAAATCATTTTTTCGTCATAGACAGTATCCACATCCTAATTACAGAAAAAAAAATCGTTCCATATTTCATTTCATCATGAAAGAAACAGGAGTTTATTCAGTACTCATTTTTCACTTTTCTTTATTATGTTTCCCTGGCTTCCAAGAAGAGCTGAATGGTTACATTATGTTTTACTTGAAATATTCTTCTTCTTCTTCTTCTTCTCATACACACTTCTTCTTCTTCTTCTTCTTCTTCTTCTGAATTTTATTCTCATACACACTTGTTTAGTTTTTTGACATTGACTTGTGATATTTGACATATGATAAAGTGTACAGCTATGAGATATCAGGTTAATATCATTATGACCTTTCCCGTTGATCTATTAGGAAAACACTCAGACACATATACAATGTGTTACAAGAGGTCATTATTGATAACATATATACATTAAATGAGTTCTTGACCTTTGACTTTCAAGGTAAAATGAAGCTACAAATGAAAAGTCCAACCCTAAAACCATATATGTTCTTATAGGCTATGTCAATTTCTTTTTACTGCACCGAAAGAATAATACCTTGAGGTCAAATTCACGTTATATAATGAATCGTTAATTATCTCCAAAATGGTTTATATCCCCACCCATTGCTTTGATAACGGTCATTTCTAATTCACCATAGGTTTTGTACCATGGGGACACAATCACATCCCCATCCTACATTACATTAATTCTTAATTGCCTGGATAAGACATTTTATTCAAGACGAGGTCTGTGTGTGGTACAAGCCACGTCTCTTTCATTTCATTAACTGTTAAATATCTTTAAAAACTGTTTATTAGTAAATCCTTTATATTCTTGTTTTCGTGAAAAGACCTTCACATTCAAACATAGGTTGTGTAGTTGTCTTTAATTTAAGAAAAACGTTTGCTGTTGCTTAGCAACATGTGGGTTCCTATGCTCGATATGGAATTCGTCAAAAAAGATTAATGATACTCTAGATGTTTGTATTATAGTGTTACGCCATATGAGAAAGTACATTTTTCCAAAATTACTAAGAACCCATTATTGAACGGTTGCTATGCACTTATTACGTAGCTAAGTTGTTAATAAGCATCATGTGAACTACAATTGAACTAACTTTTCATTTCTAACTAAAAGATGTTCATCAACAGACAATCTGCATTACATTTAATTTAATTTGTTCAATAAAATGACTAATTGATCTGAAGTTGTCTTCAATTCAAATATTTTTTGCCGTTGCTAAGCAACATTTGTGTTGTTATGCTCAATACGGAATTTGTTAAGAATAAAGATGTTTGTGATAGTATATATGGGAATGAAACACCATATGGAAAAGAAAAATTTTTCAAACAACTGCTATTTGCATACTTCAGAGGGGGAAAACTCCCATTTTTTAACCATTGCTAGGTAACATTTCTGTTGCTAGGTTGTTTTTAAGCATATAGTAAACGAAATCAAAGGGACTTTTCATTTGTGGCTTCAAGTTCTTCTTGGACAAACAATATAATTTGGAATTATTTGAATTTGTACGGGTAAAGCAATTACTATTTGATAATTTTTATACTTAATAAAAACCGTTGCTAGGCAACCTTCCTTTCACCGGAACACTATAAAATCATTGTTTTTTTCAAGTTTCTATACTAAGACCATTAATGAAATTAACATAAACTTATTTGGAGAGGGGGCCAAAAACACCCCTTATCGTACCTTGTCCTTTATATTTTTGAAAATCACAATATTTTTATTGTATTCAGTATTCACAATATTTACAAACTTGTAGTTAAGTGAAAATCTGCTTTAGACAAATGCAGAGAAGGAGACCTGTTTGATAGATTTTAGAATAACTGCAGAATTTTTTATATATATATTTTATATTGCATAATTATCTTTAGGAGTGAAATCCTTTTTCAATAAAACAAGTTTTTTGTCTGCACTTTAAAACTTATGTAACTAAGACATACTGTTACTAGAATATAATGTATTTATGCCCACCAATGTACATACAGTAGTTGATTTCTTGTAATCCACCATTGCTACAGAAAAAAGCCTTTAATTAAGTCATTCTCTGTTATTAAAACCATCATGCAAATGTTGTGCAAGGTGGGGTTTGGTTTCTCAACTTTTCATAATTTTACATATAATAACTGAATTTTGATGTTATTTAAGGATGGTTTTAGTGTACCAGAGTCTCCAATATGGATGGATGCCAGTACAATGTCACAATGTCAAAAGTTAGAAGAAAGTGTAGGAGGTCCTCTGGTAAATATATTATGTATCAGTAGGTCTTTTAGTATGTCTTGTACCTTTGTGACTTTCTGGTAAATATATGATGTATCAGTAGGTCTTTTAGTATGTCTTCTACCTTTGTGACAGCATTGTGCTCTTGTGGCAAAAAATACAGATTACTTTTTTTGATGTCATTGCTTCACCAGCAAAATCTTAAATTCAACACTGCCTGTACTTTTAAAAGTCTTATTTTGACTTTTTTAACTACCTTATTCAAATCTTTAATTTCAGAATCATACAGTAAAAAAACTTGCTTTATATGAATCATTTGAGATTTTATTGATGCATTTTTACAGCATAAGAGGTCTTACAAATATACAAATAATACTGGATAAAATCAAGATATTTTGGGGAATGATATGATTTTGTCCAGTTTCATTCGACCAGGTCCACATTAAATAAAACCAGATAACTGTTATAAAGACAGGAAGTTTTTATGAAAGAGATGATGTTAATTGTCCTTTTTCATATCATTGTGTTAAAAAAAATTCACTTTAAAATTAAAATTAGTGCATCAAGTTATAATCAAATGCTCTTAATTGTTGGTTATCATTTATTACTTTTATGATTTCAGAAATTAGCAGAAATAACTGGTTCTCGAGCATTTGTTAGAATGACTGGTGAACAGATTATGAAGATTTCACAGAATGACCCTGAAGCATATGCTAATACAGAGGTTGTGTAACTAGAGAGAGAGAAAAAATATAATTCTCCTTATTTTTCAAGAACATTTGATAATCAAATAAGAGATTTTTTGGAAAGATTGGAACTATTGTTCCAAGTCTTTCCTAAGACACAGGCTTTCCTTACAAGAAGTAGCACAGGTTAACTACTAAATCTACAAAATGTATGCACACTGAAATATAGTTCCCTATGATTCTCATGTCTGTTTACGTATGCACATATGAACTGTGAAAAAATTGGGTTATATTTATACTAATCAATAATAGTACACTTATCAGTGATTTGCTTGATACAGTCATGACAGTAAGTAAAATTTTAAAACTCTTAACCCTAGCAAACCAATATTTTTTTAATTTATTCCCCATCTAATGTCTGTTAACAATTTCAGTCATTTGAATATAAGAATATATGTGTATTTTTGCAATTAAGAATGAATCCCCATTTCAATAAAATAAGTTTTTTAATTTGTTTATGTTGAAAGTTCATTTTCAATGCCATTTTCTGGAAAATATTAAAATCATAAATTGAATCAAAATTCAATCTACAACTTTTAATCTCCAGTGTCATATAAACACAATAATTGTTTTCAAAATCAATAAGCAATTCTTAGAGGAGAAAAATAGTATACCTATGTTTCAACTTACAAAATGCCCCCAAAACAACCTTTTTAGATTATTTTTTTGGAGACAATAAAGTTCTGAGCTTCCAATGTATCTATTTGTCCCATGTCCTACAAGGATAATAGATTTATTAGAAGAATCTTTGTTTTGTAATTTCTTCTGTTTAAAAAGATAAAACCTAAAAGGTGAAACATGCAACAAAGAACATTATATGGTTAAGATATAAACTGCAATTTTAACGAAATTGTTGTGCAGATTAAGGGACCCGCTATCAGAGATTCACATTTAGCTCTTTTTATCTAATGAAAAATTGCTTATCCTTCTAAAAACCTGCTGTTAATGCAATTGTCAGCAATAGTTCTATATTAATGTTTTTTTTTGTATACACCATACCTAAATATGATTTGAAATTATTCAAACTACTCTTCCAATCTTTCCAAGAGTGATTCCATTACTTTGATTTAGATAGAATACCCAAAATGAAGATATGAAATAAGTGGTTTTTGTCAATAAGTTATCATAATATTTTTTCTTCTATAAATTCTGCTTCTAGTAATGACACACTTAATAGTTAAATAGGCAAAGCATGACTACATGTTTCATATGCATTGTATATGCTTTTTGATAAGATGTGTAGATAACTTCTTATTACATTGGTATTAATGAAATACCATGATTTCCAAGTAAACAGATAAATAGGTAAAACTGAATATTTCACATTTGAAATACAACCAATATTTTCACTTCTCTTGCATCATACCATAATGGGTGTTGTCAAGATGTCAATAACGTTCCATCAAAATGAATTGAGAATGCATATAAAAAGAATATAGTTTCTTGCATTTTCTACTTTATTTTCATTAAAAAGTCCTTGGTCACTGTAATAAAAAGAATAACTAATCCAAGAATGCTAAATATTCAATTCTTGACAGAACAACACTGATAATAAACTCATGCAGTATACACTTTCATTAATTAATGTGTTGTTCGGTCAATAGTTGATTTTTTTTTATATTTGAATTCTTGGATTAGTTATTCTATAACTATTTTCAGTTTATAACACTTCCATGAGACTTCAGTAAAAAAAAAAAAAAATTTACAAAAGTTACAAATAGAAAATCTTGTTTCAGATTGGAGCATACACTCTGCTAATTGTCAGGTCACATTATAAGTTGTAATTCAATATTTTTTAAGAAACCTCAAGAATATTGATATAATAATTACAATTAGATGTTTCTTTTTTGTAATTTCATCGGATTGTAAAAGCATTGCTTGTGAGCACATTTTAGTATCAAGTGCTTCAACTCTTCATCCAAAATGTGCTTTGGTCAACGCTTTTACACCCAAATAAGTTTTTCAAGAAAAATATTCAATTCTTAATTTAAAATTACTATGTCACATACCCTGACATAAGGTTGATATTACACAAATTGTGACTTATTAATTAAAAATTACAACCAATTTATTAAATGTGACTATTTTCATTGAAGTAAAGGTATCTTGAAAAGTATATGTATGATTTTTTTAACTTTGTTTTTCAGAGGATATCATTGGTCAGTAGTTTTGTGCCAAGTATTTTGATTGGTGATTATGCTCCAATAGATTTAAGTGATGGAAGTGGAATGAATTTGTTGGACATCAATACTAAAACATGGTCTCAGCAATGCTTAGATGTAAGTTGTATTTTTCATTTTGTTTACGCATACATTGTGCTGTGAAAGCGATCTTTGACTTGCATTCTATAAAAAGAAGGCCAGTAGTAACTTGAAGATGTATGATAAATCCTAAGTTGAATAACCATTTTTGAAACACAGGCTTATTTACTGTTTTTCTTTAACAAACCAGCCAAAATGTATCATTTTAAATCAGCTGTGCTTTAAAAAGTGAATCTTAATTTTGAATAAAATGATCCGCTGGGCGCAGCTTGATACGACCACAGAGGTCGAACCCTGAACAGTTGGGGCAAGTATGGACACAAAATTCAAGCTTGATATAGCACTGAATTTGGATTGTGATTAAATATTTGACACAGCATAGGTTTCTGACACAGAATGAATGTGGTCTAAGAAACTACAAAAATGCTTGTTTTTTTTCCCTTTTTTGGCCCCTAATTCCTAAAATTTTGAGGCAATTCCCCAAAATCAATCCCATCCTTCCCTTTGTGGTATGGTACCTTTCAGTACAATTTTAGAGAGATCCATACACTTGAACACAAGTTATTGTCTGGAAACTAGAAAAATGCTTGTTTTTTGGCCCCTTTTTGGCCCCAAATTCCTAAACGTTTAGGGCAATTACCCCCAAACTCAAACCCAGCTTTCCCTTTATGATATGGAACCTTGTAGTACAATTTCATAAAGATCCATACACTTACACACAAGTTATTGTCATGAAACTAGAAAAATGCTTGTTTTTTGCCCCTTTATTGCCCCTAATTCCTAAAATTTTGAGGGAATTACCCCCAAAATCAATCCCAGCCTTCCCTTTGTGGTATGGTACCTTTCAGTACAATTTCAGAGAGATCCATACACTTGAACACAAGTTATAGTCTGGAAACTAGAAAAATGCTTGTTTTTTGGCCCCTTTTTGGCCCCAAATTCCAAAACGTTTAGGGCAATTACCCCCAAACTTAAACCCAGCTTTCCCTTTGTGATATGGAAGCTTGTAGTACAATTTCAGAAAGATCCATACACGTACACACAAGTTATTGTCATGAAACTAGAAAAATGCTTGTTTTTTGCCCCTTTTTTGGCCCCTAATTCCTAAAATTTTGAGGCAATTACCCCCAAAATCAATCCCAGCATTCCCTTTGTGAAGTAAAACCTTGTGGTACAATGTCAGAGAGATCCATACACTAACACACAAGTTATGTCTGGAAGTTACAAAAATGCTTATTTTTGGCCCCTAATTCCTTAACTGTTGGTACCATAACCCCCAAAATCAATCCCAACCTTCCTTTTGTGGTATTGAACCTTATGGTAAAATTTCATAGAGATCCATTCACTTAAACTAAAGGTAGAGTGCGAAAACCAATGTGTCTTCGGACGACGACAACAACGACGACGACGCCAACGTCATACCAATATACGACCGCAAAATTTTTTTGCAGTTGTATAATAATTGGTTTATCAACTGCTTGAAAAGCAGCCTGATATTGGTGTATAAATCCTGCCTTAGTCATAGATGAAACTATATGTTAATAATACTATATAAACATTACATTTACAGTCAAAACAAATTTCATAGAAATTGTAGAATTTACACTGTAAAGTCCTGATAGTTGAATGTATAATTTTTATACGACCACAAAAAAAATTTTGTGGTCGTATATTGGTATGACGTTGGCGTCGTCGTCTCCGTCGTCGTCGTCCGAAAACACATTAGTTTTTGCACTCTAACTTTAGTTTAAGTGAATGGATCTCAATGAAATTTTACCATAAGGTTCAATACCACAAAAGGAAGGTGGGGATTGATCTTGGGGGTTATGGTACCCACAGTTAAGGAATTAGGGGCCAAAAATAAGCATTTTTGTAACTTCCAGACATAACTTGTGTGTAAGTATGGATCTCTTTGACATTGTACCACAAGGTTCCATATCACAAAGGGAATGCTGGGATTGATTTTGGGGGTAATTGCCTCCAAATTTTAGGAATTAGGGGCCAAAAAGGGGCAAAAACAAGCATTTTTCTAGTTTCATGACGATAACTTGTGTGTAAGTGTATGGATCTCTCTGACATTGTATCACAAGGTTCCATATCACAAAGGGAATGCTGGGATTGATTTTGGGGGTAATTGCCTCCAAATTTTAGGAATTAGGGGCCAAAAAGGGGTAAAAAACAAGCATTTTTCTAGTTTCATGACAATAACTTGTGTGTAAGTGTATGGATCTTTATGAAATGGACTACAAGGTTCCATATCACAAAGGGAAAGCTGGAATTGAGTTTAGGGGTAATTGCCCAAAAAGTTTAGGAATAAGGGGCCAAAAAGGGGCCAAAAATAAGCATTTTTCTAGTTTACAGACAGTAACTTGTGTTCAAATGTATAGATCTCTCTGAAATTGTACTGCAAGGTACCATACCACAAAGGGAAGGCTGGGATTGATTTTGGGGGTAATTCCCTCAAAATTTTAGTAATTAGGGGCCATAAAAGGGCAAAAAAACAAGCATTTTTCTAGTTTCAGAACAGTAACTTGTGTGTAAGTGTATGGATCTTTATGAAATTGTACTGCAAGGTTCCATATCACAAAGGGAAAGCTGGGTTTGAGTTTGGGGGTAATTGCCCAAAACGTTTAGGAATTTGGGGCCAAAAAGGGGCCAAAAAACAAGCATTTTTCTAGTTTCCAGACAATAACTTGTGTTCAAGTGTATGGATCTCTCTGAAATTGTACTGCAAGGTACCATACCACAAAGGGAAAGCTGGGATTGAGTTTGGGGGTGATGAATCATAAGGGGGTTCAAAAAATTGGGGGGGATTTTTTTTCCCTTTTTTTTCTTTAAAATTTTCCGTTTTAAATTGATTATTTCTGATTTATATATAAAAGCAAATAATAATGATATGATTTGAATAGGTAAATTAAAAAGTTCTTAGACCACTTTCATTCTGTGTGAGAAACCTATGCTGTGTCAAATATTTAATTACAATCCCAATTCAGTGCTGTATCAAGCTTGAATGTTGTGTCCATACTTGCCCCAACTGTTCAGGGTTCAACCTCTGCGGTCGGTTCAAGCTGCGCCCCAGCAGAGCATTTTATTGAATTTACTGTAATTTATTGTTTAATTGATATGAAATGTTGATGTTCCATAACAAACTGGATCCATAAAGTCTCCAACAGTGATGGTTAATCCTCAGAAGCAGTAATGTAGTGATGTGATTGGTACAAATTAACTTTGATAAAGGTCAAATGATGATTTAGTTAATTTACTTTGGATTTTAGGCATGTGGAGAGAATCTAGGAGAAAAGTTAGGAGAACCTGTTCCCTCACCCACCGTTGTTGTAAGATTTTATGTGTATTATATTTGAACTTTTTGGAAACAAATGATAAACAAAAAGCTTTGTAACAATTTGTTATTTAGCTGAAGAATGTAAACAAATATTGCACAAGATGCAGTTATATCATCTGTTTGACTATATGTATACAAAATACAAAGTTTTCTTTTTTATTGTAACCTGAATACAAGACTATATTGTCTGTTGGACATAGAAGATAAATTTCATAGCATTGCAGTGTCAAAACCTGAAAATGGCATAAGGGTTTTACCATATTATAGAATTTTGACCAATGGCCAACAAACTCAAAGAAGTAATCCACATATTAATTGGAAGTTAAACAACCACTTATGGAAAAGTATAAATTGTCTAAGAATGATAGAAATGGGTTTGATAAATAGTCATATTGAAAACAAAGTTAACATCTATAATGTCAAGGCATCTACTTAGATGGAAAATTAGATAACAAAAATGCTATAAATCACACATATTATGAATGAAAACAAATGAATTTACCACAAAGAAAAAAATACTAATGTACACGACTTTCCCATAATGTTATATTTTTATGACTTCATTAGATCAGTTATTTTTATCATAACATTTTTATGTTTCAGGGAAATATACATAGCTATTTCTGTGATAAATATGGTTTCCCTGATGAATGTAAAGTTGTAGCATTTACTGGAGATAATCCCTGTAAGTAAACTATTCCCAAAAATAAGGGTTAAAGTTAGAATTGTAACTTTTAATGATTAAAGTTCAAATATTGATACCTTACATAAACATGCCAATTCTAAATTCAATACCTTGTACTTTTCATCTCTTGCTATATTACAGAAAATTCATTAATAGATTTATATGAGGAAACACTTGAAGGAGCAAGTAAAATTTTGTGTACATAATCGTAATGATGATACACTACTATTTATATCTGGTACCAAGGCAAATGTCTCTATGGGCATGGTTTCCCCTTGGTCAATTTCTTTTTTCGCCACCTCTTTCACCAAAACAATATTTTTTTCGCCAACTAACATAAACAGATTTTGTTCAGGACTTTTTTTCCTTCTTGCTAACAAAAAAAAATCCAGTTTATAGCATTGTTGTTTCTTTTATTATTATTCCACATCTATTTTATAACTTACATTGTAATAAATAAACACTAAATTAGAAAAACAATTCTTGTATTTTTTTAACGATACTGTAAAATTTGTCTTCTGGGAAGACAGGATTCATCTTCAGTTTATCATCAATCAGGTTATTAGATACGTCCGGCCTAGTTAAAGGACAAGGAATAAAATTAGAGATTTTTCTTAATTTTGACCCCTTTCTTTAAAACAACAGTTTTCTTTTCCTGACCATCGTTAAAAGTAAAAGTTGAGATATAAAACTTTACTTAAAACAGGTGCGCCACTAAAACGATGTGAAGTACCCTCTTCAAAACCATTTTTTTCATCAAACTTGTTAAAACATTACTTTCGCTGACATGTGTTGCCATTTTACCTTACCTTTCCATTAAACAAAAAAATCAAATTAAAAAACCTTTATTGATTAGTCCATTGTTGCCGATTGCTATATCAAATGCAATCAGCTGATTATTGATTGTCTGTCAAAATTGATATGTGTGATGAGTTCAAAGGTGAAATCCGAGTATTGTTTGATCAGGGAAAAAGTCTGAGAAACCTGAAACAATATTAACAAGATGGGTCGAAATCGAACTGTTATATCATGATTTTTAATTGCCACAATTATTATTTTCTTCGCAAAATGTGAAAATGGTGAGAGCCAGCAGAAACCCTGTCCATGGATATCAGAGGTTTGAATACATGAACATTTCATATGCCATACTAATAGATTTTATTATGATTTCAGCATCTCTAGCAGGACTGTCACCTAGGGTTGGGGATGTAATTGTAAGTATCTGATTGTATCTATGTATTCAGCTCAATTATATTTTTATTCAGATCAAAATCTTTTAAAAAAATCGATAACTTATATTTGGAACTCTTTTTATAAAGGAAGTGTGTGAAGTGCCATCTTAAGGTGCATGTCAACATATTTGTATGCTGTAGGAAAAAAAAATCTTTAAAGGGAATTCCTTTGTTTTATTTTTTAAAGTTAATTTTCCCACAAATATGTGGATGATTTTGCCTTCAATAAACCTAAAATTGTTTTACTATGATTAGCTGAAGATCCACTGTATTGATGAAAAATGTCAGAAGGGTGAAGGGTGATGAGTTCAAATTGTATTGCAATCATGAAAATTAGTAATCTAGCTTACAATTTTAAAATTGATAATCTTTACAGACTGAAGAATTTTAAAATCTTGACAGTCTCAAAAAAGAAAATACATTTTTATACGACCGCAAATTTTTTGCGGTCATATATTGGTATGATGTTAGACGTCGTCGTCCGAAGACACATTGGTTTTCGCACAATAACTTTAGTTTAAGTGAATGGATCTATGAAATTTTACCATAAGGTCCAATACCACAATAGGAAGGTTGGGATTGATTTTAAGGGTTATGGTGCCAACAGTTAAGGAATTAGGGGCCAAAAATAAGCATTTTTCTAGACAATAATTTGTGGAACGGTGTATGGATCTCTCTGAAATTATACCAAAAGTTTCCATACCACAAAGGGATGGTTTGGATTTGCTTTGGGGGGTTATGGCTCAAACTATTAAGGAATAAGGGGCAAAAAAGGGGGAAAAACAAGGGTGTCCTGGTTAATGGACAAATACTTTAGTACAAAACATAATTTAAAGCAGTGTAAGGGATGTAATTCAAATACATCATTTGAATTACTTCCCTTCCACTGCTTTTAAATTATGTATAAAGTAATGGTTAATGAACAATTAAGACAATTTAAAAGCAGTGTAAGGGAGGTTATCCAAAAAATACGTTTTGATTACCTTTCTTACACTGCTTTTAAATTATGTTTAAAGAAATGCATATTTATAAAGGAAGACCAGTAAAAATATCTGCAAACGTTGCATCTTTTTTTTTACAAAAAAAATCTGTATGAAAGATTTGACACCATATTTTAAATTCTATTATAAAATAGATTAAGTTAGCACTATGGTAAATTTAAATGAGTAATTATGGTTGCAAACTCCATTGGAAATTTGATTATGACCATATCTTGAGGGAAAGATTTTTTTGAGGAAAAAGGGGGGGTAAAAAAAAAAATTGTGGGGGGTCAATTTTTTCTCATTTCAGATTTCAGAAATTAAAAAGAAAAATTCTTCAAATATTTTTTTTTTTTTGCAACAAAAAAGTGGGGGGGGAGGGGGGGGGGGTGTTAAATACGCAGAAGCATAGTGTATTGCACAAAAGCAAAAAAAAAAGGGGGGGGGTAAATTTTTAATTTTTTTTGTGGGGGCAGAGGGGGTCAATTCGCAACAGTAAAGTGTATTGCACAAAAGCAAAAAATTTAATATAAATTCAAATCATATAACCAATTCTAAGTTCTTTGACTACAGTTATTCTGCGTCAGAAACCTTTTATGTGTCAAATATTTAATTACAATCCAAATTCAGACCTGTATCAAGCGCGAATATTGTGTCCATTTTTGCCCCAACTGTTCAGGGTTGGACCTCTGCGGTCGTATCCAGCTGTGCTCGGGGAAGCAATTTATTTTTTCTTAAACAATATTACTTGTTCTGTATACAATCAATTTTATCTGTAAGATTTTTTGTGAAATGAGGGCCTGTATTCCTTTTTTTGGTCCCAATGATTAATCTATATTTGGCATATTCAATTTTGCCATCCTGCTTACATATTAAAGGTTATTACAAAAAAAAGTATTGTATGCATTGAATTTGGTATTGTTTTAGTTACTACACATTAAGAAAGCCTGTGTGTACAGTGTATTCTACTTAGACAGCTATACATTATTGTTGTTAGTAAAGAATGGATATGGGATTGATGAACAGGAGACAATAATCATTAAATATTTACATTATATTTTGATGTTTTGAGTTGTAATGTACTCATTTTTATACCCCCTGCATTTAGTGATAGAGGGTAGGGTGTCTGTCCATCTGATCATCCTGCCATCCTACTTTTGTATTCTCTTCTGCTTCTGAACCCCTTGACACAAATTGGCCTAACTTTCACAGAATCTTACTCATAGGTTATTCTTTTTCATCTCCAAATTCATTTTTTCATCAAAATGATTTTTGGGGTTTACTTCAGTATGACATGAACTTTTGTCATATTTGCATATATAAGTGTACTAATTTGTAAACCCTTCACTTTCTAAACCCCTTATCAGGCCTAAATGAAACTTTTTCAGAATCTTCACCATATACAGGGTAATGCAAATGCATACCTCTTTTTTTGTTTTTTTATCTGAATTATTTATTATGGGGTTTCTCGTACAAAGTCATGGACTTTGCCATTGCTTTCTCTTTTGGTATTAATTTTATATCTGCAAATCCTCCTAAACCCATGATGATATTTTATTATACACTTGCTCCAAAGGATGCTGGTTTACCTTTGTCTATCCAAATGTTTACCCGGTGATTTTTCCTCGGAAACACAAATTAGGGATTCCGGAAATTTGGTATAAAGCTGCATGTGAGCCTACTATACTGTGTAATACTTTTTCACATCCATTGCTCTTCAACTTTTAGTTAACCAAATACTGATATATTCCTATGCATAATAGCCTTGAATGAAATTTATGTTGCACCTTTCTCAGGAACTACAAATTAGAGCGTCCTGAAATGTGGTATCAAGCTTCATTTGAGCTTATGCATGTTATAGGGTGATATGCATCTCATTGCTCATCAACATCCTGTTTACAGAATATGTATAGCAAGGGTAGACATTCTGTATTGTTAACCTTTACTGTGTGACACATTTTTAGATCTATTACTTATTTACTTGCAGTTTGACTCATACATGTATAAATTTGTTCTTCATCTTGATACCGATATAAAAAAAGTTTGTTGCATTTTTCTCAGCAACTACAAATTAGAACTTCTTGATATTTGGTAGCAAGCTTCATATTGGTAAGCTCTACCATGTGACACATTTTCAATTCTGTCATAGTTCTTTAAGTCATTATACTGTTTTAGTAGCATTATGAAGATAAAACAATCTTATTGAATTGGACTAAAACTTTCATTTCAAATGATTTGTGTGTCTGTCACAATGAAAATTATGAAAGTTAAACAATAGGAATATAATTTAACCACATTTTTGGGTTACTTCCTTAAATTTCAAGATTCAACATTAATTTGCGAGGACTGTAGATTAGTAATAGAAATAAGTTATATATGTTTTTGCTTGCTCTTTAGTAAGTGATTGTAAGTTTTTCATTTGACATTTGATTGCATTTTTAGATTTTGATCCAATTTTTCAAAATAGTAATTAACCCATTTCATGAAAATTCTTTATCAAGGATATCAGAGTATGGTCACTACTGTGCTTTTTAGCTCACCTGGCCCAAAGGGCCAAGTGAGCTTTTCTCATCACTTGGCATCCGTCGTCTGTCGTCGTCGTCCGTTAACTTTTACAAAAATCTTCTCCTCTGAAACTACTGGGCCAAATTTAACAAAACTTGGCCATAATCATCATTGGGGTATCTAGTTTAAAAAATGTGTCCAGTGACCCCGCCAACCAACCAAGATGGCCGCCATGGCTAAAAATAGAACATAGGGGTAAAATGTAGATTTTGGCTTATATCTCTGAAACCAAAGCATTTAGAGCAAATCTGACATGGGGTAAAATTGTTTATCAGGTCAAGATCTATCTGCCCTGAAATTTGGTCAGTTGACCCCTTAAGGAGTTATTGCCCTTTATAGTCAATTTTTAACCATTTTTCGTAAATTTTTGTAATCTTTTACAAAAATCTTCTCCTCTGAAACTACTAAGACAAATTTAACCAAACTTGTCCACAATCATCATTAGGGTATCTAGTTTAAAAAATGTGTCCGATGACCCCGCCCGCGAACCAAGATGGCCGACATGGCTAAAAAATAGTACATAGGGTAAAATGCAGTTTTTGGCTCATATCTCTGAAACCAAAGCATTTAGAGCAAATCTGATGTGAATAAAATTGTTCATTAGGTCAAGTTCTATGCCCTGAAATTTTCAGATGAATCGGACAACCCGTTGTTGGGTTGCTGCCCCTGAATTGGTAATTTTAACGAAATTTTGCTGTTTTTGGTTATTATCTTGGATATTATTATAGATAGAGATAAACTGTAAACAGCAATAATGTTCAGCAAAGTAAGATCTACAAATAAGTCAACTTGACCAAAATGGTCAGTTGACCCCTTAAGAAGTTATTGCCCTTTATAGTCAATTTTTAACCATTTTTCGTAAATTTTTGTAATCTTTTACAAAAATCTTCTCCTCTGAAACTACTAAGACAAATTTAACCAAACTTGTCCACAATCATCATTAGGGTATCTAGTTTAAAAAATGTGTCCGATGACCCCGCTCGCGAACTAAGATGGCCGACATGGCTAAAAAATAGTACATAGGGTAAAATGCAGTTTTTGGCTCATATCTCTGAAACCAAAGCATTTAGAGCAAATCTGATGCGAATAAAATTGTTCATTAGGTCAAGATCTATGCCCTGAAATTTTCAGATGAACGGACAACCCGTTGTTGGGTTGCTGCCCCTGAATTGGTAATTTTAACGAAATTTTGCTGTTTTTGGTTATTATCGTGGATATTATTATAGATAGAGATAAACTGTAAACAGCAATAATGTTCAGCAAAGTAAGATCTACAAATAAGTCAACTTGACCAAAATGGTCAGTTGACCCCTTAAGAAGTTATTGCCCTTTATAGTCAATTTTTAACCATTTTTCGTAAATTTTTGTAATCTTTTACAAAAATCTTCTCCTCTGAAACTACTAAGACAAATTTAACCAAACTTGTCCACAATCATCATTAGGGTATCTAGTTTTAAAAATGTGTCCGATGACCCCGCTCGCGAACTAAGATGGCCGACATGGCTAAAAAATAGTACATAGGGTAAAATGCAGTTTTTGGCTCATATCTCTGAAACCAAAGCATTTAGAGCAAATCTGATGCGATTAAAATTGTTCATTAGGTCAAGATCTATGCCCTGAAATTTTCAGATGAATCGGACAACCCGTTGTTTGGTTGCTGCCCCTGAATTGATAATTTTAACGAAATTTTGCTGTTTTTGGTTATTATCTTGGATATTATTATAGATAGAGATAAACTGTAAACAGAAATAATGTTCAGCAAAGTAAGATCTACAAATAAGTCAACTTGACCAAAATGGTCAGTTGACCTCTTAAGAAGTTATTGCCCTTTATAGTCAATTTTTAACCATTTTTCGTAAATTTTTGTAATCTTTTACAAAAATCTTCTTCTCTGAAACTACTAAGACAAATTTAACCAAACTTGTCCACAATCATCATTAGGGTATCTAGTTAAAAAAAATGTGTCCGATGACCCCGCCCGTGAACCAAGATGGCCAACATGGCTAAAAAATAGTACATAGGGTAAAATGCAGTTTTTGGCTCATATCTCTGAAACCAAAGCATTTAGAGCAAATCTGATGTGAATAAAATTGTTCATTAGGTCAAGATCTATCTGCCCTGAAATTTTCAGACCAATCAGGCAACACATTATTGGGTTGCTGCCCCTGAATTGGTAATTTTAAGAAAATTTTGCAGCTTTTGGTTATTATCTTGAATATTATTATAGATAGAGATAAACTGTAAACAGCAATAATGTACAACAAAGTTAGATCTACAAATAAGTCAACATGACCAAAATTGTCAATTGACCCCTTAAGGAGTTATTGCCCTTTATAGTCAATTTTTTACAATTTTCATAAATTTTCTAAATTTTTGTAAATTTTTACAAAATATTTTCCACTGTAACTACCGGGCCAAGTTCATTATAGATAGAGATAATAGTAAGGAGCAAGAATGTTCAGTAAAGTAAGATCTATAAACACATCACCATCACCAAAACACAATTTTGTCATGAATTCATCTGTGTCCTTTGTTTAATATGCACATAGACCAAGGTGAGCGACACAGGCTCTTTAGAGCCTCTAGTTTTATAAGTACTCAACAAATTTAACTTATTTGAAAAACATTTTTTCTTCTCCCCGGAATTTGTCCATTTCTTTGAAATTTAGGATTTATAGCAAAATTCGAATAGTGGATTGGAATGATCCAATGGAAAAAGTAGAAAAAAAATCAAAATTTGTACAACTTTTTCAAATATGTAGAATTAAAAAAAATGTCTTGATGTAAAATTATCTTACAATCATGTTACATATCTATTTACTCTACAATGTCTTCATGTTCTGGCATGCTCACAAGGTGATCAGAACTTTTTGCTCCTCATTTCATAGTTTAGTCTTGGAACCAGTGATTGTATCTTCCTCTGGGTACCAGATTGGCGACCAATTTTAATAGGCGATGCTTATATAAACCCTGTGCATCAAGATGAGTTTTATAACTTTGTAGGGTAAGTGTCTAGGTGATGCACCAGTTATTTCCTACCTGCCATGAGGCATTGCATCTTCATCATAATCAAGAATGAATTACTAACACAGCTTCAGTGGATTTGTGAAATAAAAATCTCAAAGAAAAAAGTGTGTCAAACAAATGAATTATTGAAGTGAAATCAAAAGTTATTTATACTTAATTTCATATTTACATGTGCTCACCTCAACTTTTTAAAGAAAATATTTGTGAAAACACATCCAGTTGATCTATGTTATTTTAGATTTTTGAAAAGTAACAAGGTTGCAATCAAAAATATTTTGTCCACAAATTAATCAGTATAAAATTTTTAAAACATGACCTTAAATGTCAGAAGGAATATGCTGTTTTTGAAGATGATTGATAATTTAGGGGTAAAACAATCTGTGTTATTTTTTCTTTTGTTAAATTTATTTTTCTGTTTATGTAAAATTTTCTATTTCATTTAGGCTACTAGTAAGCCATTAAGAGAAATCCACTGTGTACCTCTTATGTGTCCTTGGTTGTTATATATTTGCATAACAAACTTTATAGACAAGAACATGACAGACATGTAGGAATAAAACCACTAATTCATAGCCCCATTGCTTTTTATGTTAAATTCTGCAACTTCAAGCATTCATAGCTCTTTTGTCTCAAGTTCAAATAAAGGATAGTCATTTCATGTCAAAACTATACCTTATCCAGATGTGTGCTGAATGCAGAATGCGAGACAAACGGATTACAATCCGGCGGCTACAGCTTAAACCACTTGTTTTTTTTGAAAATGTGAAATACTCTCTTATTATGAGTAATAGGATAATTATATTTGGCATATAGTTCCTTGCAAGGTGTACATGTCTGTCAGGTAGAGTTCACATGACCTCAACCTCATTTCATGGATCAGTGATCTAGGTTAAAAATACATGGTCAAGTCAATATCTCAGATACTATAAGCAGTAGGTCAACTATGTTCGGTGTATGGAATGATTGTAAAGTGTATATGTCCGACTGGCAGGTTTCATCTGACCTTGACCCCAATTCATGGTTCATTGGACAATGTTTAGTTTTTTGTGGTTTGGTATCTTTCTCAGATAATTTAAGCAATAGGGCCACTATATTTGGTGTATGGAATAGTTGTAAGGTGTACATGTCCTACATGCAGGTTTCATCTGACCTTGACCTCATTTTCATAGTTCATTGAACAATGTTTAGTATTTTTGGTTTGGTCTGTTTCTCAGATACTATAAGCCATAGGTCAAGTATATTTGATGTATGGAATAATTGTAAGGTGTACATGTCTATCTGGCAGTTTTCATATGATCTTTGACCTCATTTTCATGGTTCATTGGTCAATGATAGGTTTTTCTGGTTATGTCAGTTTATCAGTTACTATAAACAATAGGTCAACTATATTTGGTGTATGGAATGATTGTTAGGTGTACATGTCTGTCTGGCATGGTTCATCTGACTGTGACTTCATTTTCATGGATCATTGATAATGTTAAGTTTATGTGAAACTTGTAGTAAAACCTTCATATAATAGACTTTCAATATGAATTCATTCATAAGTGAGACAGGCAAGACATTTCAGTGTGTGTGCATCATTTTTTATTATTCAAAAGAAACTTTCCAGAAGGTTGCTACAATAATCCCAAGTCCTTAACCTTTCATTTGATACCAAAATTAAAAATATTTTACTTATTGACAAAGTTTATACAGCTATGTGTAGGGACTATTTTGTTCAAAATATGTACTTCTTTCTTGTATGTTCTTTCTGACTAGGCCGAATTAGTGGTTCTATACCTGTAGAATGGTTTGTCAATTTGTTTTCCATTATATATTAAAAGGGAGAAAGATAGGTAAACAAAAGTTCCATTGAAGCTGCACATATATAGCAGACTAATCGTAAATGACTAACATTTTATGAATCATATATATATATATATATAAATACAGTAAAGCATGTATAAAAAGGTCACATGAAATGAAATAACGCCCCTTCAGCCTTGTATATCTATAGGGAAATGAAAAAAAATTTCAGTTAAAAATATTTACAAATTAACTTGTATTAGCAAACAGGAGTTCCACTAGATGTGTTTCTTCGGGATTGAGAAGAGATGAAATAAAGCAGGTACTATTTAAATTAATGGTAAGGTAGATGAAAGTAACCTTACAACATAGAACTTTTGTTTTGAAGTATTAGCATGTGAGATGGTTTTACTGAAGTAAATGACCTACTAAACTTGGTGTTCTTTACAACATTTGATCATTAGAACTAATAGAAGAAAATTACTAGTGTTGAAAGAAGTGAAAAAAAAAACTATTTTCATCAAGTTCAATTAATTTATTCTGTAGGTCATTGACTTAATTTTGCAATCCCTAGACCAAATTTATTTTCATTAAAGAATGCTGGGGTGCACTGTTGTTTAAAACTCTTTAAGTTGGTTTTTGGACCAATTTTGTTGCATTTTAAAACATTGTAGTGCTTGGTTGGTATTCAGTCATATATTTACTGACCCTGTGCTTACATGGTTGACAGAAAGGATATTCACAATTCAATTTCTTTTCTAAACAAGGTAATACAAAGTGTGCAGTCAAAACTAGAATTCCGGGAGCAGAGCTTGGAGATAGAAATATAATCATGATTAAAGCACTACACACCCTACAATTCAGCTTTATTAACAAACTTTAAGGTTCTTTATCATAATACAAAATGTACATCTTTTTTCTATTTGTCCTCCATAAACATATTTACGCTTTTGGTATTTAGCTATATTTTGCCTCCGAATGACCTTAGATCTACTCCAAATCACCTTTTGACGTCAGGCAACAATCACTTTTTAATTGTGACGTCAAATGTTTTGAATTATGATGTCAAAGTTTACGGGAACCTGTGTGATTTTACGTAATGGCGGACAAATTTGCATACAGGTGTAAATACGTCTATTACTGCACATCACAAAGGTTGAACTGTTCCAGTAAAAATTTGACGTCACAATAGAAAATGTCTGACAAAACAAAGGAAAAGTGTTTGTTGTATGACATCAAAAGTGTCACAGATTTACAAAAAGTGATAAGTTCTATTATAAAGAAGGTGATATGATAAGAGAGAAAGGAATGATGTATGTTAAAACAAAATATCCCAAGTTATCAATGAAATGACCTTGAAATCTTGTTGGACTAATTTATCTCTAAGCTTTTTTGTGATATTTTGCATATAAAATATGTTAAACTGAACTCTTGAAATCTATACACCAGAAAGCTTAAGGGTTGAAGTGGTTGTTAAAGATGATAAAGTATTGTTTGGTCTTTTTTACCTACTTCTGGATTCACCTTATCATATTTGGAATCATATAAATAATGTGGTTAATAGTGGTATAGAAAATATTGTGGTCATGTCTAGTTTTTATAGTGAATGAATTACAGTATTAATGCACTGGTTCATGGTAGAAAAATCCATATGAATAAATAGGGACCTGTTTGTTTATGTCAATTTTCCAACAACCAGATTAAATGAATTTCAAATTTTATGACATAAAGGGGTCAAGTGTTGCAAAATCTTTGGTCAGGTGTCACAAAATGCCAAATAGAGATGTGGTGTATTAACTCATTATTGTTAGAGGAGAAGGTTTTGATTAAGATTTAATAGAGTGTCATTGTATTTTAGGGCTAACTGTTGTTGAGTTGTAAGTGATTAAATGTTCTTATTTCTTCTTGGCATCTAAGATATTTATGTATACATAATAATTTCAGTTAGGAAAGATACTGACATAGCTTGTACCACTGTATTGGATATATCATATTGTATATATATCATTCAAAGACTTTCAACAGTATTATGCTTACAACAATTAAGCTTTTGCTTTGCTTTTTAGCTTTGCAAAGATGTAAGATGATTGTGATGCAGACAGCATATGGCAGATAGAATTTGTATGCTTACCTCCAAAGTTGCTTACCTTTATATGTATAGCTTGCTTGATTTTATGTTAATTTATTCATTGATACACAGGTCAGTCTTGGTACAAGTGATACAGTGTTTCTGTGGATGTCACAGCAAAGGGCTGAAACAGAGGGACATGTATTTGTCAACCCAATTGACCCAAATGATTATATGATTATGGTTTGGTATGTACCAGTGCTTTCAAAATTAAAATCTAAGATCTTTATGTTTTTATTGGCATAAACTGCCATTTCCATTTTCTTGAATAATCTGACTTATGCCTCCTTTATCATACCCGAGTGTATGTTCATTTATTTTAGGGGGCATGCTATTATTATATCAAGTCCTTTGAGGTTTTAAATAGGCAAACATTTCTCATTTTTGTCGAGCCTGCGACTTTGTCGCAGAAAGCTCGACATAGGGATAGCGATCCGGCGGCGGCGTTAGCTAACTTCTTAAAAGCTTTATATTTTAGAAGATGGAAGACCTGGATGCTTCATACTTTGTATATGGATGCCTCATGTTACGAAGTTTCCGTCAGTCACATGTCCAATGTCCTTGACCTCATTTTCATGGTTCAGTGACTACTTGAAAAAAAAGTTCAGATTTTTTATAATGTTAAATTCTCTCTTATTATAAGTAATAGGATAACTATATTTGGTATGTGCGTACCTTGCAAGGTCCTCATGCCCGTCAGACAGTTTTCACTTGACCTCGACCTCATTTCATGGATCAGTGAACAAGGTTAAGTTTTCGTGGTCAAGTCCATATCTCAGATACTATAAGCAATAGGTCTAGTATATTCGGTGTATGGAAGGACTGTAAGGTGTACATGTCTAACTGGCAGGTGTCATCTGACCTTGACCTCATTTTCATGGTTCAGTGGTTATAGTTAAGTTTTTGTGTTTTGGTCTGTTTTTCTTATACTGTATGCAATAGTTCAACTATATTTGGTGTATGGAAATATTTTATGATCTATATGTCAGTCACGCAGGTTTTATTTGACCTTGACCTCATTTTCAAGGTTCATTGCTCAGTGTTAAGTTTTTGTGTTTTTGTCTGTTTTTCTTATACTGTATGCAATAGTTCAACTATATTTGGTGTATGGAAATATTTTATGATCTATATGTCAGTCACGCAGGTTTTATTTGACCTTGACCTTATTTTCAAGGTTCATTGCTCAGTGTTAAGTTTTTGTGTTTTTGTCTGTTTTTCTTAAACTATAAGCAGTAGGTCAACTATATTTGTTGTATGGAAGAATTGTTAGCTGTACATGCCTGCCTAGCATGGTTCATCTGACCTTGACCTCATTTTCATGGTTCATTGGTCAATGTTTAGTTTACTTGGTTAATGTTAAGTTTATGTGACAGTTGTAATAAAGCTTTATATTTAGGACTATCAACATAATATCAATGATTAGTAAAGAAGGCGAGACATTTCAGCGTGTGCACTCTTGTTTATATAGATCAGACTGTTGGTTTTCCTGTTTGAATTGTTTGTACTAGTCATTTTGGGGCCCTTTATAGCTTGCTGTTCGGTGTGAGCCAAGGCTCTGTGTTGAAGGCCGTACTTTGACCTATAATTGTTAACTTTTGATACATTGTGACTTGGATGGAGAGTTGTCTCATTGGCACTCATACCACATCTTCTTATTTATATTAAATGTTGAGATCTCAAAAAAGGAGTTAAACCCCAGTGTTCTCCCCAGACCATTAAAGGACCACGGGCCCGCGATGTATAATTTTTTACCGCGGTGGTATCGTTCTTACCGCGATGTATAATTTTTCTCCGTGGTGCTAAAATTTTCAGTTAAAAAATCGTAAATCGGTAAAGTGTTAAACGACTTGTTTAATCTTTTCCGTGCGGTATAAAATTCCAGGTGAAATTTGACCAGTTGAAACCAGTTCAACACGGATTGTTTACACCACGTGATCGATTTACCTTTATGAGGTTATCCTTTGTTGATTGGATTTAATCGATGTAATTAACACTTTTTACATGATTCTTTTGTGTTTTAATTTAGAAATCATAATTTTATGATCATAGATAACTATTTTAAGGCTTCACTCACCACCTGACAAGTCGGCAAATACTTTGAACACAAACCGTGTTGACCCGATAGTTGTACACACGACGGTACATATTTTGTACATTATAAAGTTAGCTCAATACTTATATTATAGTTTTATATGTCTCTGATTAAACCATGGCCAAAATTATCTTTAATTATGACATAGTTATTGCATGATATTCCGGTTTCAAACTGTCAACAAGTAATTCAAAGGGGAAGGATCCCATGACCCAGTTAGTTCATGTAGAATATTCAAAATTATTTACAATTAACTGCAATCTATTCTATTTTATAAATAAAATGCATGACTGTACCTTCAAACTGGATATCTATATCCATATGATCATTAATGAATAACAGAAGTGATCTTGCATTTTTAATCCATAAGCACATGTTAAATCTATTTATATCTACTTCCTGTCATTTAGGCGGGAAAATAGGGAGACTTTGTTGCTGACATTGAATATGTTACTTATAGATCTATAGACCTAAGATAAATTTATAGATTTAGGAATTCTTTTTAAATGGATCATGACAAATAAAGATTTAGATTTCAGTGCAGTATTAAGTCTGTATCTATGTTTGATCATCACCAAAGACAAGAAAGGTTAATATTTACATGTACATGAAATCTATGGCAAAATGTTTTAAAATTTGTGAAAAATTTCTTTTTATTAAAATTTAAGATAGAAACTGGTTCAAATTATAACACAATTTTGTTCTTGTTAATTTTATATCTCCTTATGACAGGAATCCTTTCACATACAACAACTTTCTTTCTAGAAACTAGAAAGTATTTTTAAATTGAACATTTTTGTTCTCTTTTGAATCTGGGAACAGTATATCTAACAATATATATGTTCCTGTTTGAATGATATTTTATTTTTATTGATCATGGTTAAAAGATTTAATTACTTTAAATTTTAGATGAATATTATGTAATGAATCATGTTTTATTTATTTTCAAAAAATATTGAAAAGAATACAAACTGTTTTATTGATCTTTTTAACCAATAATATTCTGACATAACACAGTACCACAGTATTAAAACAAAACAAGAGACATAAAAACTGCAGTAACTAGAAATATAGCGACGCCACGCGACACAACTGATTGTATGAATCATTTCACCAAGCTGTTCACACGCGTTACCCTGGTGCTATCCAAAAATCCTGGGGAGAACACTGAACCCCATATATATTCATGTACCTGTACCAAGTCAGGAACCTTGTCAGTAGTTGTCTAATGTCATATTTTCATGTTTTTATTATACGACCACAAAAATTTTTTGCAGTCGTATATTGGTATCATGTCATCGTCATCGTCGGAAGACATTTGGTTTCCGGACAATAACATTAGTTTAAGTGTATGGATCTCTATGAAATTTAACCAAAAGGTTCAATACCACAAAAGGAAGGTTGGGATTGTTTTTGGGGGTCATGGTCCCAACCGTTTAGGAATTAGGGGCCAAAACGAGTATTTTTCTAGTTTCAGGACAATAACTTGTGTATAAGTATTTTGATTGCTCTGAAATTGTACCACAAGGTTCATACCACAAGTAGAAGGTTGGGATTCATTTTGGGGGTAATTGCCCAAACCGTTCAGGAATTAGGGGCCAAAAAGGGTCTAAAACAAGCATTTTTCTAGTTTTCAGACAATAACTTGTGTTTAGGTGTATGGATGTCTTTTAATTTGTACCAAATTTTACAAAAAGAAAATTTCTTCAAAATTTTTTTTTGGAAGGGGGGGGGGGGTTAATTTTTTTTTTTTTTTGGGGGGGGCAATTTTTTTTCCTGAAAAGAAAATTCTCTTCAAATGTTATTTTTTTTGAAGGGGGGATAAAAAAAAATTTTGGGGGTGGTAAAAAAAAAAATCTTTTTAGGGGGGTCAATTTTTTTTCTCTCAAGATTTAAGAAATTGTCAATTTTCCAAAGAAAAAATATTGGGGATCACAATTTATTTTGCTAATTCTTTGTATATAGTCTGAAAACAGATTTACTAAGTATTGCGCAACAGCACAGTGTATTGCACAACAGCAAGAAATCTTCAATTGAATATAAATTCAAATCATACAACCAATTTCAAGTTCTTTGACACATTTATTCTGTGTCAGAAACCTATAATGTGTCAAATATTTAATTACATTCCAAATTCAGACCTGTATCAAGCTTGAATATTGTGTCCATTTTTGCCCCAACTGTTCAGGGTTGGACCTCTGCGGTCGTATCCAGCTACGCTCAGCGAAGCAGTTTATTTGGAGTAGGATTGATGACAGATCTTTGATACTTTCTGTTTAATTTATTTGCGACTATTTTTAGACTCTTGATGATTTAGAGCTTGACATATTATCTAATTTGATTATGTCAGGGTTGCTGTCTCATTGAATGTATGATGTATTTCTTTTTTATTCATACTAACTTTAATTAAGAAGGTTTATTTATAGACAAGATAAAATATGTAAGATTAAGTTAATCATTACCCAAAGCTCAACCCTCATCCAGACACACATGGTCTGTAAAGGAGGACATTTTTATACATGCTTTACTGTGCATATATAATCACATGAATATGCATCTTTTTCATAGATATATTATAATACATATTCAAGTATGTTTAAATTTATACCAAACTTTGCAACATGTTTATATAATTCTTGACTTGTTATGCTTTGTCAAGATGTCATATAGTACTTATTTCTTTATTAAACTCGAGTGGTATGGTTAGGGTTCAGCATTTAGTCTTTCCCTTGGCAACTATGCATGACCAATCAACAGTATCTTTATGACTGTGCATATGTTATATGACTTTGTATTTTGTTTTATGTTGCAGTACTCAGGTTCTAATATTTCAACTAGTATTTGTTCTGTTCCTTGGTAAAATTGTAAGACGGGTCAACTATTCGTTATTTGGAATTGTTGTAAGGAATATATATCTGTCTGACATAAGTAAACTGACCTTTACCTCAAACTTCAGGGTTCAGGTTTAAGTTTATACAACCATGACCATAATGTAGTGGTGAAAATTTATATATTGTTAAAAATATTATTGGTCTTCTATTTACAATATCATTGAAGTGATATGATATTTAGTAAACAGTATATCCAATTATTTCTTAGATTTTGATGCATCCCTAAAGGTATGTAAGTATATTACATGTACATATTGTAGGATTTATATTATGTAAGTTGCATACTCTTTCCAGTTTTAAGAATGGTTCATTAGAAAGAGAAGCTATAAAAGACAGATGTGCTGGATCATGGGAGAAATTTGAAGATATGGTGAAATCAACACCAATGGGAAATAATGGAAACTTTGGTAAGTTTGATCATGATGGTTAATATTCTAAACAAACTTCAGGAGGAATAACATTAAGAAAAAAATCCCATCTCCCAAGCTTTCAATAATTTTCTTTATGCTTGAATGAGCTTTAGTATGAGCTCTTTTTTTATCATCGCTAGCTATAAACACTGTTGATTGTTTTAATTGAAAATCATAAATCAGTCTTATCAGTACAGTCTCATGGTCAATAAACTACAAGGTCCCGTTACTTAGTACAATGTGTGTAACTTTATATAGGTGTCAGACCATCAATTCAAAATTCCTATCTAGTCAATCAAATTTTGCAATTTTCACAGCTTTCTAAATATTTTACCTAAAGTTTAACTTCATAGAAACCAGGTATATCCTGAATTGTACATGTATCACCTTTCTACATGCCAATTTTCAACCCATGTTTAAAGTCTTGTAGTAAAATACCAACGTTCCGAAGGTAACTACTACTAAAGATAACCCCTAGTTTTCTGGAAATCTTAAATAAGTATACTATGGAGCGCATTAATCCTCAATTTGTAATGCAAACTCATAGACAAGTAAATTTAAGCTCAAAATGGTCTAAACATATTTTCTTTCATCAACAGTTTCATTTCTGCAAATAAGTTGGTTAGTTTAAGTAAACAATGACATCAAAAGCACTATTTTTTGTCAGGGAAGGGCTACTTTTACATACGTTCTAAATTGGAGTGAGTGAATTGGTGGTCTGACACCTATATATTTTAAGCTTTTAATGTTTAGAGCTCCAGGTTTCTTCTAAAAAATCCTATTAATTTGTTTTTGGTATGTTATAATCAGGAACTTAATCTACTTTTCATTACAAGACTCAAGCCCCATTGTTTTAACTGTTGTTTTCATTTCAGGGTTGTTCTTTGGGCAGGTTGAAGTTCAGCCATTTTTAAAAGGAACATTTAGATTCAATGAAAAGAATGAGAAGGTATTCTTAGAATAAGATAAAGAAACAAAAACATTGATGCAGATTGCTTTTTAAAAGTGTCATGTAAATTCATGATTTATAATGTTCATATTCATATAAATTTAAAAGAAAGATTGAAATTCCAACCTGGTGAGATTTCAGTCTAACCAGAGTTAAAACATCCAAGATCAATATAAACAAAAGTAAATTAGGGATAAACATCAATGAACAGCAACCCAATAACACATTTAACTGAAAGACATATAGTGGTCAACATGTACCAATACAAAACTAAATTATCACTATCACCAGTGTCCATCCATTTAAGTTTTCATAAGGGATTATTTTCATTACAAAAGGGGTTACCTTTTGAGAGTGTTAGTACTGTATTTGATGTAATTAATTCAGCTAAAACTTTTTTTCTGTATCGCAGGTAGACGTTTTCCCACCAGATGTAGAAGTAAGAGCTGTTCTAGAAGGGCAAATGATAGCAAGAAGGGTTTATTCAGAACTCAGAGGCATGAAAATAAGTAAGAAAATAACTCTAACAGGTGTATGCTTCATGATTTGTATAAAGGCAATCAAATGAGAAAAAATCAGAATTCTGTAAAATTATCATAAGCCAAAAATTAGAAAAGTCTAAAAAATTTCTTCAATCAGAATATTATTAACTGCATCAGCAATTTCCCAACATGAATAATTAATCTAAATCGCTATCACAGGTCACACAATCAGGCTGGATAATCATTTTAAAGGGTAAAACAAATGTGTTGTCATCATTGCATAATCAATCATTTAATTTTTATCTGGATGAGTTGTCATAAGCAGCAAAATCATGAATAATTTCACAGATTTGTACTAATGGTGTTTGAACTCATTAACCCCGTAGATTAATATGTACAAATTTACTTTGATAGTTACCTTTTACATTCAAAAGGGAAGATTGAATGCTAAAATAATGCTGTCATTTTAAAGAGTTGATATTTTAGCAAATCATGAGCTATTAAAAACATCAAGACTACATGACTACCATTTACAATAATGTTAATAAAGTCATAATAGAAGCCTAGTCCTATAATATAAGACTTCATAGGTTCATATCGTTTACATTCAACGTTTTTTATCAGATATTTTTTTTTTTACTATCAATGCTGAACCACTGATAGTAAAAAAAAAAATCTGATAAAAATCGTTGAATGCAAACGATATGAACCTACAAAGTCTTATATTATAGGACTACAGTTATAGGTAGTTATAGTTATATAATACTATATTATCTTTTCTTTAATAAACATTTTGCAGCTCCTCAGACAAGACTACTAGCTACTGGTGGAGCATCAAATAATAAAGCTATACAGCAGGTAAGAGAAATCAATCTGATCATAAAATCAACCTGTTGTCATCTGATTCTGCAGGTTGTTGCATGGGTAAAGATGACAGGCAAACTGCATTACTTTCTTAGATGATGTTTGAAAACCTGCATAATTGGGATTGGTTGAGGGCTCAGAAACATAATTATGACAAATTAAGGTTTCGACCCAAATTAACTGAAAATGAGGTGTGTCTTTGTTCACATAAAACAATATGTTCCATAGAAATAAATAGAAATACTGATATATGTTATTGATAAAGTTTTATTAATTTTTACTAATTCTTGGACTCACAACCTCTCTCAGTAGTACTGTTATTAGATGGTATGTATAAAAGATACACACAAATTGTCCAGTTTTCAGACTTCTTTTTTTTCAGGTAATGGCAGATGTATTTAATGCTCCAGTTTATACAACAGAAATAGCTGATTCAGCAGCTTTGGGAGGATGTTATAGAGCTATACAAGGTGCAACATTAAAATTATATATTCCTGTACTTTCTTCCATTATACACACAAGAAAATAAAACTAATCATATTCATAAAAAAAAAGACAGCCAAGTTAGATTAGTATCAAGAATGTGAAGGTTCATTTTTTCACTTTATGTATAGTCCTGTCAATCTGTTCCAGTCAAGTTTTAACATCTAAGCACTTCTTAGTGACTTAGTTTGAGTTTAATTTTAAGATCCAGATCATGAAACTAACTTGCATTAGGGAATAAATGTAATGTCTATGGACAAGTATTGTATAACAAAAGAGGTCCATTAAAAATAACATCACTTTTACCCATATTTAATATAAGAACGACTCTGGTCTAAAGATAAAGTTCTAAGCAAGCACATTTCATAGATGAATGGTAGTTTATCAAAAGAAACAATCTTGGTTACCAGTAGTAAGGAATTTGATTATATTTACCTACATTCAATGCATTAGTGACTTAATTCGAATTTATGATCACCAATTTGACTCAAATTCTCATATTTGATTTATAACATTCTTAAATGTAAATACAAATTACAAAAAGTCTAAAATAAACAATTAACAATGCATGGACTTGATGATATGTATTTTAGTCTTTATGCCATCAAACTAACCATCAAGATGACCTCCAAAGACTGACATCGGTCATATAACCCAATATAAACATAAATATAAATATAAATAGATAGCAAGCACATGCAGTTGGATTTGTCTAGGTCTGTTTGATTTCATATATGGGTTAAAAAATATGTTATCGATTTTACCTGTATCGGAATGATTTTTTGTGGATCAAATCAGTCAACAAAATGGTTCACCCTTGTTTCACTTTCTATGTTGACATTCTTTTCCTTTTAATAGCTGAACACGCCTAGTACATGCGTAACCCATCTCTAACTAAGGGGTTAAATTGAAGGTCACATGAATACAATTCAATGAGGTTAAATTACTTGCAAGTCAGTAATACATCAGCTATGTTTTTGAGTTTATTTTGACAAATTTGGGCCTAACTGACTGCTTATAACAAAATATTATTTCAAAATTCCTCTTTCATTAATACTTGAAACAAAAAGAATTGTAATTAAGATTTGTGACTAAATTGTAGCTTAAATGTTGAAAGTTCAGAGGAATGATATTTTGTCATCACAAACATCCTTGACAATATAAAAATAAGAAGATGTGGTATGATTGCAAATGAGACAATTCTCCACCAGAGACCAAATGACATAGAAGTTAACAACTATAGATCACCGTTTGGTCTTCAACAATGAGCAAAACCCATACCACATAGTCAGCTATTAAAGGCCTAGAAATGACAAATGTAAAACAATTCATTTATGTAAAAAACAAAGGTCTTATATTTTACACAAGTGTGATTCCCATTAATATTTTTCACAGTCCAGATCTAATCAAATAAAGATTATTTGAGCAGGATTATTATTTGTTGTTTGTCATGTCATGTCTTCTGTATTGTCTGTGTTGGCAATTTTTCATGCAGAAAGTCAGCCTAATGCTACCACAAGATATATATATTAGTCAAGTTTTTTTGTGAAAGCTTTCACTGAAAACAGTTCTTTGATTCCTGGTAGCTAACTTTTTAGATCTTGAATTAATACCTACAAAAAAATTATAATAACTAGATGATTAATGTGATTTTTAGATTATTGCGAAAAAATATTACAGGATAAACAGAATAACTAAAACTTAATTTTAATTTTTTGATTGTAATGTTCTCTCAGAGTATTAACAGGATAGGCTTCAATAATGTAATGTTCTCTCAGAGTATTAGCAGGATAGGCTTCAATAATGTAATGTTCTCTCATGGTATTACCAGGATAGGCATCAATAATGTAATGTTCTCTCATGGTATTACCAGGATAGGCATCAATAATGTAATGTTCTCTCATGGTATTACCAGGATAGGCATCAATAATGTAATGTTCTCTCAGAGTATTAACAGGATAGGCATCAATAATGTAATGTTCTCTCATGGTATTACCAGGATAGGCATCAATAATGTAATGTTCTCTCATGGTATTACCAGGATAGGCATCAATAATGTAATGTTCTCTCATGGTATTACCAGGATAGGCATCAATAATGTAATGTTCTCTCAGAGTATTAACAGGATAGGCATCAATAATGTAATGTTCTCTCATGGTATTACCAGGATAGGCATCAATAATGTAATGTTCTCTCATGGTATTACCAGGATAGGCATCAATAATGTAATGTTCTCTCATGGTATTACCAGGATAGGCATCAATAATGTAATGTTCTCTCATGGTATTACCAGGATAGGCATCAATAATGTAATGTTCTCTCAGAGTATTAACAGGATAGGCATCAATAATGTAATGTTCTCTCATGGTATTACCAGGATAGGCATCAATAATGTAATGTTCTCTCATGGTATTACCAGGATAGGCATCAATAATGTAATGTTCTCTCATGGTATTACCAGGATAGGCATCAATAATGTAATGTTCTCTCATGGTATTACCAGGATAGGCATCAATAATGTAATGTTCTCTCATGGTATTACCAGGATAGGCATCAATAATGTAATGTTCTCTCATGGTATTACCAGGATAGGCATCAATAATGTAATGTTCTCTCATGGTATTACCAGGATAGGCATCAATAATGTAATGTTCTCTCAGGGTATTACCAGGATAGGCATCAATAAATCTCACATTCTAATCTGTTATTGAAGATTTGCAATAGTAAATGCACACATTAAATTCAGAATTCACACGATTTTTACATGAAAAGAAGTTTGATGGTATTGAGTAATATCTTGTTTAAGGTTTGAGGACATCAAAGATGTTTTAAGTATATGATTTAAGCCACAACATTTCAAAAAAAAACTATTGTAAAACATGTTCTTAATGTTATCATTAAGGGGGAGTACCTTGTCAGGACAGCATATAGTTGCACAAACAAACAAACAAACAAAACAAATACTTTATAAGAGTCTCACCTCTTTAAAACATTTAATATAAAACACAATATAATAATAACAGATCAATTTATAAAAGAGCCACTCTAAAAAGAGTTATGAAAGACTGTAAAACATACATTAAAAATACATTTATATTACATATATAACATATATGATATAAAACACCATAATGTTAAAAAGCAATTCTTTTGTAATCATAATCAGAAGATAAAAAACACCTGTAAATCTGACATGATTATTTTCTTTCAGCTTGTACAGGCAAGCAATTTGAAGATGTTGTGAAAAATCATCCTGAGCCAGTATGTGTTGCCAAACCCACTCCAGGTTGTGTTGAGGTAAACATGTCATTTTGTTAGCAAAAGCAATAGCTGAGATATTTAACCACACAAATTTACCATTTAGCACTTCAAATTTACTTTATCAATATTACAAGGTATCTAAAAGTGAAGAATTCTTTTTGCATGTGAACATTTTAGGGTCAAATGCATTCAATTGTAAATTATTCAAAGAAGCGCCTTTTCAGAATAAAACGTCCAATATCTCATTTAGGCAACCATGATGATCACCATTTCTAAAAAGATGAAAATTCTTTGGAAAAGCCTTTGAAAAAGTATCTGATCAAATTAATAGATCTGAATCAGTTTTGAGTAAAACGGTCTTCAAATGATTGTTAATTAGAAATTGGCAGAGCAGAAGTTATGTTTAGATACTAAACTATTGGATGTATTGCAACATGTTAAAAAAATATCTGTTGGGTGCCTGTTTTTCCTTGCTCTACCATTAAATACCCTTGCCAGCTTACCAAGATTCTGCCATTGCTAAAAATATAACATTCTGAAATATTTTTTTTATATATAAAAATAGCCTTTGAATGGTTGTTTTTCTGGGGTGGGGAGGTTGGGGGAAATTGACACTGCTACTTGTCCAATATGGCAACCATAATGGAGCTTATGTAGACATACTAACCTATGACAAAAAATGCACAAGTGTTTGAAAAAATCTCCTCTGAAGCCTCTGTGTAAATCTTGACCAGATTTGGTCACAATCATCCTTATGGAGTTTATACTAAGAATTCTGTCAGATATGCCTGCTATTTGACCAACACAGGTACAGTTACTATAAATAACCTATACTAAAAAAAGAAAATTTCATCAATAGTTGAAATAAAAAAATTTGAAAAAATCCTGAGATACCTGATTGCAATCTTACTTTGGGTATATGATCAAATGTAGGATCCTCTTTTAGAACTTCATATGTAAATGGTGTCCATGCTAGCCTTAAGATATGATTACTAAGGCATCTATTTACTGTAGGAAAGTTAAGTTCAGGTTGGCAATTCAGGCTCAAGTTTTATTCTATAATTTTTTTTATTGGTAATTGAATAAAATCTCAAGAGTAACAAATCTATAATTGATGTAGCAGTCTTTTTGGTCAGTAGTTTCAATAATATTAATCTACTTGTTCTTTAAGTTTGAGACTCACTTTGGTTATTTGGAAAGGTGTACCAAATCTTTTAGTATGTTATAGAGTTTATCTTTTACTTGCAGAAGGTCATTGGTTAACATCAATATTTCAGTTTTCTCAAAAACTCTGCCATAAAATTGTGCAAATAAGATGAAAATTGAAAGAAACCAAATCAAATAAAAAAAATGATACTTTTAGCAGTATTTTATGAATGTTTTGTATCATATTGGTACTCTGTGGGTAAGGTCTTTACCAGAAAAAAATACCTTGGAGAATCAAGAACTCAAAGTTATTTTGTTTAACCTATAAGGGGGCATTTCAACAGTTACACAAATGTTTATGCATTACACAGAACACTTAAATTCTTTTAGTGGTACCTCAAAATAAGAATGGAGTTCTGATCCCCTCCCCCCAGGTATTTTTTCTGGAATAGCCCTTATCAATTTTCTCTCATTATTTTCATGGATTTTTTTGTACTTACAGACATTAGTCAATAATTAAATGAGAATACTAACTGTACTAACTGAGCTGACATGGTACTATGAAATTTATTATATTTTACTACAAGTATTAAAATACAGATGGTGTTTTCTTTTATATTTACAGGTCTATGACAAAATGTGTGAGAGATACAGAATCATTGAGAAGATAGTTACAGAAAAATAGATGCTTACAATTTGTTTTTCTGGCTGTCAATAACAGGAAATAATGGAAAATCCTATGCAATAATGTATATTGTTTCAAGCTATATTTTTTTACTTTAATAGTCTTTATGGTGCTATATTGTTAATTTTTAGATAATTATTCTTTTTGTTCATATCTTTTTATTGCAATGAATTTGGCAATAAATACTATTAAAAGTATAGATAGTTCAAGAAATACCAATTAATGGTAGTCAAGGAAAACAATCAGGGAATATTCAAACCATAGTTTTCAGGTTTGACGATGACCTATAGTTGTTAACTTCTATGTTACTTAGTCTCTGGTGGAGAGTTGTCTCATTGACAATCATACCACATCTTCTTATTTTAATATTATAAAGAAAAGAAATGATGGTCGACTATTGAAATTTTAAATTCCTTTGTATTAGCATTTTCACATTTTATGGTGGTGCTTGTGCTAACCTCAGTCATTATTCATTGTGTCTTGATCAGAGGAGTTTTATAATTGTTTAATAAGTGATTTCATATAAATGCTACAAAACAGACTCAAATATATGTGTTTATTTAGTTTTATTTTTCTCTTTATAGTTATTGTGTATTGCATTATTGATACAGTCTTAATTTAATGAAGTTCAGTTTCAAAAGAAATTGAAATAAATTTTTTTTTTTTAATTTCTTTTGATTAAACAGATATTGTTGTTATTCAATTCATGGGGTGTTTTTTTTTTTTTTTGCTGCACTTGTTGTGCAATCATTTTCTTTATGAAGAAAATTACAAATGTTTAAACAAGTAAGTTTGTGACTAGTGTAGAAATAGCTTAAGATATTTATTTCCACATTTATGCACACACTGTAAAATGTATATACACACTCTTGGTGGTTGTGAGTATTATTAGCATATTAGTATAAAGCACAAGAAGTGATGGAATTTAGGGGAGCACTCATATAGCTTTTTTTAGATAGTTTTTTTTTAATTGGTATTATTGTGGAGACATTTCAGAGTTGATTCCTAATTAAATTTATGAAGTAATTATGTTAAATAGGTTAAGAATTTAAAAAATCATGAAAAAATCATACCACTGATTCATGTAATTCATGAGAATCTGTTTTCACGGTAGAGGAAGTGTTTGTTTTGAAGCAGCTAAAAATAGCAAATAAAAATATTGATCACATATCCAATTAATCCCTTAAGGGATTTGGAGCTCAGAGCGCCATTCTGGACCTGCAAGCACAACAGATTAATATCCAATGTTGAATGAATGAGTACTTTATTCTCATAAAACAAATGTTACAGAGAACATATACATATTAACAATATAAAAATTTGTAGTGCATGTGTGAATTACATTTATAATAAACACTAAAAAGTTCTAACCTGATTGTATGTTGCTTCTTTTGAAAATTAAGAGATTTTTTTAGAATCTATGTTACAATGTTGCACTTCACCCTCCAAAAATTCTTGTCCACTAGTTACAAGTTTCCCCATGTTTTTAGTGTTGGAACATAATGAAAATCATTTATAATTTATTTCATTCAATAAAGAGTTCATTTACCCAAAAGATTGTATGGGTATTGAGTCAGGTGTTGCATATTTTGCAGTTTATAGTCATTAGGAATACTTGGTATTTATTGCACCCAGTTATAATTTTGTCTATATTTACAGAACAGATGTACATATCCTAGTATTTTAACAAAACATTCTTTATACTACAGTCCACTATGGAAAGATGTTTGGTTGCAAATTCAAATTCCAAGGAAAGTCTTATTTTAAACAAGCTCAAGAAAATGATCAAACCATAAACATTCCCTAGGTTTGACATTGTGATTTATCTGCTGTGTATGACATGTACTTCATTTTATTTCCAGCATGCTATTTTGAAACATCAACTCTTGAAATTAATTTTTCCAAATCGGAAGTCTGAATGTTGGAATAATCAAATATTTTTGTCAGTAGTTCAATGTTCTTTTAGTTGTCCAATAAATCATACAAATCTTGGAATTCCTTCTTTAAACTCCTAACCTAATATCTTTTGGAATTGGCTTTTCCAAGTAATGAATAAACAACCTTCAAAAACTGGAAAAAAATTAAGATGTAGGATTAACCAGTTTTTCCTAGATCTAAAACCTGTAGTACAATATATTGAAACAGTTTAATGCATTGTAATGCAACATATAGTAATCCCACCATAAGAATTATTTCCCTTTAACACTGAAAATCCTGTGGTCGAAATAGTTTTATTTTTTTTATTTAATTCAGGTAGTCCACCTGATTTAAGTACACATATGCTCATTTGATGTAGTGGCCCAGTGTTTAACAATTTATAGCTATACCTTAATTGTATAAAATTTATGAAATTAGTTAAAGGACAGTAGGTATTGTTGTTGAGAAGCTAGAAATAATATTTAAAGAACATTTCTGAAAAAAAATTGTCTGTTATTATAAAGAGGTTGATTACAAATTTTGTTGTGTTTTTTCTACAAACATTTTTTTATTAGATTTATTTGTTATTTTTGAGCACACCATTGTATCATTTTTATTCATCATTTTTTGTTTTCTAAATAAAGATATGAATATAATTGATATTTTTTAGAGAAAACTTTTTTAACGAGTGCCAAAATGAAATGCAATGCAAAAACTTAATTTGAAACATTATTTTGAACATTTTAGGTGTGAGAACAATTTCTCTCGCTGTGATAAAAGTATGCCAAACATTGCCAAAGTATGGTCACCCTACACATACTAGTAGTTGATTTATTTCAACTTGAACATAATTTTATATTAATATTGTTACGTGATGATTTTGATATGATTCTTGTTGACATGTTGTTAGAGATTTCCTTACTGAAGTAGTTTTATGTGTAGTTGTGTAGAATTAAATTCTTTTATTTTGATTTGACTCCTAATTTTATACACATTCTTCTGAACATACTGATATACAGTGATGCAACATATTTGGTCTACTATTTCATGCATTTCAATTAAAAAGTAGAATTACATGTATAATTAAAAATAGCTACAGTGTCGACACTTTCTTGTAATGAGGTAAAACGTTAGAATTTTGCATTACCAAAACATAAGGAGAAGGTCAGTTTTAGAGTCAAAGTGACTCTAAAAACGAAGTATTTCAAAATTGATTCAATTTGCAGAACTATAAATATTCAATATGTATTTTAACAATGCCTTTTTGTTTAAAATACAAAAATGATATAAATAATGGCATTTAACAAATTTTCCTTCTCAGGGAATATACATAGGTACAAAACATATTTTTCCCTTATAACAATGATTATTGTGAATATAAAACTTTTTGTTTATTTTAAATACAATGTGTTCATTGAATTCCTTTTTACCAGTTAGCTTTTCTCTAGTCTATTGTAACTTTTATTAATCAAGAAATAAAATAATGCTCAATTATTAATTCTTTATGTTTATTACATGGCCAGGATGTATTATGATATACATACAGTCATACACATTTATCATTTTACACCATAAACCATTCATGCTTTAAACTATTATCTTGTGACAGGTCAGTTTAATTGATCTATTCAAAAATCCAACTTTTCAGTAATTATGTAACACCATCTGTGAATCCAAGTATTGTAGATTCATTTATTTTCGCTGATACCAATTTTCTTGGACTGAGGAATAATTATATGTTTGTGGATATTTGATATCGTAGATTTGCCAAACAAGCCTTTAGAAAATGTGTACTTCATTGAACATTTAAATGATTTACCTTTACCCACAAAATCCAAAAAAATTGGTATCCCACGAATAATAATGATTCCTCAGTATATGACATGTGGACCAATCACAACATCTTAAACAGTAATGTTACCTTAATGCAATGCTATATCTCAATTGGTCCATGGGAATTTCATCAAGAGCTGGTAAATAAATTGTAAAATATTGGTCATTTAAACAGCTTTAATTGGGTGGTTAGCCTTTGATTGATTCGAGTTCCACCCAAAGAGTTTAGGTTTCAATACCTGACATTTAAATTTTGTATACATGAACAAGAATGCATGTGTTGTCCTGGTAATCTTACCCCTACGCGTAATTCAAAGTAACTGAAAACAGGAAGTAAGTGTCTGACAGATCCGAGAAGTGGTCAAACGTTACAACTCGTCACTCTCAAGCTGCTGACCAAATATGAAGTAATTCTGTTTTGAAAATGTTTCTTGTTGTTCAGTTTCGATTATCTGAGGAATAGTTTAAAAATTTCAAACATGGCACCACAAGGTTTTAAACAAAAATAAAATTACAGAATTATATCAATACTTCCCTTCCCATGCAAGTAAATGGTCATAGGATATAAGATATAATTAAAAAAAACAACAATGTATTCAAAAATTATTGCATCACAATATACCTACATAAAACAAGACGACCAAAAATCAATGAAATATTTCAAACAACAACACAATACAGTTCTTAAATCAAAACATAAAGTAATTAGGGTAAGGAAGACAGCTCCCACTTACTTTTTCCCACATACTTACCTTATTAGTTGAACATGTAAATTTTATAATAAAATTTAAAAATCCAATTCACATGGTTTACATGATTTCACTGGTGTCTGATTGTGATGTGTACACATCTGCCAAAAAGTTCATTTGACCTTGACCTCATTTTCATGGTTCATTGATCAACATTTTAAAGATGTAATTATTAAATCAGTTTGGCCATTGCTATGATTTATAGGTCAACTATATTTGAAAACCAATGAACACAATGATATTTTCATAACCTGCGAATTTGTGATCCTTATATGTGTGTGTGTGTTAGTGTTCTTTCATAAGACAAGAGTACACAGGCTGAAATGTCATGCCTGTTGTACTAACCATTGATTTTATGTTGAAAGTCTTTAAAGGTTTTACTACAAGTATCACATAAACTTAACATTTTTAAAAATCCATGACAAAGAGGTCAAGGTCAGATAATTCCTGTCAGACAGACATGTTCACCTTACAATTAATCCATACACCAAATATAGTTGACCTATTGCTTATGGTAATTGATAAAACAGACCAAATCACTAAAAACTAAAAATTGACCAATGAACCATGAAAATGAGGTCAAGGTCATATTATACCTGCCAGACGATCACGTTCACCTTACAATCGTTCAATACACCAAATATAGTTGAGCTATTGCTTAAAGTATTTGAAAAACAGACCAAAACACAAAACTTATCATTGGCCAATGAAAATTAGGTAAAGGTCAGACAATACCTGCTTAACAGAATGTACACCTTACAATCAACCTGTACACCAAATAAAGTTGACCTACTGCTTGTAGTATTTGAAAAACAGACCAAAACACAAAAATTTACAAACTGATCAATGAACCATAAAAACGGGTCAAGGTCAGATGATATCTGCAAGACAGGCATTGCACAAGGTCATGTTTTTCTCTGACTGTTTATGATGTCTTTACTCTAAATCCATTGGATGTTGGATGTGTACTGATTGATAATTTAGTCTCAGATGCATGATTTTTTTATTAGTTGTTATTGGCTTTGAACTAGCTGTCAGTAACTGCGAGTACACTCAGATCTGTACTTGTGTCTTTTTGTTGTTTGGATTTACAAGTACCTGTCCACATCCACTCTGTGTTTTTGTTAGATGTATTTCTATTTGTATCCATCTGATGAGTTAAGCCTTTTTCAACTGATTTTTATAGTTTGTTCTTATGTTGTACTGTTACACCACTCTCCCAGGTTAGGGGAGGGTTGGCGCCTTCAAACTAGTTTAACCCCGCCATATCCTGTAATTCAGTGGTTGTCGTTTGTTGCTGTGTTACATATTTGTTTTTCGTTCATTAATTTGTACATAAATTTGGCCGTTAATTTTCTCAGTTGAATTGTTTTACATTTGTCATTTCGGGGCCTTTTATAGCTGACTATGTGGTATGGGCTTTGCTCATTATTGAAGGCCGTACGGTGACCTATAGTTGTTAATTTCTGTGTCATTTGGTCTCTTGTGGAGAGTTGTCTCATTGGCAATCATACCACATCTTCTTTTTTATATGTACACCTTACAGTCATTCCATACACCAAATATAGTTGACCTATTGCTTACAGTACTTGAAAAACAGACCAAAACACAAAAACTTAACATTGACCAATGAACCATGAAAATGATGTCAAGGTCAGATGAAACCTGCCGGACTGATATGTACCCTTACTTCTGCTTCTGGTATCTTTAACTTTAACCTTGATCGCTGATCCATATAATGAGGTTACGGTCAGGTGAACTCTGTCTGATGGACATGTAGGCGTTGCAAGGAACCCATATACCAAATATAGTAATCCTATTTAACTTTATAGAAAATAATATTGTCTATTGTAAGTAGTTCCTATCAATCTAACTTAAGCAGAAAACTTAACATTGAAAATTACTAATTAATTCAAAGTCACTGGACCATGTCCTAGGGGGCAGGACCTCATAATAGTCGTCAAAATGATATGTACTGATAGTAATGCAACTTTATACAAAATATCATTGATCTATTTCAAGTAGTTATTATCAAACTGCACTGCCTCATTGGTCTCGTGGTAGCATGTTCACATCGAGTTCGTGAGGTCGTGGATTCGAACTCCCGCAGGGTCAAACAGGATTTAAAATTAGTATTTGCTGCTTCTCCCCAAAGCATGTGGCATTAAGGAGTAAGAGCAAAGACTGGTCGACTCGGATTCAGAATAATGTGTCTAGGTAAGGTGACATGTCTTCCTGCAGACCTTGTGAACTAGCACGTTAAAAAACTGGCTCAGCCTGTCGGTCTAGTACAAAGCAGGGTAAATATTCATATTACATTAACATGTTCTTGTCCTGAATATGCATATTAATTTGCCGCTGGACGTTGAGCAGCCATCCATCATCATCATCTTATCAAACTGACTTTAGCAGAAAACTGAACATTGAAAATTGCTAATTAATTCAGTCACTGGACCATGACATAGGGGACAGGGCATCAAAATAGTCGTCAAACTGATATGTACAGATAGTAATGGGACTGCATACAAAATTTCATTGATCTATCACAAGTAGATCCTATCAAACTAACTTAAGCAGAAAACTGAACATTGAAATTTGCTAATTAATTCAAAGTCACTGGACCATGACATAGGGGACAGGGCCTCAAAATAGTTGTCAAACTGATATATACTGATAGTAATGCGACTTCATACAAAATATCATTGATCTATCACAAGTAGATCCTATCAAACTAACTTAAGCAGAAAACATAACAATGAAAATTGCTAATTAATTCAGTCACTGGAACATGTCCTAGGGGGCAGGGTTCAAAATAGTTGCCAAACTGGTATGTACGGATAGTAATGCGACTACATACAAAATATCATTGATCTATCACAAGAAGATCCTATCAAACTAACTTAAGCAGAAAACATAATGAAAATTGATAATTAATTCAAAGTCACTGGAACATGTCCTAGGTGGCAAGGCCTCAAAATAGTTGCCAAACTGATATGTACGGATAGTAATGCAACTTCATATTAAATATCAATGAGCTATCACCAGTAGTTCTTATCAAACTAACTTAAGCAGAAAACTTAACAATTGTTGATGATGTTGTCGCGTCGCTGGAAAAGCAATCCTTATGTCTTACTTTCTGTGAGACAAAAAACTGTAATTTTTTTCAAGCAGTCCCTTAACCATGAAAATGAGGTCAAGGACAATAAACATAAAACTTCGTAATGCTTCTAACTTCTGAAATATAAAGCTTTATACAAATAGATTACATTGCAGCCACCTGATATTTATCCCTATATCTCGCATACTGCTACTTTCCTCGCAGGCTAGACAAAAATGATTAAACAATAACAATAAAACACTTTTTATTCATTTTTCACATCCATAAAAGCAGAAGAATCGTACATGTATATGATAAAAATCATAAATAAAATAATTCATAAATAAAAAAATAAAATGTGCAGTAAATAGAATTGTCTCTGTATTTACAGTATTAATCAAATAACATCACTCAGGCTTACATTATTTTATGATAATACATGATAAAAATAATACATGGCGCTAGCTATGAAATTTCATATTTTCAGTTTTTCAATGGATAAAATTTTAAATTATGCAGCACCAAATTTGTATGAACGATAACATTACCATTATTTTGTAGTTTGTCCTATATTTCATATACTGTGGATTCATATATTTTCGTGGGTACCAATTTTCGTGGATTAAGGAAAACTTACATGTTCGTGGATATTTAATTTCGTGGTTTTTGACAATGTTTGCATACAAGCCTATAGTAAATTTGCCATTCGTTGAACTTTTAATTTCGTGGTTAACATATAACCACAAAATCCACGAAAATTGGTATCCAACGAATAATAATGAATCCACAGTAGTAAAGTATATAAAAAATATCCTCAATTTGTCATGAATCTAGACAAGCTTCCTTTTTATTGATATCAACATATGGTGTAAAAGTTGGAACATCTGGAAGTTCTAATGATAGATCTAATTCACCAATGTATATACCATCCACCATAGGGGACTGCTTATACAAGTTACTTTGTGATATCTGTGGTGGCTCAGGTGTTCTGTTTGGACTAGGCAATTTTTGTGGTGATGTTCCTGGAGCCTTTGAAAACTTTTGTGGTGATACAGATGTTGAAATTCCTGTGGTTGGAACTTTTTCTGGAGCCTGGAATGGTGATACAGGCTCATCTATGGAAGCTGACGGAACTTTGGGTAAATGTAAATCTGAAATCAAAAAGTATAATTGTATTTACACAATTACATTTTATCATTTGCATGCTTTATTTAATATCTTCAAATAAATAACTGATTTTTAAATGTTTTATTTGAATAATGGGAACAATTGCTCCTCCTTGTATGTACATTGTTTTTTTGGAGAGCAAACGATGTCATCACATAAATATAACATTCTAACTATATGTATAAAGATACCCAAACCGTTGAAAGAAGTATATCACTTTGGAACTTATTGGTATAAAAAGTATAAAATCAAACATTATATTAATGTGATAGTAACTGGAAAATGTTCATATACTTCATGATAATTGATTGTTTGTTATCAATGTGTATAAAATACATTGCTGTACTTGGCAAAGTAAATGATAACACTACATCAGAACTCTGAAAAATAGAGTTAGAATGTTGTATCTATTCTTCTAATTTTTATACTATGACTGTGCAGGTTTCTATTGTACCAACCATACCTGTTAATCCACTGATTATGTCATTTATACCTGTTAATCCACTGATTATTTCATTTATACCTGTTAATCCACTGATTATGTCATTTATACCTGTTAATCCACTGATTGTGTCATTTATACCTGTCAATCCACTGATTATGTCATTTATACCCGTTAATCCACAGATTGTCATTTATACCTGTAATTCCACTGATTATGTCATCCATACCTGTTAATCCACTGATAATGTCATCTATCAATAATTCTGAATCTTTCTCCTTTACTTCATCTCTCATGATATCTTCTAATTCTGCCTCTAATTCTTCTCTACTAATGTCCAGACCTGAAGGTCCAGAACTTATCTGGTCTTGTATCTCTGCTTGCTGTTCTAATACCTATATAAACACATGGATTAATAGACCTTTATAGATTTGATTGATATTGTAGTTGAATATTAGGTTTTGTTGATGGGCAAGTTAATAAAGAATGCTTCTATGTGTTTAATGTGATTATGTTGTTTGGTAAATGTATCATTGACAACACTCAACATTTCCTTTTATTCTGAATATAATAGCTAGAGGCTCTCAAGGGCCTGTGTCGCTCACCTGACTCTACTTTGGTTTTGGAAATCATGTAAAAATAGATAAAAATCATAACAGATACCCAAATAATGATTGAGGCCAAATTTGGTTTAATATTGGCCCCGTTAAAATCCTGGTCGCCATTTTAAAAATCGGCAAAAATAGTAGCAACACTTCATCAGCACCTCATAAGCATCAAATCCCTTCACATAGATCTGTTTTTAATACTTTTCGTAAAAGAAGTAATTCTATGTATCATATTTGTTGACACTTTGAAAGATGACTTAGAAACTTACTTGAAAGTGCTCACAGTTTAATTAATTAACAATTTTTGTAAGAAAAGTTTGATGTTTTCACGATTTAAAATTATTGTTAGGAGTTAATATTTTACTCATATAACCTAAAATCACTCTCATTTTATTTTCTCTTTTTCAAAACTATTTTTACTTATACCCTTACAAATTGAATCTAAAAGTATCTCATTAATGATATATACCTCAGTAAGTTCATCCATTACATTTGTAATGTGGTCTGTAGTTGTTTTCCCTGTCAAGGATTTCAGTACATTGTTCCCAGATTCTAATGCTTTCACAACCTGATGCAAAAGACAAAATTTCTGTGAAAATTTTCCTTAGAAAACAAAAATCATTTCTTCTTTTGCTTCATGAGAAATCTATTAATGGTAAAATGTGTTATTTTTCTTATTCATTTACCCCACTTCTGATCAGTTGGATAATTTTCGACTAAAAAATTTTTCATTAAAAATGAATTTGGTAATATCATGATAAATCTATTTGAAGTATAAAATAAAACATAAACTAATATTTCTTTGTAATTTAATTCAAGCTTATATTTGTTCTTAATTTTACTTGATATTCAACAAATTTAACGACTTGAGTTAATTATTTCCGAAAATAGTTTGTATAATAATTATGATCTTTGTTCAAATGAGTTGGTATAGAATATAGCATAGTTGGAGAGAAACATTATTATAGCAAGGAACACTACAAAAGCTATGATTCCTTAACTTGTTTAATCTTACCATTTCATCTGATACAGAATGGGATATCTGGTTTAAAATATTGTCTAATATATCCAGAGATCCTGTTAATTTATCTATTCTGCTTTCTATAATTCTCTTTTGTCTTAAACACCTTAATGCCTGAAAAATAAATCTTCAAATGATTATAATAATAATAACAATAATAAATTCTTTATTTAAAGAGGGTAAATACAGTAAGTGGATCTTCCCCAAGGCCCTCAATTATCTTCCCACACTTAAGAAAGAAATGATGATGAAATCAATCTTTCTCCTTCATTATTTAATACAATGCTGCTTTAAGTTATATAACTTATCCTAAAGTTTTTTTGTTTTTTTTTTCAAATTCAAAATTTCAAATTTAGGTCACCGTATGGTCTTTCAGTCATGTCTTTAAAGTTCAACATTTTTATTTAAAACTCAAACCGCCAAACTTGTTTTCATGATAAAAATAGCCAAATCTTTAAATAACTTTCTATATAAAGTATCTTTTACCTGAGTTTTACTAGCTTTCTTCACCCTAAGAGCTTCTTTCTTTAATCTGTATAAACAATACAAATGTGATTGGATTAAATAATTCTTTAATATACATAAACTGTTATCACAGAGATATGTCTCGCCTTTTTGTAATTTTGATAATGCAAATGTTGAAATTAAAATAGCAATACTTTAACATGTAAGTTATGCAAATATTCAAAGTCGATGAACCATGACTGAAGGTACATGGCTAAACAATCTCCATGGAATGAGATGTGCCAATGCTAATACAACTGCATACCAAATACCATTGACTTATTATAAGTCGTTCCCTTTAAACAAACCTAAACACAAACATTAACTTGTAAACTATGTAAAAGTTTCAAAGTCAATGAACCATGATCAGGGGTGGGGCTATATAATCTCCATGGAAATGATACTTGCAAATGCCAATAAATTTGCATACCAAATATCATTGACTTAACATTAGCAGTTCATCTTAAACTGATCTAATCACAAACTAATACATGTAAACTAAGCAAAAGTTTCAAAGTAAATAGACCATGACTGAGGGGGCGGGGCCAAATATTCTCCATGGAAATGAGATGTGCTAATGCTTATACAACTGAACACCAATTAACATTGGCCTACCACTAATGGTTCCCCATTGAACTGACCTAATCACAAACTAATACATACTTAGCAAAATTTTCAAAGTCTATAGACCATGACTAAGGGGGCGGAGCCAAATAATCTCCATGGAAATGAGACATGCCAATGCTTATACAACTGCATACCAAATATCATCGACCTACCACAAGTGGTTCCCCATAAATTGACCTAATCACAAACTAATACATGTAAACTATGAAAAGTTTCAAAGTCAATAGACCTTGACTGAGGGGGCGGGGCCAAATAATCTCCATGGTAATGAGATGTGCCAATGCTAATACAACTGCATACCAAAAATCATTGACCTACCACTAGTGGTTCACCATGAACTAGACCTAATCACAAACTAATACATTGTTGACGCCGCCGACGCCGGAAATAGCACACCTATGTCTCGCTTTTTGACTCCGTCAAGGCGAGACAAAAATTAACAACTCATATATCATCTTCAAATTATTCTCATTTAACAATCTCTGAACCAGAACTGTCTTCCAATATCTTTTAGTGTTGTTGTGCTTTTTATATTTTTTCCTTTTTGTTGAATAATGTATATTTATTTTCTTGTGTGTAAAATTTAGCAGTTAAGGTTTGAAACAGTATATGAAAAATTTTGACAGATGCCAAATTTCTCAATAATTATTTCGGTAGATGGGAACTGTATACAAGTAAAAGGTGGTAAAATGGACTGTCAGATCCTGTCATTCTGCAATAAAGTTCTATAGAAATAAAGAAAAAAAGGTTTTATAACTATTAACGGAAAAGGGAATAATTGATATACATAGATTGACTTTGAACTAGCTTTCAGTAACTGCGAGTACTCTAAGATCTGTACTTTGTGTCTCTAGTGGGTTTTTTTTAGTTGTTTTCGTGCTTCGTAGCGATCTGATGAATTAAGCCATTTACAACTGATTTTTATAGATTGTTCTTATGTTGTGCTGTTACACTACTGTCCAAGGTTAGGGGGACGGTTTTAGTCTTACATGTTTTTTTTATTAGTTATTGGCCTTGAACTAGCTTTCAGTAACTGTGAGTACTGTCGGATCTGTACTTTGTGTTTTTGTTAGTTGTTAGGAGGGTTGGGTGCCCGCAAACATGTTTAACCCCGCCACATTCTGTATGTGCCTGTCCCAAAGTCAGGAACCTGTAATTCAGCGATTATCATTTGTTTCTGTACAGGTATGTCATTAGTTATATTGGTCATTTCCGGCCTTTTATAGCCTGCTTTTCGGTATGGGTTTTGCTCATTGTTGAAGGCCGAACAGTGACCTATATTTGCTAATTTCTACGTCATTTGGTCTCTGGTGGAGCTATCTAATCATCAATCATACCACATCATCTTATTTTTATAATTCATACATGTATGTTTTGTCACCATGGTCACTGGGGTACAAAAAGTTACCAAGATTAATTAGTTATGAAAATATCACAAGAATAAGTCCCTAAATCAAAGGTTTATCGTGAAAAATACTATTGCTACAGACAGATAATAATGAAAAATACACATCCAAACCATAATATGACGTATATAATGGTCTCTTTTTGAAATCTCTTTGATATTCAGGTGTCAGCAATAGCCTAATCCAACACGATATTTTTTTACAAGATATGCTTTAAAGATATGTTGTTTTAATTCAAACTCCATAGAGAATCAGATTTCATACTTACTTGTCAATATCAGATGTTAAAGAATCAATTTTATCTGTTAACATATCTCTTGTCATCTTTATTCTGTAAATTAATAAGACATATATATGGGCTGATATGTTATATGGTTAGGAATACATGTAATAGATGAAATATATTCTAATGTCCCCATTTTGGTGCATTTCCTGATTTTGAGAATTTCAGCTTTTATGAACACTTTAAATTATAAAGCTGTTAAAAAAATTAACAAAAATTTACTTTTACTTTATTAACTGACATAATTAAAGATATAGAGCTATTTATTTCTGTTTGCAGCACTAAAAAATCATAAGGGTCATGCAGAAACCTGTGTCTCGCCTGCAATTGCTGCTGTCAGTGTAAAAGTGAAATGTTGAATTGAAAAGTGAGTCCATTTATCAGTAAAATACAAAATTTAAAAAAGAAATCAAATTTTTCTTTAGATGCTATTTCTTGGTATTGAAGATTAGCTTCTGTTAAAGTTTCATAGCAATCCATGAAGGCTTACAAATGTATCATGTCAAAAAAATTTAATCCCAGACTGTCTGTAAATGGTAACTGTAAAAAACAAAGTTCATTTATCAGAAAAATACTAAAAATGAAAAAAAAAATATTTTCAATGGTTTGCTTCAGACATTATCTCTTAATCATTAAAAAGCTTCTGCCAAATTTCATAAAACTCTATGAAGTAATTGATGTGTAACAACCCCAGACTGTATCTACTTGTTAACTGTAATAAAAAACTAAGTCCATATATCAGTAAAATACGGAATAATGAAAATAAATATTTTCAAATTTTGCTCTGGATACTGTATTTCGGTCATAAACAAGCTTCGGTCCAAATTTCATAAATTTCCATGAAGGTTTGACAAAGTTATTGATGACTGAAAAACTTAAACCTCAGACTGACCCTGAGTGTTAACTGTAAAAAAACTAATTCCATTTATCAGTAACATATGGAAAAATAGAACTAAATATTTTCAAAGTTTCACTCTGGATACTGTCATTTGGTCAGAAACATGCTTCTGTCCAAATTTCATAAAATTCCATGTAGGTTTGAAAAAGTTATTGAGGTTTTAAAAAAACTTTAACCTCAGACTAAATGTGAATGTTAACTGTAAAAAAAAAACTAAGTCCATAATCAGTAAAATATATGGAAAAATATATAATATTTTCAAAATTTTGCTCTGGATACTGTTTTTGTTGTTGTCAGAAACAAGCTTCTGTCCAAATTTCATAAAATTCCATGAAAGTTTGACAAAGTTACTGATGACTGAAAAAATTTAACCTCAGACTAAATCTGAATGTTAACTGTAAAAAAAACTAAGTCCATTTATCAGTAAAATAGGGAAAAATCAAAAAAATAAATATTTTCAAAATTTTGCTCTGGATACTGTATTTTGGTCATAAACAAGCTTCTGTCCAAATTTCATAAAATTCCGTGTAGGTTTGACAAAGTAATTGATGTATAAACATGATAAAAAACATACGAATTTGTGACGCATCTCACACCGTAATTGTTTTTGATTTACAAGGAATTTTCAATTTCCGGTAATGACTAAATCTGAATGTTAACTGTAAAAAAAAAACTAAGTCCATTATCAGCAAAATATATGGAAAAATATATAATATTTTCAAAATTTTGCTCTGGATACTGTTTTTTTTGTTGTAAAAAACAAGCTTCTGTCCAAATTTCATAAAATTCCATGAAAGTTTGACAAAGTTATTGATGACTGAAAAAATTTAACCTCAGACTAAATCTGAATGTTAACTGTAAAAAAAACTAAGTCCATATTTCAGTAAAATATGGTTAAATGAAAATAAATATTTTCAAAATTTTGCTCTGGATACTGTATTTTGGTCATAAACAAGCTTCTGTCCAAATTTCATAAAATTCCATGTAGGTTTGACAAAGTTATTGATGTTTAAAAAAAACTTTAACCACAGACTGAACCTAAATGTTGATGCTAACGCTGACGCAGGAATCTAGGATCGCTATGTCTGGCTTTCGCTAAATAAATTTTGCAGGCTCGACAATAAAAAACACAGTTTAAACAAATTCCATCCCACTCCCCTGTTTCATCCAAGGTCTAGGCTTACCACTTATACATGATACAAAGAAAAAAACTCATATTTGCCTTTTAAGACAAGTGCACGTTGGTGGCAAACTGTTCCTAATTTTTAGTTCAGTAAATGATATTTAGAGAACAATACAAAGCTGATTACAAATTGTCAAGAACTATTGTATATATACCTGAAAATCTCCATATCTCTTTTAGATACAGGTTTTACTGTTTTATCACCTTTGTTAACAAATTTGATAATCTGTAAAATATAGCAAACAAAAATGTATGAGTCTCTTCCAAGGAAAGACATGTATGTGCCTTCTGCCATCTATGAGTAATATAAGCATAAATTACAAAGTCCATGTTTTGGAATAGGAAAGTCCCAAAGTCATGCAGATAAAAAAATTAAAATAGCAGGTCACAACTTATTGTCCTGTAGAAGAATCTGTCCAAATTTGGTGGAATTCTGTCAAGCATTTTTGAAGGAGTTAACAAACTAATAAAAGCAGAAATGGCTATGTGCATGTTTTGGTAATGAAAACCAAATGTTGACAATTGAACACTCTATTAGAGCAATGTAGTGAAGAAAAATTCAAGAAAAGGAGAAAATATAACTTTGTTACTTTTATAGGTAAAAACAATCTGAATGTTTAAAGGATATAACACTGCCTCCAAAAGTCTTAACCTGTACCATTAAATAAAAAAACTACTTGTATAAGTATTACTCCTGATTGATCATACATTATGAGAATGTGCTTTCTTGTTAGAGGTTTTACAGCAAACATCCACACCAAGAATTTAAAGCAGCATCTGTCTTATTTTAGATTACATCTGCATATCTTTTTTAATTACTGGTACATTTTTCTTTCAGATGAAGTTACTTTGAGGTTTTGTGTTTCAATATATAAATACAATACTATTTCTATTATTTACACTGTGTGTACTTTCATGATGTACTGTTATTGCTCTGTGTGTTTTCATTATGCACTGCCACTTACTGTGTGTGTTTACATGATACACTGTTACTTACAGTGTGTGTGTTGACATGATGTTCTGTTACTTACAGTGTGTGTGTTTACATGATGCACTATTACTTACTGTGTGTGTGTTTACATGATGCACTGTTACTTACAGTGTGTGTGTTTACATGATGTACTGTTACTTACTGTGTGTTTACATGATGCACTGTTACTTACAGTGTGTGTGTTTACATGATGTACTGTTACTTACTGTGTGTTTACATGATGCACTGTTACTTACAGTGTGTGTTTACATGATGCACTGTTACTTACTGTGTGTTTACATGATGTACTGTTACTTATTGTGTGTGTGTTTACATGATGTACTGTTACTTACTGTGTGTGTGTTTACATGATACACTGTTACTTACTGTGTGTGTTTACATGATGCACTGTTACTTACTGTGTGTGTGTTTACATGATGCACTGTTACTTACAGTGTGTGTGTTTACATGATGCACTGTTACTTACAGTGTGTGTTTACATGATGCACTGTTACTTACAGTGTGTGTTTACATGATGTACTGTTACTTACTGTGTGTGTTTACATGATGCACTGTTACTTACAGTGTGTGTTTACATGATATACTGTTACTTACAGTGTTTGTGTTTACATGATGCACTGGTAAGTAGTGTTTGTGGTGACATGATGTACTGTTACTTTCAGTGTGTGTTTTCATGATGCACTGTTACTTAGTGTCTGTGTTGACATGATGTACTGTTACTTTCAGTGTGTGTTTTCATGATTTACTGTTACTTACAGTGTGTGTTTACATGATGCACTGTTACTAGCAGTGTGTGTTGACATGATGTACTGTTATCTACAGTGTGTTTACATGATGCACTGTTACTTAGTGTCTGTGTTGACATGATGTACTGTTACTTGCAGTGTGTGTTTACATGATGCACTGTTACTTACAGTGTGTGTGTTTTCATTATGTACTGTTACTTTCCTCTGTTTGACAAGTTCCTCTAGGATAATGTCAAATTCCGTCTCGCTTTCACATAATGACTGACTTTTCTTCCACAACTGACTATATTCTATCACAGAGTCTGTAACTTCACAATACAAACCACACTGATGCTCTTGTACAATCTGCTCACATTTTTTCTGTAAAATAATAGTAATACATGTATATAACAGAGTATGCTACACTACATACATACATTGTATATGCATTCCAGCTCTTCTACCTTTTGAAATATGAACTGTTATACAAAAAGGGAACACTAATGCCATCACTGTATTAGCAAGGTTATTTCTCAAATTCTGCAGCATATGTCACAGAGAAGACAAAAATATGAACTTTCTGTGTGAAAAATCCTCACATATTTTCCTCTCTTAATCTGGAATAATTCTTAAATTGTAGAAGATGAAAACTAGGAATTATAAAACATTGAAAGACATTGTAGTCTTAAAAATATATTTCTTTAACTCAGCATGCATTTTTATAGTAAATTACATTTTTTTTTTAAGCAGTTTGTAAATCTCTTGCATTTAGATCTATATTTGGGATGTTAAACAGGATGAAATAAACAAGAATAAGTCAGTGCTTGATGTTGCCCCTTTAATTCTTTATTCTTTTTTACTTTTGCTATACGTAACAGATCTTCAATCTGTTGAATTCATTTACAACTTTTCTGAAACTAGTAAAGGTGTTTATAGTCTGTCATATGGCATGTATGGTTAGGGTGATTGTAAATCTTATATAGTGTTGATTCCTTAGTTTGCTCATTTTTTGTTTTAGGGTTGATATCTTTAAGATATTTATCTCACATCTGCTATTTTTGTTTGTCGTTATTAATTGTAAACAGAGACTGTTTCTACACTAAATGTTTCACTACTCATATATGATCTTAACTTTTATAAAATTATAAACAGTGTTTGTTGCTGGCAATTTGTAAACAAGTTGACTGTTATAATCTTTATAATATAAACAATGTCAGTAGTGTATAGAGTCTATTGTCAGTAGTGTATAGAGTCTATTGTCAGTAATGTAAAGATGCATGCTATCAGTTTTGTAAACGCACTGACATGTGTCTGTATTTTAAGTACATACTTACATGTAAAACTTCTATAACAATGTACTTTGTATCTTTGGATTCTGTTTGACTGGATGACATGTAGTTTATACCCCATTTTACTGGTGTCTTCAGAAATGTATCGTATCCCCAAGTGAGCCATGATGGTCTCTGCTTCACTGGTGATGACCCTGTGTTTGACAACATTTTAATAGTATTCGATCTGTAAAATAAAAACATTGGAAGTATTGAATAAAACATTAAGCAAATAGGTTACAAGTAGTTTTTAAAAGTTCTCCACTGGTTATATTAAGATTCTCTTGATCATACATGTACCGGTAGTAGTTTTTGTGAAACTGAAAAAATTATTTTCACAATAACATTTGAATAATGAAGCATTGGACAGAAAAGGAAATAAAAACTCAAAATAAATGCAGACAATCTACATTTATAATATAGTAAAGTTTGACCTGTTCACTGTAACCTCAAATTTTAATTTTAAAGAAATGAAACTCTTATAGACATGACCAATTATGATGATTGATGGGCAGCATCAAATGACCAAATTTTCTAGTTTACCAATAGTTTAATCAAAGGCACAATTAAACACATCTGAATTACCAATTACAAGACTATGACACTTCCAAAAGACAACTATTGTTTGCCCAAATATCAGAATCTTTTGATATAAGCTGGTGTAACAATGGATGGAGTGATAGAAGAAATTATGACTTCTTTGCATAAAAAAAGTTGTTCCTTTGAAATAACAAACAAACAGTCTACATTCAACGTTTTCATTTTGATTCTTAAGGCAGTCTTCATGCTTAACCACAGGCCCAGCAGCCCAGGCTTGTAAAATTGCTTTCGGGCCTGTAAAAATCATCTCTACAGGCCAACAGAAACTAAATCAAATTTTCCAAAAATTGAGCCTCGGGCCTGTAGATTTAGAAGTTTATCGTGAAGACTGTAAAGAAGTAAATTGTTTACATGTATATAAAAATAAGGAGATGAGGAGTGATTGCAAATGAGACAACTATCCACCAAAGTTCAATAAAGTGGATGTAAGCAACTGTACGACCTTCAACAATGAGAATAACCCATACCATTGTCTGCTATAAAAGGCCCTGACATGAAAAATATGAAACATATCCATGAACTTCTTCATTTTATGAAAGAAATATTGCCCTTACATCAACGCGAGAGAAATGAAAGCAACTGCTTGAAGATCTGGGCAACTGGATATTGCTTTTCTTATCAGGGAAACACAATTTAGTGGAAGTCTGGAAAAGTAAAGTGACAGAAGGAAAAGTGACTTCTTTGCCCAAGACATCTAGTAGCGTGAGTCCTGATGGCAGTACAAATGTTACATTACATCACAATGCAAAGATTAATTAGTCCAATATTAGGCACTTACCAAATCACTATTAAAAATCTTGGTTATACTTATAAGAGTATCAGGTAGTTGCGGCCCCAAACCAATCAGGCCCAAAGTCGATCCGTCCCAAGTCGATCCGTCCCATGTCGATCCGGCCCCATAATAAAATAATGAATAATTTATATTAACTTCGGATGATTTGGTGACATATTTGAATCAGGATAAATGGAATTTGTAAAAAGTATCAATGCTTAATGACAGCAGGTAAGTGAAGTATGCCATATATTTGAGTAACATTCAGATGAAATATTTTAAATCGATACGAAAATGAGTATGATTGGTTCTGTTGGTAAAGCAGCATCAGCATATAAATAGGAGGTTATTTTCCATGATAACTTGGAATATCACAGGGAAAAAGTTTTTATTTAATTCACACATAGAACATGTAAAAGAGATAAATAGATATTTACAATCCAATGGAACATATAATTATGTAATCATCATAATGACTTGTTTAAATCAAATCATTAGTCTATAATTGGTTTGTTTATTCAACAAATGTCTAATGACTGTGAACCAAATTAACGCCAGTCGTAATCACTTAATTCAATCAAAATCATGATTGATAAACTTTACTTAAGGCTAGCAACAAAGTCTTTTATATGAAGTTCTAATAATTATTTTTTTTTTTTTTTTCAGGTAACACGAAGAAGAAATGTACTTTTATTTCTTTTCGCCACTGTCTTCTCTGTGTTCTATTATTTTTTTTTGTACCATCAAATTGTGATATTAAAAGAACAACCCAACCTATCTCCTCTTTTATAGCAAGGATTCGGCAAATTAAACAACATTTCTCAATTTGAGAAGTTTTTATAACTTTAAACAAAAACAAAGTTTGTATACATCAGCTTGGGGATCGGCTTGCACAGTTTTGTATGCAACGATTTGTTATCATTACATCAGTTCAAAGACTTGTTAAAATCACAGTCAATTGAAAAAATGCGAATTACTGCTTATTAATGTTGATGGTACTAAATTCTGTTATAAATAAATAAATTATAATTATGCATACCCAATAGTCTTGAAAACTTGTAATAAAAACATAATCAACATAATTGTTTTATACTGCATAATCATCCGTATTCATTTAAGGTGATTCAAATATTTTATATAAAAATAATATTATATTTCTATATGAATCTGAATATATATCTTTTTTTAATATTAAAATAAATGTCTCATCTTATGAAAATTTCATTTTCAAATATTCGTCAAAGGCCAACTTTTTTACCGTCCACCATGTCCACCTTTTATATTATTAATAAAATTCATAAACACTGAATTCATATATATCTTTATTTTTATTCCTTATCAAAATTTTTATATTGGGGACGGATCGACTTAGGCCGGATCGACTTGGGGCTGGATCGACTTGGGGCCGGATCGACATGAAAGCCTTATAAAGTTATATATTAACTTATAACACTATGTAAAAAAGAAAAACTTTTCAGATTAAGAAAGTTTTGCTTTTGCTTTAAAGCTTAAAACAAACCTTAACAGTTCTTCCAAGACAACATCTAAGCAAAGTGGGACTTTTCCATTCCTCGTAAATTTTATCTGTAAAGAATTTAAATCAATTATGGGAGTTAGACTGGATCGGCTTTCTTCCAGAATTAACTGCGACCAAAAGGACATCTTTTGTTTCCATGATGATGGATTTAATGATTTTTCTCTGAAGGGTGCAAATAAAACAGACATTCTCGTGTCATCACTCCATACAGCTGGAAGGTTGGTCGCTTGTCTTTCCATTTTTCAAACCGAAAGTTAAAGACAGAAAAAGCTCAATGTAAAATAATTTCTTGGTTCAAAAGTTAAAATGCCGCATCATCAAACGCTTGATTAACGCAGAAGACGTACCGGAAGTTATGGAAATGACGAAAGTGCATTCATGAACTTTACGATGACTAATTTGATACTGTTGACATGAAACACGAACTCCTTAAATAATGTACTCCATAAGAAGATGGTTATTTAGACCAAAGGTTTCGTATCGTTTCCTTTCGTTCACATATGGTTTGGTAAACACTGATATTGACAAGTAGACACAAACGTAAAGATTCAAGATATATCATATCTTTTTGTCGGATTTTGTCGTGGCTTTGTGTTCATGAGTTGTTTATGTTTACTAGCATATCCTGTTTAATACACTCCTGTTTTTTCTTATCATTATCACGTTGCAATTTTAGTTTATATTTATTACCTATGAGAAACAGTGTATATAAATTTTATTAATGTATTATTTACAGACAAAGCTATAAAACATTTTTTACTAGGAAGTTCTTTGTTTACATAATTTCAGAATCAACAAGCTGGAAAAGATTGTCAACCTTTCAAAGCTCAGAAAGGATTGATAGTGTGTCTAAGAATTGTGCTAAAACGCTGTATGTTGTGTTTTGGATCTGCATTAAAACATTTTAAGACTTTCACAGTGAGTGGTAATGTTGTCTCATTAAACTTGAATGAAATAACAAAAAATATACTTTATAAGTGTACAAAAAGAATTTAAACATAATTATATGTGTATACCAGATTGTGATTTGACTATATTTCTATCAGGCAAAGTCTACTTAGATGGATTCAAGTACTTATACATCCTTTGCTTTCATTTTGTTTTAGGTTTAAGCATTACTGATGAAGAAATTAAAGAAATATCAATAAAGGCGCTTACATGTAGTATGCACCATATTCATTGGGTATTATTTTCATTTTGCATATTTATTTTAGAAATCTGATGCAGCCCTGTTAGCCAAGTTCTATTTTACTGATGAAGAGCTCAACCAAGTTGCTGCAGAATTAGATAGCTTTGATGGTCGAAAAGATCCCGAGAGATGTACAGCTTTAGTGACAAAGTTAAGGTCCTGTCAGGACAAAGTATTAAATGTTATAGAGAAGATAATCGTAGATGCCATACCAACACTGAAAGCTAACCGTGATTTCAGGGTTAAGTTTCCAGATGATGTCCTGCAAGAGAGTTTGGCAGGACAGTTGTGGTTTGGAGCTGAGGTTAGTAAAGAAAAAATATTCATAGCTTTTGTAAATTTAAGGAGATATAGAATTTGACCTATGGTTTAGGTACAGCAGTGTTCTAGTGGTATTTTAGCATTATGATAATGTGATGCCATATTGCATGAATGTCAGTCAGGGGTACTACTTGTACAAGTAATTTTTATTTACTTGAAGAAGTAAATATTGATATACATATATAAGTAAATTTGTAGGATACTCATACAAGTGTATTTTATTTACTTGTATAGGAAAAAAAAAATTGAGCTTAGTTATGTCCCTTAGACACAAATGTTAGACATTCAGAATTTTTTACTTATACAAGTAAAAAAGTCATCCTATCTTCTTTTCTTGAATTCTTAGGACTTCTTTGCTCTAATAGAATTTTTGATTGTCTGTCCTTTGCAGATGTCTTTACTAATCATTTAAGTGTAATTTCATGGACAATGAAAATCTCATTTGTCTGTTATCTTCAGAACACTGCTCATTTACAAGCCCTCAAGGGGCAATTTTTGAAGGCCTTTGCGCAATTTTTTTAGAAAATGACGCAGTCAATTTTCTTTTACCATTGACCAGACTTCCAACCCGCATTCTGAACTCGGTTCCGTATTTTACATACTTAAAGTGAATGTTAGTATGCTCATACATTGGTAAAAGAAAGACAACTCCAGCGCTGCAAATGTACATTTAAAATAACAGATGGTGTTGTCTCCCTTCAATATGTCTTGTTGTGTACAAAATGGCGGTCATTAACCTTCGTGACCGTCGGACAATTTTCAATCATATTGTTGGAAATACAACTGGAACAGAATTAAATTTGTAATTTTCATTCAATAATTTCTTAACCTGTCATACCTGCCAACTTGCACGATTCAGGCGTGAAATACTCAATTTTGACCCCTTGTCACGATTGCACGATTGTGATCATGTAAAAACCTCTAAACCACGATTTTGTTAAAATCTACTGTACTCAATTTCGAACTTTCCTCAAAATTTTCCCAAGGGAGACAACTGTGATCAGCCAATCAATATGGTTGTTTCTCCTGATCTTCGGGTATTGTAAACTGCAAATGTGCTAAATTTTGAACTTGTTAGGAACTCAGAATATTGTAGAAATTGTGATCATGGCAGACCAATTTTCAATTACAAGAAGGTTCTTACACAGCTTAAGAAGTAAATCATGACTGATTGACAAAGTTCAAAGATACAGTTCAACCATAAACATAATAAACAGTAGCTAATGGACAAATTTTAGTCATTCTTGAAATTAAATTACCAAATCAATTAAAGTACAATGTTCTATCTTTTAATTTTCACAAGGAATCAGATATATTTCCTTCTTTGCACATATTTTTATATTTGAAAAGTCAACAATCACTTTAATATTCCTGTGACCAATAATCTGATAATCCACCTTTAAGGTTCATATAATATACACCAACAAAAATGGCTGTGTTTACACCATGAAATTTTCTCTGAATGCAGACAAAACTGTGTAATTCTAATAGTTTTAAATCCTGGCAGCACCTGGCCACAACTCCTCTTTTTCCTGTGGTACCTGAAAACAATAAACCGGTTTGGTACATTGTTGAGGTCTGAAAGTGACTTATAACTGCCAACAGCCACATTGTTTGGACTCTGGTAGAAAGTACATCAGACTGTTATCTCATTGGCAATCACACCCCATCTCCTTTATTTATTACGGGTCAATTACTAAACATTAAATCATTTGAAAAAAAAATAATTTTGCAATAATTTAAGTTGTCATTTTAAGATTTCAGTGTAAACTTGCTTACTACAGGCTCTTCACAATGAAATTAAGTTGTATAAATGGTGTCACTTTGTTTGTAATTGTGAAACTAGTATAACAATACTATTGTCTAAATCTAAAGAAATTGATCATGTTTAGCAATGTTTAGGTAACTGAAATAACAATTTGATTATGTCACTAGGTCATCTGTAACTTATTTCTTGAATAAGGACTATGTTGGGTATAAGAGCTTTCCTACTACAGGCTCTTCATAATCATTTTGTTAAATAATTCTACAAATAAGGGAAACAAATTCACATATTACTTTGAATATTGTAGATTGTTCAGGTAGTCTTGAGCTATTTCTTTGTACAGCAGAACAACTAGTAGTTATTTTCACTTCACACACATGTATATATATATCTTGACAAACAAATAAAAACACTATAGATTGTGGAAACAATTCATATCTATTCTATTAATCATCCTACCTACCATAAACTGAAACGTCGCCTAAGATTCAGTAGGTAAATTAAGTAAAAATCAAGACCTGCATAAAAAATATCCCAATATGAGAGACAATGGCGTCATTTTTACTTAGAGCTTTCAGCTCTTTGATTTGTTGAATTAATGAGATGAAACATTGAACTCTAATACAAAATTATAAGCTAACCTGAGAAAAATTGTTAAAGGCATGTTTTTACATCTCAAAACTTGAGAATTTTTGTGGGATTGTAAAAAAAAATTACTTTTAATGAGATGAAACATTGAACTCTAATACAAAATTATAAGCTAACCTGAGAAAAATTGTTAAAGGCATGTTTTTACATCTCAAAACTTGAGAATTTTTGTGGGATTGTAAAAAAAAATTACTTATACAAGTAAATTTTTGAGAAAATTAAGGGGAGATTATTCAAACATTATAATTAACTTATATAAGTATATTTTATTTACTTTTTCAAGTAAATAAAGATTACTTGTACAAGTAGTACCCCTGACTGAATGTGATTCTACATGTGTATCTGAAATATTTGTTCTTGTAGATTGTGTTATGAATGGATGCTATAATTTCTAGATATAAGATGGTGTTTAAAAATTAATTTTTTACCAGGATGGAACATTACATGTATATATGAAATTAATTTGGAGAAAAAATAACACTACAGACTACACATGCTACATCTCTATAGTTAAATTTTGGTTAACTTGTGGTATGAGGTTGCTGTTTAATGGCATCTATTCCACACCTTTTAACTTACTATGTATAATGTAGTCTTTAAATAAATGATATCTAATATTCAGACATTTGACCATCACCATTTTCTTATTTTACAGTGCCTTGCTGCAGGTTCCAGTATAATGAATAGGGAACTAGAGAGTGCCAGTATGAGACCACTTGCCCGTGCCTTAACTAAAAATTTAGACAGATTAAGATCATTACTAAGAGAACAATGTTTACGTAGTTATTCTTATAATGAAAGGGTAAGAATTTTCTTATTACATGTAGCTGACGCACAAATGACAAGGATGCAATAAGGTCCTTTTACAATCTTATTTGGTATAATTTTTCATTAAAATTTGAACTTTTAATTATATCATTGATAGATTGATTGTGTGTTATTTGTTTAATGTTCAATGTAAAGATATATAATCCATCGTATTTCTTTTTATCAGTTTTTATACGCCCGTTTACGGGACGTATTATGGTATACCTCTGTCCGTCTGTCCGACCGTCGTCAACATTTCGGACATTAACTCAAAAACGCTTTAACCAATTTGCATAAAACTTTGGTGAATTGTTTATATCTATTGACGTGAGCTCCCTTTTGTTTTTTATAAATTTTAGATTTTACGTTTTCGAGTTATGGGGTTTTATTCATTAAAAAAAGGGGGATTTTCCAGTTTTTGGACAATAACTCAAGAATGCTTTCACCAACTTGCAAGAAATTTTGGTTAATTGTTTATATCTATTGACATGAGCTCCCTTTTGATTTTTATAAATTTTAGATTTTACGTTTCCAAGTTGTGGGGTTTTATTCATAAAAAAAAAGGGGGATTTTCCAGTTTTCGGACAATAACTCAAAATGCTTTCAGCAGTTCTCATGAAACTTTGATGAATTGTTGATATCTATTGATGTAAGCTCCCTTTAGAATTTTATAAATTTTAGATTTAATATTTCCAAGTTATGGGGTTTTATTCATTAAAAAAGGGGTGATTTTCCAGTTTTCAGACAATAACTCAAAAATGCTATCAGCAATTCTTATGAAACTTTGGTGAATTGTTTATATCTATTGATGTAAGCTCCCTTTAGAATTTTATAAATTTTATTTGTTTATAGTCTGACAACAGATTTACTAAGTATTGTGCAACAGCATAGTGTATTGCACAACAGCAAGAAATCTTTAATTGAATATAAATTCAATTCATATAACCAATTTCAAGTTCTTTGACTACATTTATTCAGAAACTTATAATATGTCAAATACTTAATTACAATCCAAATTCAGACCTGTATCAAGCTTGAATATTGTGTCCATTTTTGCCCCAACTGTTCAGGGTTGGACCTGCGGGCGTATCCAGCTGCGCTCAGCGAAGCAGTTTATTAGTTAAAGCAGACATTTCTTTGTGTTTATAGATTATAAATTAAAATATTTGTTTATATTTTTTCAGATTAAAGAAGCGTTGGTGATTTTTGATAAATTGTTTGCAGAATTTGAATATAGGTAATTATTTGATGACTCTGAAAACAGGGGAATTAATTAAAAGGCAGAAATCATTTTTATCAAATTTAAAAAAAAAATGCAACAGTAAATTCTTATTAGTTATGTAAAACATATTAGGACCAACTTAAATTTTTCAATGAAGTCAAAAGTGAAAAAAATGTCCTTACAAATCAATAGGAAAATAAAAAAAGTTACCGGTATGCACAAATATCTGGTGAAAGGCAAACAACAGACTTCAAATGCTTTTCTGAAATACAAAGGGATGTGTATATATTGAACACTTTATAATCAACCAGGAAGACTATTTAGAAATAGAAATTATCAGAAGTTCTAAGACATTTAAAAAAAAATTATAGTAACTTTTTGGAAAATTGTATAAAATGATTTATGTTTAGTATGATTCATCAAGTTATAATAGTTTTCCACTAATCACTGAATATTGAAATGTGAGGTAGACATGGTGTTCTATACACAAGTATTCTTGTATAATTATTTAAAAAGCTATAAAAGTGCCAACAGAATGATATGCTCATAAAATACAGAAAAAATAGAAAAACTCTTAAAGGCTATATTACTGTATGATATGTCTACATGTTATTACTTTGTAGTTATGTTAGTACTATGGTACCAGTGAAGAGCAAGAAAGAGTATGACCTACTCCAGGAGATCACTGTTCTGTTCTCTGAAACAGTTCAGAGGTAAGGGAAACTATATTTATTTGGACAAATGAATAAAATCAGGAAATTTTCAAAGGAAAACAGTGAAAAGGTCATCTTGTATGTCAGTCTTTAAAGGTTCTAAAAGTTTAAACATTTGAGGCATATTTTTTATGGAACCTTTTTTCAATAATGTTAGCTATATGCATTTTGCACATGAGGACAGTTTGTATCCAGACTTATGTTCTTCCTACTAAATGTGCCAACAATAAACCTTTATTTACAATTGTGAATTTAAAACATCTAGAGAAACAATTACTTTCATAGAAATTAAGATTTTTAAACATTTGACAAAAGAAAAATTGATAAAAGAAATTTTGACTTTCTTGTAAAACATTTATGCAAAAATGATCATGTTTTCAGGGCATTAAAGATAAAGTTATTAACTCAGGACCAGATAGATGATTGTGATCCAGCTTTAATGTTTACAATACCAAGACTAGCAATGGTTTGGTAGGTATTAAATCCACACTTTAAATATGTTATTAACTTCATATTATATTGATAATGTTGGAAGTCTTTTAGCCCTATTCAAGACAAGGGAAGTAATTTTTGAATAGGATCAATGCTTTTTGGTACAAGATAAAAATAAGGAGGCATGACCACCAATGAGACAATCATCCAACAGAGACCAAATGATCAGGATCAGAGACCAAATGATCAGGATCAGAGACCAAATGACCAGGATGTAAACAATTACAGTTCACTATACTTATAATGGAGACTCAGTGAAATATAAGTAGACGTTACACAGTTTTTTTTTACGAGAAATTTCAAACAAAATCCTGGAATAAATAGGATATATTCACAAAGTTTATTGTGGATGATATTGTTTTATAATAAAACCTTTAAAAAATCATTTCTGATAGGATCAGGATTTAAATAAAACCCAGAGAATTAAGGTACACTGGTACTAAAATGTCATAGGCCAGCACTGGAACAATTTTTAAAGAAACAGAAAATACTAACAGACAACACCACAATAAAAAAAAAAAAAAAAGACCAACAAATAAAAGTCTATAAAACATTACACATAAAATTAAAGATTGGCCAACATTGACCCTGCCAAAAACTCTAAGGACTATATATATATGGTCATTGTTTTTCAAGAATATCTTTTTATTGACACACAAGCTTATAAAGTTCATAACTTTCTTACTAGAGTTTCAAATCAACACAGGCAGTATCACGTTTTTTTGTTCCGCTAGCCACATTATTATATGAATAACACATAGACTTATTGTTTTTAGTGGGCTACTTATTTATTCTAATGGACCATTAAATCCTATATGTGATAGATTGGAAATGTCAGAAATGTTCAGACCGTTCCAGACTTTGTTGATCAAAATTAAGTAAGTATAATGTCTTATGTACTAATAAGAGGAGAAATGGTATGAACTGTGTTCTGGTCCTTCCAATTTCAAATATATGTATAAAAAATTTGTATATAATTTTATTTATAAATGAATAGAATAAAATAATCTGATCATTTAGTGCTGAAATGACAGATGTGATGGATAAATAAGCATTAATTTCTTACCTAGAATGTCCATTTTACACCTAAAGTTTATCAGAATTAAATATGAGCCTTATTTAAAAAGATGTTTTACTCTTGCCTGGTGTCTTTGTGTAAGACATCTTGTGAATATAAAGCTGTGACTTATATCTAAAAATCAGTAATTAGGTCTCAAAATGATGCTTTTTTTGAGATTTAATACAAACGATATATGGCAGATTAATGTCTTGTGATCATTTGAGGGCCTATATTTGATAGATTTAATACCTTTTAATTTTTGAATTCAAGGTATATAAAAATGGCCTTATCAGGCCTTCTTTGCTGCTAAAAATATCATTTATAACCTTATTAATCAATCTAGGTACATGTATCTGTTGAAGGTATGGTTTCTCTGGGTCATATGGTTTCCTCAGCCAATCAAAACATTTATATATTTACTATCCATTGATACAATAATGTACACACACAAGAAACAAAATTAAACTTTGGGTAACAAACAAAATGGTTTTTAAATGTTTGAGAAATCAATCAAGCACCAGAATAGCATAAAAAAAAATTTATATTTCTTTGTAGAGAATTATTGCAGACACTGTCACCACAGGAGCTAGCATCGTTAGAAAAATCCTTATGTACAAATGAACCAGTGGAGAAAGTTATACCAAAAACTACTTTGGTGAACCAGAACTCTCAGACTGATCCTGGCTTCGAGGATAGTACAGAAGAGGCTGACAACAATGCAGATATCACTGTTACTTTGGAAAAAACTTTGGACAATAAGTCTTCCAATGAAAGGTTAGACAAAATAAGCCAGTTAGATGAATCTCAGCAAACATTGTCACCAAGTGATGATAGGAATTTTATTTCACATTTGAATAAATCTGAAAGTCGTGACTCTGGACTGCAAAGTGAGAATACCAGTACCTCTGGCACAGTTTCTTGTGGGGTTGTCTCCCCTGAGGAAGAAAATAGATTTTTGGGTACAAATGAAGTTTTGGATGATACAAACAGTGCAACACCAAAAGAGGTGGACATCTGTGATAATGAAACTGTTGCTATGACAACAACCAGTGCTCACAGCACAGAATCTTTAGGAGATAATATTTGTGATACTACCGATGCAGAAAACATTCATGACATATGTCTTTCAATAATTAACGATATAATTAATAATTGTGCAGGGCAGCCTTCTAATGACTTTAATTCTGAAATTCCACAAATGGCATCATATAATTTGTGTTCGGACTGTGATAAACAAACTGAGGATTTAAATTTGGCGACAAACTTTGAAAATAGAAAACAGACTGAAAATCAACCTGATGTCAAAGTAGCATCAGATTCTAAACATTTACAGGAAACAGAAAATGATCCCAGTGCACAAGGTTGTAGTCAAGTTTCTTCGTCAGAGGCATCTAAAATTGACAAAAAACAAGGATCTGAACCACCTCTTGATGAACAACAAAGTTGTAGTACTTCAAGGTCTCATTCTAAACCAACACAAAGTTGTAGTACTTCAAGGTCTCATTCTAAACCAACACAAAGTAGAAAACCACCTATAGATAGAATTCATTGTAAAACTGGATCCACCGCAAAATCAGGAACACGGGAAGTAAAACCTGAATCAAATGCTAAGCCAGAGACACAGAAAGGAAAAAGTAGAACTAATAGTACAACACAGGAAACACATAGAAATAAAACTGGACGACAAGATACGAGAGTTAGACGTGTTAGATACAATGGAACTATCAGTAACACCTTCTCTAGTGTACATGATAATAATTATGACTGGGAAAGAGAAAGGTCAGTAATGGGAATAGTCATTAGAAATGTAAAGTTGGTGGTTAGGATCATACAAAATTGCAATAGTTCAGCTTGTATTTTTCAAAGCCTAAATGAAAAAGAAATTAATACTTTTATAGTACTAAATGCTACAACTATATTAAGCAACTGGTTTATAAAATGGGAATTTAAATGATAACTGTGTTTATTGATTAAGGATTTGGGATTTGATCATCTTGAATGCCAATATTTTTTAACTAATTTCTCCATTCCTTGCTGTCTTAACAGAAAAAGGAAATTGGAGACAATGTTTGTGATAAGAAATTAATAAAGGCATAAAACAATACATAGAAAGCCTCACTCTTGTAAAAGAATTAAATCTAAGTGAAATATCTATTTGAAATTAACAAAAACCAATATGAATTAGAAACTTATTATATAAAATTTAAAAAAAAAAATTACATTATTTTACTCCCTTTGCCATGCTTGTTTTGATTGAAAAAAAAAGTAAAAATTTATCAAAAATTGAAATGACAGTGTACTTTTATAAAAAAAATCTAGTTTTCTGAAAATGAAATAACTCCTAAATAATACATGTAATATTTCAGTAGTGATAGCAGTGGTAGTTCAGATACCAGTTCTTACACATCAGATAGCCAAGATGATGAAGAAATAGAACTTGCTGTCAAAGCTGCTGCTGTGGCATCAAAGAAAGAAATCCGGTCCAGATTTCGTAGTAGTAGTGATCTTATCCACAGACTATTTGTTTGTATATCAGGTAAGACTGTGATTCCCTTCACACAGATCATACAGAAAAAGGCTTCAGCAACAATATAACAGTGATATTATACAATTATAGCCTTTTTATGAGGTCGATACGAGGTTATATTGACGTAGAGAAGCATATTGACTGAGCACGAAGTCCGAGGTCGATATAACATCAAATTGATCTCAACCAAAGGCGACAAATGTTATATTATTAATCAACAACTATTGCATGAACAATATAATATTGGGGATTTCTAGAATGTATTTTTAGTAACATGCTGTATGCCCTATGCGATATGCTGTTTTTGACCTATGAAAGCTAAACACAACAGTACTGGCATACAAGCTGAGTAAGTACAAATGTACATGTGAGCAAGTTTTAAAGAATCACAAATCCTTAAAAATATTCGATTAATAATATTAAGAACTACCATACTTGTACATGCAATGTGTAAAAACATGTCAAGAATTTTAAAAATGCAATTATTTATTAAGGCATACTGTACCATAATTCTAAACTATGTACATGGTACCTTCCTAATTTTCCAAGGTATATGGTCAAGGCATACAGTTTCCCAATGATTATTTCTCAGAAATGCAGCATTTGGGAACACTTTTAGCATGTTTAGTTTTACCTGATTTCATGCTTAGCTTTAAATTTAGTTTTCCTTGTCCATACTTTTTCTTTTTTGTGACTACGTAGTTGTGCATATCGACAGGAAATTGCGATTTAATTTTTTTTCTAGGAGTTACACCCCTTTGAACTTATTTACTTTAATGTACTACTGCAACAGTTTGTCATCGCAACTCCTCTGATATACCACAACAGAATTTCATGAAACCTTTGTAGATAATAAGGACATACTATGTAGATGTGCATATCGACAGGAAATTACGGTTCAATTTTTTTTCTAGGAGTTACGCCCCTTTGAACTTATTTGCTTCAATGTACTACTGCAACAGTTTGTCATCACAACTCCTCTGCAACCACACAACAGAATTTCATGAAACTTTGTAGATAATAAGGTCATACTATGTAGATGTGCATATCGACAGGAAATTATGATTCAATATTTTTTCTAGGAGTTACGCCCCTTTGAACTTATTTGCTTCAATGTCTTCTGCAACAGTTTTTCATCGCAACTCCTCTGAAACCACACAACATAATTTCATGAAACTTTGTAGTTAATAAGGACATACTATGTAGATGTGCATATTGACAGGAAATTATGATTCAATTTTTTTTTCTTACACATATTTTATTTCTCCAATGACAATGTGAGGACGTGGGGTATGTGAGCGTGCTCACTAAGGTTCTTTAATTTTTAAAGAAGTAATGTCCCTTTGAAATGTGAATTCTATAGAAAATGGCATTGAAGGCACTCTCAAGTGTAAAATTCCAGCCAGATATTGATAAAATTTATATCAAAAGTTTATTTTAACAAAAAAAAATCTGGGCCGATCAACAATTTTCAAGAGAATTATACCCCTTGGAAACATTAATTATATATAAAATTGTATTGTTAGCACTACCACACCAACATTTCTTGTAGGATTGTTATGTCATTGTGAGTTTTGGGAAAGTTTCAGAACATTTCATATCTTATTGAAACATGTTTGTTCATGTGTGATCAATTGTCATTTAGGTGTAGCAGATCAGCTACAAACTAACTATGCAGGGGATTTAAGAAATATCTTGAAGAGTGTCTTTGATATGAATTCATCAAGTGAACCAGATGAAATAGAAAGTGTAGGAACGAAATTTGATAGAACACAACAAATTCAGGCTCAATTACAGGCTGCAAGAGTCAACAGATATAGGCGTAGCAATAGTAACCATAGTCACAGGAGTAGAGGTGAGTCAAATGTAAACATAATCTTCTTTATGGTTGTACCATACAAATTTGTAAAAAGTTTCTTAGGAATGGCACTCATAAATAGCTGATATAAGTGTTTCTATCATAACATCATTTGCAATATCACTCTATAATTTAATTTTGGATGTAACGCGTCTTCTGATTGGCTGACGTTGTTTTGTTTATCAGCTCATAGACATAATTTTGTCATGTGACCGTGACGTCATCAACGTTTTTTCATGGTTTACTCCGGTTTAAAATGGAATTTAGAATTAAATTATAAGAAATGACTGTAATATTTTTTCTGTCTATTTGAAATAACATAATAAATGTGGTGCACACTTTAAAATAACCCGCTACGCGAGTTATTCAGTGTGCACCACATTTTTGATGTTATTTCTTCATAGACAGAAAAAATATTACAGTCATTCCTTAAGTATCTTAAGTTGCTTCTATGGTTGGTTTCTCTAATAATCCCTGCAGCTGCCTTGATAGTGTCCTGGTAGCTTGCTCACCTCAAGTGTTGATCCTATCCTGGTCAAACCAAAGATTTTGCAGCTTTTTTGCCAATAATGCAACAGCAAAGGCTGGTTGATTCTTGAATCAGGAAAATATTCTCGGTAGGATGACATGCCTTCCGGTGGACTTGTACCCTATAAGCTAGAATGTTCAAATCTGGCATGTTTTAGAAAAAAAGCAGGGTTTATGGTCATATTTCACATTAAAGTGTCATTTTGAATTTTTATGTAATATTTCCCAGTGGATATTTTAAAAGCATCTATCCATTATTATAAAAGTTTCTTCCAAGGGTACCCAATATATTAAACAGTCCTCAGCTTGATGGTAAAGAATTTATGTATCGTTTTTCTCCTTTTTTTTAGACATTAATTCAAAGTAGTTTATGATCTAGTCAAGTTCGATAATATGATATGAGAAAACGGAAATTATATTTTATGGATCATTGCAGCTTGTTCTATATGTGGGTCCTTCATTTTAGTTTAGTATTCTGCAAATTTTTTTACCAATGAAATTTTGGAAATGTAATTCTGTTCTAACCAGTTTTTGTCCATGCCAAATACACACTTCAACGTTGCATGTTCACCTAGGTTAACTGAACTCCAAGAAGTTGATTTAATTAACCGCAAGGTTAAAGAACAAACATCCCTGACCCAGGGCTTCCAAAATTATTTTTAGCCAGCCGGACATTTTATATATTATCCCGATTTTAATCCCTTAAGACTAAATAAACAAAAGGCAATTATGGTATTCAGTTGCTGAGTTGGCCATCCCAATGATTGACATTAAAAAAAAACGATATTAAACTTTCTTTGATTCAAATTCAAAGTTCTGATGTAAACTGTTAAATTGGCAGTGCATCATTCGAAGTGTGCAACATCAGCGTACTTATATCTGCCTTAGACTCTTTATTTGTGCAAAAAAACGTTGTCAAAAACTTTACATTCGTTAAAATCTTATACCGGATGTTATCTTGACAATGGTAAAACATGGACCAGAGACGGATATGTAAATTCCGTGTACGTTTGCAAAGCATGAATGAGTGTACGTAGCTCTTTCTACGTTATTTCTTCAAGAAAATATTCGAAATAAACGTGAGATAAAGGTATCAATGACAATTTAAGCATTTTTTGAAGAAATTAGGATGCATAATTAAATTTCACACCTGCGCACATGCACACACGTGTACTAGTTCAAACAGAGACATGTCTGTGGTTCAAACAACGTGGTTATGACGATTTTTCATTTTCACCTTTTTAATTTTTTCATCAAATCATATTTGTAAACGTATTTCTGATATTTTAAATCTTTTTGACTAGTTAATTAGATGCAAACCGCTGAAATGTAAGAAAATAACTTTGAATAGACCGATCAATGTCCGGTTCAAAATAGTTTACCTGTCACCTGAACAGGTAAATTTCAGCTGTTTGACAACTAATTAGCCTTGATTAAAATGAGAAGGTATTAAAGTAGGGGTTGTTTTGATAGTACTTAATGATCATGTCACTTTTATGACCGAAAATGTGTGGCTGTTAAAGACAAAAGGTTGGGTCAAAAAGATCGCGAAATTATGTTAAAATGACCGTCTCTTAAGAAAGCCTTGAAAACTAAAAAGTAGTTGACCGTTTCATACTTTGCCCAGCCGGACTTTTACCGGACATTATACAAATGTCCGGAATATATGACCGTTTTGGAAGCCTTGCCCTGACCCCTGAAGTGTGCTTTTAACAGAGATTTACCTGGCTATGAGCTAGTGCTTGATAATAATAGTACGAAATTATTGAATGTTACTTTTAAAAATTAATATTGGTAGCATAATATCATTTATTAGACACTTGATCTTTCTACGATAGAAACACATACTGGTTGTGAGCGTCCTACCACAAGACAATGGAGTCAAGTGAAAGAAATTAAGGTTTTCATTACAGGTATAAAAATAACAAACCAGGACATTTTCTAAAGGATATCATGCAGATAATAATACAAAATCGTTCAAACCAAACTACTGGGACTTAATTTCTTTCACTTGACTCAATGATCTGGTGGTAGGCCGATTACAATTAGTATGTGTGTCTATCTGTAACAAGGTTATGTCCCCAGACTTTAAGGCAAGTTTTGAATATTTTGAAGTCGAGATATTTTATCAATAAATTCACCAGGGATCATTTTATTTCTGAAAAAGGCAAAACATAAAGAAGTAGTGACAATAAGTGGCGAGATTCTTATCTTAGGACAGGCACATATATGACTTGGTTAAACTGGTTTTTGTCGAGCCTGCGACTTCTGTCGCTGAAAGCTTGACATAGGGATGGTGATCCAGTGGCAGAAGCGGCAGCGTTAACTAACTACTTAAAAGCTTTATATTTTAGAAGGTGGAAGACCTGGATGCTTCATACTTTGTATATAAATGCCTTATGTTATGAAGTTTCCGTCTGTCATATATGTCCATGGTCCTTGACTTCATTTTCATGGTTCAGTGACTACTTGAAAAAAAAGTTCAGATTTTTTGTAATGTTAATTTCTCTCTTATTATGAGTAATAGGATAACTATATTTAGTATATGCGTACCTTGCAAGGTCCTCATGCCTGTCAGACAGTTTTCAACTGACCTCGACCTTATTTCATGGATCAATGAACAAGTTTAAGTTTTCGTGGTCAAGTCCATATATTAGATACTATAAGCAATAGGTCTACTATATTTGGTGTATGGAATTATTGTAAGGTGTACATGTCCAACTGGCAGGTGTCATCTGACCTTGACCTCATTTTCATGGTTGAGTGGTTAATGTTAAGTTTTTGTGTTTTGGTCTGTATTTCTTAAAACTATAAGCAATAAGTCAACTATATTTGGTGTATGGAATGATTGTAAGGTGTATATGTCTGTCTGGCAGGTATCATCTGACCTTGACCTCATTTTCATGGTTCATTGGTCAATGTTGAGTTTTCATGGTTAAGTTTGTTTCTTAGATACTATAAGCTTAAGGTCAACTATATTTGGTGTATGGAATGATTGTAAGGTGTATGTGTCTGTCTGGCAGGTATCATTTGACATTGACCTCATTTTCATGGTTCATTGGTGAACGTTAAGTTTTCATGGTTTAGTTTGTTTCTTAGATACAATAAACAATAGGTCAACTATATTTGGTGTATGGAATGATTGTAAGGTGTACATGTATTTCCGGTATAGTTTATCTGACCTTGACCTCATTTTCTTGGATCATGTTAAGTTTATGTGATACTTGTAGTAAAGCTTTACATTTAGGACTATCAACATAAAATTAATGGTCAGTAAAGCAGGCGAGACATTTCAGCTGTGCACTCTTGTGTGAATATTCAACTCTCAATATTTTTTTCCTGATCAGTGGAATTAAAAAAAAATATTTAAATGTGACAAAGTATTTTAAAAAAATTATGTAATGTGACACCATGTAGCCACCTATTTGATAACAATGTTACCAGAAGGAAACACGCACATGACATTCACTAACAACATTATTTTGATAGAATTGTAAAGTACTGAAATTATAACATTTCTACTCCTAGAACCACCAGAATGGGTACCAGATGGACAGGCAATCAGTTGTACATCCTGTCAAGCTATATTTACTTTTGTAAGGAGACGGCATCACTGCAGAAATTGTGGAAAGGTTAGTAAACTATAAGTCATTATGCTTCAATATTGTAAAACAAAATACAGATATAATGCTGTAGTTTGTGGGTGTGTTATATTCTTAGATAAACTTTTAAAAAAATTACCAAAGTAAATGTAAAGTATGCAACATCTGAAGTATGGACAGATTGTGAATACATTTACATGTTAATCTCAAACTAGGTCACTTTGTACACACTAGTTCCCCCTTTGAAAATAATTTCTTGCACTGAAAATATGAATTCAATATGCCCCACTCAGATTACCTAACTCATTATACGTTAAGCAGACTTTCACACACTATCCAACTTTCAAAATTCCAAGCCCCTCTTAAAATAAAACTGCAAACTCGCCTGACTCGCAATATGTTTTACAAACTTTTCACACATTAGCCATGGCCCACTTGCAAAGTAACATGCTGCATTAAAAAAAAATTGCAACCCCAAACCACCTGCAATAAAAAACATATAAAAGAGGGACGAAAGATACCAGAGGGACAGTCAAACTCATAGATCGAAAACAAACTGACAACGCCATGGCCAAAAATAAAAAGACAAACAGACAAATAATAGTACAGATGACACAACATAGAAAACTAAAGACTAAGCAACACGAACCCCACCAAAAACTGGGGGTGATCTCAGGTGCTCCGGAAGGGTAAGCAGATCCTGCTCCACATGTGGCACCCGTTGTGTAATATACTCTGCTACATAAAAGATAATTATTCATAATTTGCGACCTTAAATAATATATTATAACAAAGGATTATGAATCCACATATACCGGTAGGCATGCAAAGCAAAACATAATTTTGATGGAGACACTGTCAAAAATCACAAGTTACATGGGCATCATTACTATAAAAACCAATGGTGATATGATATTCACTCTGAAGCATTTTTAAAGCAAAGTTGGGAATCCTAGAGCTAAAATATTCCCCTTTACTGGTGTGGTGATATTTTGGCTATATGATTTTATTTATAATAACTGATTTCTATTTACATGTATATCATTTCAGATATTCTGTGGACTGTGTTCCAACAATAATGTACCCCTCCCACACTTTGGACATTCAACTCCAGTCCGAGTCTGCAACAGATGTTTTATGTTCCAAGTAACACCGTTTGTATCAGAAAGTTAAGGAATTCTGTTCGTTTCAAACATTCTCAGAGGACACTGAATGATTTACTGAGTTACTTATTAGCAGCTGCATTTAAATTTGTTATACTGATCTATTATACATCATCATATATTGTAATTGGATTTTTGTTTGCCATATCATGCCATTCACTGTTGCAAAAAAGAACATAAAAGCCAAGAAAATAATAGTTTATACAGTCGAAATGGAGATGCAAAGAATAGTTTTCTCATCATTTTCCTACAAACATTAAATTTTCTACTTTGAAACTTGCTGTTTCTGTAATATATTTGTTTTACAGACCACGTTATTTTTCATCATTTTATATCAGAATAAGAAAATAATGAATGAAGAAACTACTATTTTGGTGGATTATAGTTAAATGGGTATCACATGTATGATGGGGAGAAGAAATGTGTTGTTCTGGTTATTTATTATTTTACATTTTCTAACTGAAAAGTTAAATCTGCTAACATGCTTTTTGTCTGCAAAGGAACATATCAGATAGCATTCATATTAAACAAAATATGTGAATCAGTTTTAATAATTCTATATTAGTAAACATCTCCACACATCACAAGGCACAAACCATTTGAGGTAGTATTTATCTAAATTAAAATTAACTTTAGTTTTTTCTAAAAAATATAATTATCAATAGATGAACAAAAGATTTGGCAGATCAATCAGTGTGTAAAATTTATTTTCAGTAGTAATTTTAATACTACATGGATGTTACACCTTTGCTGGTACTTTTAAGTAAATCAGCTGTAACCATGCATGATTTACACCATTCCAAATATTAACTGGAAAAAAAAATAATGAAAAAGTGCAGTCATGCTGGAAAGAGAATGGATGATGAGGGAAATAATTTCTTACCTTTTTAAATTTAGTGCAGGATATTGTAACTCAAATAGGTGCTTGCTTATTCTATAATGTATATAGTAGTGCTAAAAGTAAAAGAACATAGTGATAAATCTCCACAAGACTTCTGTTGCTCACCTGGATTATTTTTATAAGAACTATGAAATATTATGCAGGTCTATGATTTTGTCTTATTTATATTCAAATTGCTGTATTATTTTTTAGTATTGTTATTATTTCTGAGATGGAAAAAGTATAAAATGGAAAGTTTTTGTATGTTTATTCTATATTTATTAAATGATAATAAAATATTAGTACATAATAGTATAATTTAATTGTGGAAGTTTTTAAACAAATTAATAAAATTTTGATAAAGCATGTCATTCCTTCAATCTACATACAATGAAGTATTGTGAAAAAGCCCATAGTTGTACAAGTTCTCTATCATTTTAAAAAAAATTGACAGAATTTGGCATCAATAATTTGAGATTTGTGAATTTTCAGACAGAGTTTTAGTTTGTAAGCTGCAGATTTTCTTTATTTGATACATTTTAAATATACATAGATGAATTCATCCCAAAATTAACCTGAAGACAAACATTAGTTAACAGGAAGGCTTTTTTAAAATCTAGAGACTTGCTCTTTATATTCATTTTCCAAGCATTTAGATATTTACAGATATATATTATATTAATTTTTTTGTGTGCTTTAAGCTATGATAATTTTGATATTACCCCGGTATTACATTATTTTAAGTTATAATAAATTTGTCATTATTAAGTTCATGTTTTATGTTATGTAAAATTAAGTTATATCAGTTTGTATGGTGCTTTCTGTTGCTGTGTTTTGCCTCTTTTTGTTTTGTTAATTTAGCATTTTGTGTTAGTTCCTGTGAATCGTTATGTTTTATTTGTTAACCCATAGTTTACTGCTTAACACAATCATTTCTTTTATTTGTATAAATTTTTATACTATGCATGTGTCATGTGTTAATATGCTTAATATTTAATCATTATGTTGATCATGAAAAGATAATAGTTTTGTATCATGACAGTTTCATTAAAACATTTTTGGTCATTCATTAAGCACTATACAAGCTTACATATTTTTGTGGTATGATATATAATACATTTGAAACTAAAAATATTGAGAAATAATCTCTGGTTCTTCTCTTTTTCCATAATACTTTGCATATAAAATATTTATATTGAAATAGAAATCATGTTTTTAACTGAAATGTTATAAACAGTCCAGTCAATTTTCTTTTGCAAGTTACTTGCATTTTTTTTTAAGTATTTTTTTATTCCAAACATATGGAAATTTATTTTTATCTGTCATAAGTACTAAACATCAATGATAATATTAATTATTAAATTAGATCATTATATATCTTATATTTTTCTTCCTGCTAGAATAGTTCCATTAAAAACAATACATGTATACAAAATTTTGTTAACACCCCTGTCAGCTAAAGGCACTCCATTTATATGGTTAGATGGTACATGTAGACTAAATATTTCAATCTCACCACATTTCTTACTAATAACTAGGCAATGCTTACTCTACTGAAAGGGGAGATTTTTTTCTTTGATAAATCTGTTACATAAAAAAGAAAAATAAATGTCTGATTTCATGTAGTCCTGAAGGGTTCAAGTAAAGAAATATTTTCTGCAGTTGTAAAAAAAAAAGACATGAGGTTTTCAAACTAGAAAAAGACACATGAAGACACAGTGATTTTGATTATCTATTACATTCCAAAGCCAAGGTATAGGGGAGGAATAAAATTGTCTTTATCCATACATTCTTACAGGTATAATTGTCTCTACCTCTTAAAAAATGCATACACAAATAAATATATATACGGTACAAAATCACAGAAAATTGTTATGACACTACCAATGAAGGGTATATTACAATGTACATCTGATGAATGTGGTAGATTTTGTCTGCCTTGAGTTTCAGTGCACAGTTTCATCTTGTTTTAACTTGAAGTTAATTTGCATCATCACACACAACAAAAACATTATTTTACAAAGTTGCACATGGTCTGTTTCTGTCTTGTTTAGACATGTCTTTTAAAACATTTTTTAGATCCATTTCATCTTGTTTTATCTTGAAGGTAAATTTGCATTATCACTCACAACCAAAATAAATCTTTACAAAGTTGTGCATGGTCTGTTTCTGCCTGGTTAAGGCATGTCATTTAAACAAATATTTTAAGTGTATTTATTTTTCTCCGTGTACAGGTCAACCAAGTACAAGATATAAGCATAGGATTTCCTTTTAAAATATGACATAGGAAAGTGTCAATACAAACTCAGTTATGCTGAAAAACTTAATTTAACATTAATTTTCATGCCTTTTTAAAAGACTTAATTTTAGAGTCATTACAATATATAAATTTTCTTGACTTATTTAATGCTTTGTTTCTATAATCTTTAAAAGTTTGATCAGTATAGTGATTAAACATTATATTCTAAGGGTTGTGTATGCTATGGTTGTAATATGTCTCTTGATTTTATCAAATAACCACCATTCAATAACAATATGTGAAAAACAAGGTTTCCATAGTTCTGTATACCACAATTTCATAGAGATAACACTAAAAAGACTTTGCACCAATTCAGAGTAAGGCATGAAAACATTTGTAATAAACCCATGTATAAATTCACTCAATTTTAGTGTAAAACTTTCTGATTGTAAAATTCATATTCTTCAAAATACATGGTCAATATCTCTTGACTCCAAAAACTAATCAGAAGTAACCCAGAAAATTGGTTCCATAAAATGTTATTTTGATTCAAAACATTTAGTTCTGAGGTCTTAATGACATTGTGACTGACAAAACATTGTAAAATACTGTCTATTGAATATATCAAAATACATTTCTGTAAAGACGGTGCTATCCTAATTGAAAAATTTCATTAATTTCCAGGGTAATCCACCCCTTGTAAACTCCTTTCATTCATTAATTAAGTCTCCCAAACGAAGTTTGGGAAGACTTATTGTTTTTGCTCAGTTCTTATTATTATTATTCTTCTTCTTCTTCTTCTTCTTCTTCTTCTTCTTCTTCTTCTTCCGCCGCTTTTAAATTTGAACTTGTCCGCACCCGTTCTCCAAAACCGCTTGTCAGATTAACTTAGGGTTTCACAATATGTTAGACTAACATGTCTAGTGGTGCAATCAGGGTTTTGTTTGTGCAATGGGGTTTATAAAGGGGTACTTTGAGGGGCAAAAAGAAAAGAGGGTTTTACTAAGGAACCCTATGGGATTTTATTTTTTAAAATTTTCAAATGATTATAAATTGAAAACCGTTTGTGATAGACACAATCTTTTTAATTGAAAATGTTCTAAATGATAAAGCCCATTAAATGAAATTCAGGGTTAGTCCCCAGGGGTCACCCCCACCCCCTGCCCTTTAAGAAAGTTCTAATACCTTGTAAGTGGTCAAGATCCCCACCCCTAAACCATATATATTCTGGTTTGTCATGCTAAGATTGTTTGAATGATATACAGGGTTAGTCCCCAGGGGTCATCCCGACCCCCTGCCATTTGAGAAAGTTCTTATATCTTGTAAATGGTTGAGATCCCCACCCCTAAACCATATATATTCTGGTTTGTCATGATAAAGCACATCAAATGAAATACAGGGTTAGTCCCCAGGGGTCAGCCCCACCCCCTGCCATTTAAGAAAGTTCTAATATCTTCTAAGTGGTCAAGATCCCCACCCCTAAACCATATATATTCTGGTTTGTCATGCTGAAATGGTTTGAATGATATACAGGGTTAGTCCCCAGGGGTCATCCCGACCCCCTGCCATTTCAGAAAGTTCTAATATCTTGTAAATGGTTGAGATCCCCACCCCTTAACCATATATATTCTGGTTTGTCATGATAAAGCACATCAAATGAAATACAGGGTTAGTCCCCAGGGGTCACCCCCACCCCCTGCCATTTAAGAAAGTTCTAATACCTTGTAAGTGGTCAAGATCCCCACCCCTAAACCATATATATTCTGGTTTGTCATGCTGAGATGGTTTGAATGATATACAGGGTTAGTCCCCAGGGGTCATCCCCACCCCCTGCCATTTGAGAAAGTTCTAATATCTTGTAAATGGTCGAGATCCCCACCCCTAAACCATATATATTCTGGTTTGTCATGATAAAGCACATCAAATGAAATACAGGGTTAGTCCCCAGGGGTCACCCCCACCCCCTGCCATTAAAGAAAGTTCTAATACCTTGTAAGTGGTCAAGATCCCCACCCCTAAACCATATATATTCTGGTTTGTCATGCTAAGATGGTTTGAATGATATACAGGGTTAGTCCCCAGGGGTCATCACGACCCCCTGCCATTTGAGAAAGTTCAAATATCTTGTAAATGGTCGAGATCCCCACCCCTAAACCATATATATTTTGGTTTGTCATGATAAAGCACATCAAATGTTATACAGGGTTAGTCCCCAGGGGTCACCCCCACCCCCTTCCATTTAAGAAAGTTCTAATATCTTCTAAGTGGTCAAGATCCCCACCCCTAAACCATATATATTCTGGTTTGTCATGCTAAGATTGTTTGAATGATATACAGGGTTAGTCCCCAGGGGTCATCCCGACCCCCTGCCATTTGAGAAAGTTCTAATACCTTGTAAGTGGTCAAGATCCCCACCCCTAAACCATATATATTCTGGTTTGTCATGCTAAGATGGTTTAAATGATATACAGGGTTAGTCCCCAGGGGTCATCCCGACCCCCTGCCATTTCAGAAAGTTCAAATATCTTGTAAATGGTCGAGATCCCCACCCCTAAACCATATATATTTTGGTTTGTCATGATAAAGCACATCAAATGAAATACAGGGTTAGTCCCCAGGGGTCACCCCCACCCCCTGCCATTTAAGAAAGTCCTAATATCTTCTAAGTGGTCAAGATCCCCACCCCTAAACCATATATATTCTGGTTTGTCATGCTGAGATGGTTTTAATGATATACAGAGTTAGTCCCCAGGGGTCATCCCGACCCCCTGCCATTTCAGAAAGTTCTAATATCTTGTAAATGGTTGAGATCCCCACCCCTTAACCATATATATTCTGGTTTGTCATGATAAAGCACATCAAATGAAATACAGGGTTAGTCCCCAGGGGTCTTCCCCACCCCCTGCCATTTGAGAAAGTTCTTATATCTTGTAAATGGTCGAGATCCCCACCCCTAAACCATATATATTCTGGTTTGTCATGCCAAGATGATTTGAATGATATACAAGGTTAGTCCCCAGGCATCACTAATGCATATAACTTTACTGGACCAAACCAATTTTCACTGGACGTTGCCCAATGTCAGGCGACCCTGGGAATAACGAATTATGGGAGCTTCGTTTGGGAGACTTCGTAACAGCATCCTGTTACAATCATTTCTTGTTCATTAATATAATTGGCAACAATAAATTGAAATTCATGAAACAAATTTTGGATACATAAAAAATTAATTTGTCAATGTTCTCATATTGTCTGAAATATATAGTCATAACTGGGACTGCAGGTTTTTAATTATCTTCTCTATGAAATAGTATATAATATATGAAGCACAGTGATAACTATAACTGCTTTAAAATATCTAAAACATAGAATTAATTTAACTTGAAGAGGTCACAGATTAAGGTCATTAATATATTATTTTTTTCTCAAGCATGTTTCCAGTTTGGGACAGAAGCTCACTTTGTCAATGCATACGTCTTCTGAGTACATATCTATCTAAAACATTACTGAACTGTTTCTACAACAAAAAGGTTTGAAGATCATCTATGCTCATTGACAATTTTGATGTTCTGTCCACATTCAGAATTGTTCAAAATGTCAGAATGCAATATGCAAAATAAAGCTGTTGGACATTTTTATTAAATGAAAAATGTCTTAAATTACAGATGAAATGAATTAAAACCCTTGTTCCTGAAAAAGGGTTTTTAAAAGTGCGACCACACTACAATTTCAATGATACATGTAAAGATTTAGAAATAAAGGATAATTTTAAAACCTGTTTATTGTTATGTAAGGAATCCATTAGCAATTCCATTGGCATGAAATTGAACCATGTGATATAAAATGAAGAGAATACAGCATGTATTACATTGTAAAATCCAGTTTAAGTTCTTAGATAATTATCACCCAATGAATTTGAGGTGAGAAAATTTTTCATGTAAAATCACTGATGATTTCATTTGGATAATTGTTCCTTTATACAATATTTATATTTTAAAGACAATGATGAGTTTATGATTGAGATACACTTCAATTCTCTAAAATGGAAATTTCAATTATGAAAATAATCTAGAAGGAGAAGGTACGATAAGGCCATATTTTTGGTCATCTAAATTCAAAAAAAAAAAGCATTACTAATCTTTTAAATACGTCCTTTAGATGTTTACAAGGCGTTAATTTGTATGACATCAGTATTTATATTGACATTTGTCTTGCATCTTTGCTTTGGAGATTAAAACGTCTTGCATTTAATGCAAAATTGCAAAAAATGCCAAAATAGCCTTATTTTGAGATCTTGTTATGAATATTTAGATATGAGCCAAGGCTTTATCCGAAAAGATATTTCACTACACAGTGTCTTAGAAGATGATGAAATTGTAGGTAAAATATCTTTTTTCTTGAAAACCTTGACTATTATTCAATTTTATCAAAATCTATGTGTCAAAATGGCTATTCTAGGTCAAATATGTGAATTTCAACATGCTTATGATATCAGTGGCATTCACAGCTGACATTTCTGAACTAAAATAGTTTTGAAAGGAGTCTAGATAATGAATCTTATCATACCTCCTCTGGTTAACAGCTAATGTCTAAATGGTCATTTTCTGTTCTGTCATAGATAGATTTTTAGTTTGTATGCAATATATTTTTGTGAAATAATCAATTTCTCTTATAGGGTGAGATTTTTTTCAAATTGTGATGTTAAAATTAGGGAAGAGTAAAAGATTGAAGATGTTATTTGATACTAATGCCTTTATTTTTCTTTGTACAACATTCATATTAAAATAAATCTATTATACTGCTTTCTTTTTTCTCAACCCAGTCAGGTGATTTATTTTACCCAATGATAGCATAGACCCTATAATTATGTTGAGTTATTTTGATAATATTAAGTAATTTGAAAAAATTAACAGCCTTTTTCATTCAAGAAGTGTAGAAAAAAAAGAAAAATGAAAAAATTTCTTTCTTTATGATAATTGACAGCAGCAGGTTTCAAACATGATATTTGATTGTAAGGTGTTTATTAAATTAATTCTTTTTGAGATTGCATCAGCATAAATCAGCATATTCACAAGAAATAGAAAAACTGTACCAACTTTCCAACAACTGTTGTGATATGGGTAAAACACTCTTACTAAAATAAAGACAGTATGGGCACTTCAGTTGAACTTGAAGGATCAGTTAGTCAATGATTCTCCTCCAAGATTGTTTTGTCCCCTTACCAACAAAGGTTCATCAGTGTGTGGGCCTGGAGTTAGTGCTCTTATAGGCACAGTAGTACTGGATATTATCATTCAATCATCACCAAACTATGAACAAACTGTTTGGTCAAATGGAACAAAACTCAGCAGTAATCATCCTTGGGGTATCAAGTTTAAAATCTGAGTCTGATTACCACGCCTGCCAACCAACATAACAGCTATTGCTAAAGAAAGAACATTTAGAATGACGTAAAATTTGTCCATTATCTTCTAAATTGTTATAGATATAGAAAATATGAAAGGGCAGAAAAGTTTGGATTTACAAGACATCAACAGTCCATTTTGACTCAAACTGTTGGATAACTGCTTATAGGAGTTATTGTCCTTAAATGTCAATATTTCACCAATTTTGGACAAGTTTCCATACCAGTAAAGGATGGTTGGGATTGTTTTTGGGGGCTATTGTTTGCGGTTTTTATACGACTGGTCGTATATTGGTATGACGTTGGCGTCGTTGTCATCGTCGTCCGAAGACACATTGGTTTTCACACTCTAACTTTAGTTTAAGTGAATGGATCTCTATGAAATTTTACCATAAGCTTCAATACCACAAAAGGAAGGTTGGGATTGATTTTGGGGGTTATGGTACCAACAGTTAAGGAATTAGGGGCCAAAAATAAGCATTTTTGTAACTTCCAGACATAACTTGTTTGTTAGTGTATGGATCTCTCTGACATTGTACCAGAAGGTTCCATATCACAAAGGGATTGCTGAGATTGATTTTGGGGGTAATTGCCTCATAATTTTAGGAAGTAGGGGCCAAAAAAGGCAAAAAACAAGCATTTTTCTAGTTTCATGACAATAACTTGTGTGTAAGTGTATGGATCTTTCTGAAACTGTTCTACAAGGTTCCATATCACAAAGGGAAAGCTGGAATTGAGTTTGGGGGTAATTGCCCAAAACGTTTAGCAAAAAGGGGCCAAAAATAAGCATTTTTCTAGTTTCCATACAATAACTTGTGTTCAAGTGTATTGATCTCTCTGAAATTGTACTACAAGGTACCATACCACAAAGAGAAGGCTGGGATTGATTTTGGGGGTAATTGCCTCAAAATTTTAGGAATTAGGGGCCATAAAAGGGCAAAAAAACAAGCATTTTTCTAGTTTCAGGACAATAACTTGTGTGTAAGCGTATGGATCTTTATGAAATTGTACTACAAGGTTCCATATCACAAAGGGAAAGCTGGGTTTGAGTTTGGGGGTAATTGCCTTCAACGTTTAGGAATTTGGGGCCAAAAAGGGGCCAAAAAACAAGCATTTTTCTAGTTTCCAGACAATAACTTGTGTTCAGTTGTATGGATCCCTCTGAAATTGTACTGCAAGGTACCATACCACAAAGGGAAGGCTGGGATTGAGTTTGGGGGTGATGAATCATAAGGGGGTTCAAAAAATTTTTGGGGGGGGGATTTTTTTTTCCTTTTTTATCTTTAAAATTTTCCATTTTAAATTGGTTATTTCTGATTTATATATAAAAGCAAATAATAATTATATGGTTTGAATAGGTACATTAAAAAAATTTGTGTTCTTAGACCACATTCATTCTGTGTCAGAAACCTATGCTGTGTCAAATATTTAATCACAATCCAAATTCAGTGAAGTATCAAGCTTGAATGTTGTGTCCATACTTGCCCAAACTGTTCAGGACTCGATCCTCTGCGGTTGTATCAAGCTGCGCCCAGCGGAACATTTTATGTAATTAGGGGCCAAAAAAAGGTCGTTTTTTGTCGAGTCTGCGACTTTTGTCGCAGGAAGCTCGACATAGGGATAGTGATCCGGCGGCGGCGTTAGCTAACTTCCTAAAAGCTTTATGTTTTAGAAGTTGGAAGACCTGGATGCTTCATACTTTGTATATGGATGCCTCATGTTACGAAGTTTCCGTCAGTCACATGTCCAATGTCCTTGACCTCATTTTCATGGTTCAGTGACTACTTGAAAAAAAAGTAAACTTTTTTTGTAATGTTAAATTCTCTCTTATTATAAGTAGTAGGATAACTATATTTGGTATGTGCGTACCTTGCAAGGTCCTCATGCCCGTCAGACAGTTTTCACTTTACCTCAACCTCATTTCATGGATCAGTGAACAAGGTTAAGTTTTGGTGGTCAAGTCCATATCTCAGATACTATAAGCAATAGGTCAAGTATATTCGGTGTATGGAAGGACTGTAAGGTGTACATGTCCAACTGGCAGGTGTCATCTGACCTTGACCTCATTTTCATGGTTCAGTGGTTATAGTTAAGTTTTTGTGTTTTGGTCTGTTTTTCTTATACTGTATGCAATAGGTCTACTATATTTGGTGTATGGAATGATTGTTAGGTGTACATGTTTAGCTGGCAGGTGTCATTTGACCTTGACCTCATTTTCATGGTTCAGTGGTCAAAGTTAAGATTTTGAGTTTTGGTCTTTTTTTCTAATACTATATGCAATAGGTCAACTATATTTGGTGTATGGAAATATTTTATGATCTATATGTCAGTGGTGCAGGTTTTATTTGACCTTGACCTCATTTTCACAGTTCATTGCTCAGTGTTAAGTTTTGTGGTTTGGTCTGTTTTTCTTAAACTATAAGCAATAGGTCAACTATATTTGTTGTATGGAAGAATTGTTAGCTGTACATGCCTGCCTGGCATGGTTCATCTGACCTTGACCTCATTTTCATGGTTCATTGGTCAATGTTTAGTTTTCTTGGTTAATGTTAAGTTTATGTGACAGTTGTAATAAAGCTTTATATTAAGGACTATCAACATAATATCAGTGATTAGTAAAGAAGGCGAGACATTTCAGCGTGAGCAATTTTGTACTGTTTCATGGAAAAGAAATTGGTTCGCAGACAATAACTGTAGTGTAAGTGTATGGATGTGTAAGGGAGCTACCATTTGATTTTTAGGGGGGGAGGGGTCCTGCATTTTTTTGTAGTTGTAATCTCTGTCCTGCCTTTTTATTTTTCACTCTATTTGGTCCTGCCTTTTTTTTTCATTAGTTTATCCTGACTTTTTTTACATAAATTGTCATCCTGCCTTTTTTTTTTGCCAAGTTGCTCATCCTGCCTTTTTTTTTTTTACTCCTAACTCCTGTCATGCCTTTTTTTCAAATTTCATCCTAGCCGCCCCATAAAAATCAAATGGTAGCTCCCTAAGAAACTTTAGTACAAGGTTCCATACCACAATAGGAGGGTTGGGATTGATTTTGGGGGTTATTGTCCTAGCTGTTTTGTAATTAGGTGCCAGAAAGGGGCCAAAAACAATTATTTGTCTGGTTTTAAGACATTAACTTGAGAGAGATTTCTTTGGTCAAAATTTTAATACAAGGTTCCACACCACTAATTTGTGTGTTAAGAGTACAGACTTCTATGAAATTTTACTACAAGGTTCCTTACTTCAAAAGGAAAGTTGGGATTGATTTTAGGGGTCATGGTCTAAACTGTTTAATAATAAGGGGCTGAAAAGGGGTAAAAAAACTAGGATTTTTTTTATTTCTGGACAATAACTTGAGTATAAGTCTATTTATTGCTATTTTATTGTGCCACAAGGTGATATACCATAAAATAAAGTTTGGGATTGATTTTAGGGGTTATGACCCTATTGGTTTAGTTAAAAGGGGCCAAAACCAATACTTTGTATAAATTGCTTATTTCTTTAGCAATTTCAATGGGGTTTAATTCAAAAGTCTTGAATTCTTGGGAATCTTTAATATGCTGAATCTAATTGGGTATATAATATTTGGATTTTAGAGTCTGTTTTTGGAATGATTCATATTAAGGTCCAAAGGGTCCAAAATTAAACTTTTTTTGATTTCTTTAAAAATTAAATTATTGGTGTTCCTTGATATGCTAAATCTAATTGTGTATTTAGATTTTTTTAATTTTTGAGGCCTGTCTTCAAATTGGCCCACATTAAGGTCCAAAGGGTCCAAAATACAACTTTTTTTTATTTAAAAAAAAAATTGAATTTCTTGGGGTTCTTTGATATGCTGAATCTAAGCGTGTATTTAGATTTTTTTATTTTGGGCATGGTCTGCCCACATTAAGGTCCAAAGGGTCCAAAATTAAACTTAAAAAAATGAATGGTTGGGGTTCTTTGATATGCTGAATCTAAGTGGTATTTAGATATTTGATTTTGGGCACAGTATTCAAGATGGTCCAAATTGTGGTCCAAAATTGAACATTGTTTGATTTCATCAAAAATTAAATTGTTTGTGTTATTTAATATGGTCAATCCATCAGTGTTTTAGATTTTTTGATTTTGTGCTTGGTTTTCAAAGTTGGTCCAAATTTGGGTCCAAAATTAAACTTTGTTTAATTTCTTCAAAAAATTAAATCATTGGTGTCCTTTAATGTGTGCAATCTTACAGTCTTTTCAAACTGGACCCCATAAAGGTCCAAAGTATCCAAAATAAAACTTAGTTTGATTTAAAAAAAAAATTAAACAATGTGGTTATTTGATATGCTGAATCAAACCATGTACATTTTTTGTATTTAGAATTTGAATATTGGACCATAATTGGTAAATATCTAATTTTTTAAATTATTTAAGAACTTATA